ACCTAGAGGTGTTATGTATATATTATAGTATAATGGATACCTATACCAATTTATTATTTAAATTCTTACCGCTTCTATTATAAGAAGCGCATTCTGAATTGAATAGAGCTGTCTCACGAATAAAAATCCTCATACCTATATGTACATTATACATAATACTATTTAAAAATTGATAGTTTAAAAGTTTTTATAGGTAAGAGTCTATTTCAATAAATAATATTTTGAATTGAAAGCTGGCGCTAGGTAATCTAAAAAGCTCTTCATCCTGTTCATTACTGCGCAGTCAACGCCATTTCTAATAGCATGCTTATAATTCTTTCAAAATCTCACTAAACCTAGTGACAAACTGAATTTTCTTTATAATGTAAGTGGTCATCACGTGAAACCACTTACAGAGTCGTGTTTCACGCGTGGCCAATTTATTTCATTTTGTCAGGTGTTAGTCAGCCCTACTACTAAGTTGTCGAATTTATACTTTAGTTAAAATCGTATAGTCATAAAAATAATTAAGAAAAAAATACGGTTTTCTACTATCCTCAATCCTGCGGTACCTTTTCTTCTACGTGGGGAAATATTAAAGAAAATAACCTATGTCACTCTCTAGACGCCAGCGATAGATACGTTCCGGTTTCATTTCCGCAGATGTACAGCCCCTGTACACTGATACAGACAGACGGACAGACAAACAAACAGACAAACAAACAGAAGGCCTAACTCTTTTACCCATTATGTAGTATGTTGCAGTTCATGAACATGAATATTCAGAACAGCTATATTGGTTTGTTGTAGTTTAGAAGCGTCGTAGCTAGCTTTGGATTGTTTAAAATAATACCAGTTTTATTTAAAATAATACCACTGTTTTAATTTCAATTTTAATGAAAAACCACAATCAGTCGAACGCGTCTCTGTCTGCAAGACTGTCCACACGTTTATACTGAAAAAAGTTCTAATACATATTATGTTAAATTAGGTGACACTTCCATAATTTTAAAACAACATGACAAACCGAGCAACTAAGTTATAGCAGTAAATAAATTTATCGTTCGTTTTTGAAATCGCTTTAGCTTTGTAAAATCATTGTAATAAATAGTGATTCCACAAATATATCTGAAGGTTTCAAATTTTTATCCAATAAGTGATCAAGTCATGATATGATAAGCATTTGCGAAATCTTCGTTTTTGCTAGTTTCTTAAACGACTTCCACGACTAAATTAATAAACACCAACTAAACTGAAACACTGAAAATAAAGAAAAAAAAAGTTTTTTTAATATATACCTTACCCAACCAGGTGAATTTTATTTTACATAAATATATTTTCATTAAATCTTATTTAGCCTAAACTTAAACCTAGCAAATAGGTAAAACAAGTATAAAATGAAAAGTTGTAACCGTATGTTTTTTCGTTTATTGTTTACATTGACCATATATTACTACATACCTATTATAAAATAAAGTCTCCCACACCTCGTCTGTCTGCCTGAACGCGATAAATTCGAAAACTACCAAACAGATTTTCATTCGGTTTTCTCTAATGGATGGAGTAAATCAAGAGGAAGGTTAGGTGTGAATTGACTATTGTTTAAAACATGGTTGTAGAAGACGTGGGATAAAATCATGCCGATTGGGAAGTGGGAGCTTTACTGGCGTGCGCCGCGTAAACCAATCTATACTAATACTAGCGACTCACCCTCGCTCCGCTCGGGTTCGTCCCTGGGGTGGGGTCTGGGAGGACCACCCTTATCCTTACCACTTAGGGGTATGAAAAATAGATAGTAGCCGATTCTCAGACCTACTGAATACGCATATAAAATTTGGTAAAAATCGGTAAAGCCGTTTCGGAGGAGTACGGTAACAAACATTGTGACATGGAAATTTTATATATAAGATTATAAAGAGGCAGAGTTTGTTTGAACGCGCTAATCTCAGGAAGTACTATTCCGATGTATTAGATAGTTCGTTTATTAAGGAAGTCTATAGGATATAATAATATCATCCCGGACAGATGTACGGTTCCCGGTCGCTAGTAGAGTTATATGAAAACAACCTATGTATGTATTCAGCCCTTCAATACGAGGGGAATTAGGCCATAGTCCACCACGCTGGCCGAGTACGGTTGGCGGACTTCACATGTCTTTTTAAAACTTGCTAGGTTTTCTAAGACATGGAGGATTCCTCACGATTTTTTCATTCACCGTTAATACAAGTGGTAATCATGATGGAAACGATTCGCACATGAAAATATCAGAGGTGCGAGACCCGGGAATTGAACTCGCTTCACTCGGTTTCCCAAGCGAGCGCGTTTCCACTGGGCTACCACTCACTTCAAAACAATGTATTACGGAATTATTCATACCTAATGTGAGGTGAGGTTAAGTCACTATTAATCTATATAATTTAAGCAATTGTCCTTTATTCCAACACAGCATGTAAACAATTGTTGACAAGCAAGGCCGGCAGGATCGATGGACCGCTTCGGTAGAGTAGGGAGCGGCTTATTGAAGTAAAGTAAGCATGCATTATGTGTATAAAATGCAATAATGTGAATTAATATTGAACAGTATGTGATGTTGTTTGTATAAAGTTGTTTTGTAAAAATTATTTATGTTTTGTTTTTAATAAAAACCAAAATCTCTTTGCATCTTTTTATAAATGTAGAGATATTTTTTTAGTTTTTGCATAAATCATCTGTTAATTAATTCAATTTACAAACTTACAAAATAAATTAAATACCTTTATGCTTGTACAATACTGTAATAATAAATTCATTTATTCAAGTAAGAGTGACTCATTTTATTAGTATCTATATATTAAAAGACCTATTCTTTAAAATATATAAATTACATAAGATTTTGTGACCAATTGAAACCATTTAATTATTTAATCACTACAGAAAATAAATAATCCATTCACAAACTAAGTAAAGTCGAAAGGCGAAAACACAAAAAAGTTTGCACTGACCAGTAATCAAACCTGTTAATTGCAAAATATGCCAAATAAGGTTATGGGAACTTTATTCGAGACTGCAAGCCAACAATATAACAATATTTATATTTTACCAAATATATCACTATCACACGCTACATCAATAAGCAATTCAGATTACCGATAAAGTGAGAGCGTATAATGCGTGACCTAATCACTGAATGTCGCTTCTGGAAAATTCTGGCGGGAAACGGTTGGTACCGGTCAGCAGGATGACAGCCATTACTGCGATTGTCCCACCATTCTGTCGGATTAATGTTATTGTGTCATTTTTATTCTATTTTGATTCCAGCTTGTGACTAATAGAATTAACTTCGAGGTTATTTTAATTTTTAACATGGATTTAATGGAACTCTACATTATCAATTACTAGCGACTCACCCTAGCTTCGCTCGGGTTCGTCCCAATATACGTTTTAAATAGATATAAATAGTTATTAGCCAGCGTTAGCCATATAATTCAAATCGAGACAAATCCAACAAATCAAAGATCATAGAAGCTATCGGACCGTTTATGAGTTATAAATGGTGTAATTACCTAACCCGACTTTGTTTTATATAGGTACATATATAGATTATCAATAGAAGTAGTTGTAAGATGGCATGTATTCTTTTAAAATGAGTTGTAACTATGTTAAAATATCTTTTTATTAATTAAATAAATATTTTAAATAAAAAATACAAAAAAAGACACTGGTTAAACTACTTGTAATAAGTCTAATTGAATGTTTATTTCATTTCAATTATTATACTTTTTCTGACTCTTTCTTCCTGATAATACCAAAGAGAAATAAATATAGTATATACTGACTTCTTTCAAAAAAAATTTCTTTTTTCCAGTGTTATAACTTAAAAGTTATAACATTGGGTACTAGATGACAAGTACACATTTCTACCTCATAAGTTATATTTTAACCCTCGACGCAAAAAGAGGGGTGTTATAAGTTTGACGTCGATGTCTGTCTGTCTGTGTGTGTGTGTGTGTGTGTATGTCTGTCTGTCTGTGGCATCGTAGCTCTCAAACGGATAGGCCGATTTCGATGCGGTTTTTTTCATTCGCAAGCCAGTTTCCTTGCGGTGGCTATTAGCTATGTTTGGTTAATATCGGTCCATTAGTGTAAGAGTGTCAGCTCTTTTACAAAATGATGTAAGGCATTTTGGCGTACGATTACTCGATTAAGTTTTTTACATTTTTAGGGTTGTTCCTTAAACTCTTAAGTATTTTTTGCGTAGGGGGCTTTAAAAATTTTAATTTATAATAAACAAAAGGTATTTCAGTCATTATTCGTGATAAATGCTTAATATGTTTTTAATTTATTCTGGCTCAAGGGAGTCGTACGTAAAATTGTATAATAAAATTTTTCGCAGTTGACATTTTATGGAATTTCTAAAATGGTACAAACAACAATAATATAACATGAACATAAAAACTCAATGTTTAACATCTTGATACAATCTGTTTACTCACTGCTATGTTATTGTTTTCTGTTAATTAACATGGGAGATCTAATCGAACACCTAACGAGTACGGCACGTTGTCAATTAATAAAGTATAAACGTAAAAATACAGTGGTAAAATAAAATAGATCTTTTATTTATGACGAATAAGATTAATTTACATAAAGCAAAATCTATCCAAATTTGTAACATTCGTTATATAATAAAAAAGGAACGTTTTTTGAACCCACGTAAAAATAAATCGGTTCTAAAAAACGTTTTTTTAAGTACCAATATTAACAAAGGTCATTAAAAAAACAGCCATCCACAATAATGTTGAAACTTCTTTCTCTATAACTTTCACTAATACTGTTTGACGGGTTCGATTCGTCTTCTGAATAAATTTTGTTGCTTTTATTGTCTTGTACGAATAGCACATAATATGTACATCTACATAGCATATTTCGGAAATAATTACAATTTTACCATATAAAAACCGTTAATATTTTATTTTACAGGTACAATATGGGTGCGGCTATAAATTGAAACCGCAAACCGCTAAATAGAATTAACAGAGAAAATGAAAAGAATCACAGTACTAGTGTTGTGCCTCATTGCCTCCCATAGCTATGGTTTCAACGGGGACAGCTTCGAATTAGAATGTCCCGATGAGTGCGACTGTCATTACTTCAGGATCAACTGGGTGACCGACTGTTCGGAGAGCAATCTAACTGAAATCCCTTACGATGAGCTCAGCTTAAGCGTTTACATCCTCGATTTAAATGGGAATAATATAACAAGTCTTCAGCCATTCCCACGTGACATTAAAATGCGGAGACTGCAAATAGCTAACAATAGATTAACGAGGATCGAACGAGATTCTTTTAAAGGTCTAGATTACTTGATAGATATCGATCTCTCGGGTAACAATATTAGCTACATCGATCCCGAAGCTTTCTTGTAAGTACCTACTTGCTAAGTTTATTTAATATATATATATGTTCTTCTCCCTGCCCATTTCCCAAATATATAGTATACAATAATATCAATTATGCATATATTTAAATTATGTCACTGAATTTCTAGTGTCATTTAGTGTTACACAGAAGTGTAAGTAAGTACTTAAATATAAAAGTGTTGTAGAGTAGTGTAGAAACACTACTCTACAACACTTTTATATTTAAGTAACACAAACAAGCAATAAGAAATTTAAGAGCAGAATATCCGTTAACATCCAATCACCTATGTGAAGTTAGCAACAAACTAAAGAATAATTAATTTTTAACAATTCTATTCGATTGTACTACGATTGTACCGGTTGGACCGCTTTTTAAATCGCTTGTACCTCAAAGGGCTCTCCCCTTTGAGGTACAAGCGATTTAAATATAGGGGTGCGAATACATGTATCGTTCATAGCCAACCTAAAATTACAACATTTAAAATTACAACCTACTAGAAAATTTAGACCGATAAAACCACTTAGCTCTAAGCTGGGTATTACAGCAGGAATAATAATATTTCTAATATTACCATAAATAGGCTTCAGCTAAAATAAACAGACTATTTTATTATTAAATTAAAAACGACATATAATCTCATTTTGTAATTACCTTGGTGCCTCTAATTTGACTTAGCCTATTTACACGTAGGTCACTAATTGATTTTAGCTTAAAGTAATTTGATTAGCTTAAAATTGAATTAGCCAATATTTCAGTTTTTAACGATTGATTTAAACTAGTTTGAACTGTAAGGCATCGTCGGCATATCAACGGGCTATCCATGCACGTTAAGATCACAAAAACTTAAAAAAAAACGACTTCCAGGCACTAAAATGTAAAAAATAACTAAACAGGGGATTTAGAATCGGAAAGCAGCCGAAAGCCGATACAAAGCAAATCTAATAAATATTTCGATACGTAAAATACATATTTACCTATTAGATATTCATATCTTAAAATAATGTCCACTGGTACCGACTCGAGAATATCTGATTAGGTATCTATTCTAAACGAAAACCCCAATTTATTTATTTTTTACATTTTAGTGCCTCTATTAGTTCTGATATTTTTTTAAAAGTTTTTATTTTTCCTTTTTTAGTGTACACGTAATAAGCAGATAATTTGTAAGAAGAAAGTTTTATAATAACATATTCCATTAAACAATTTAAAAAAAATACATATTTATTGTTGATTTAAAAAAAACCGCTCGGCCGATTTCGTTAAAATTTATATGGGACCACCTGGGAAGTATACCCTTTGAAACAAAAAAAATTCCAAATCGGTTCAGGCGTCTTCGGGTAATCGGTGAACATACATTAATAGGAATATAAATAACATATAGGAATTTGATACTAAATAAATAAAAATAAAATTCCGATGAATTGAGAACCTCCTCCTTTTTGGAAGTCGGTTAATGAATGTCCCCAGCGGGACATAATCGTAATCGTAACGTATCCTCGCGATTTTATATTCTTGCAAAAATTTAAACTGTTCAAGTAAAATGGAAAACATAAATGTAAATATCGAATTATATGTACTTTAATCATAATATGTAGATACTTTAAGAGGCAGTGGTAGCCCAATGGTAATGCGCTCACTTGGGAAATCGAGTGAAGTGGGTTCAAATCCCGGGTTTCGCACCACTGATATTTTCATGTGCGAACCATTTCTAACATGATTACCACTTGCTTTATAGTGAAGGAAAGCATCGTGAGGAAACCTGCATGTCTGCGAGAAACTGGCAAGTTTTCGAAAGACATGTGAAGTCCGCCAACCCGGACTTGGCTAACGTGGTAGACTATGATCTGAGCCCCCTCGTATTGAAGGGCCGTGCCCAGCAGTGGGACCTTAAAAAGGGCTGAATACATACACTTATATATGTACATGTACTTTAATATTTCCTCACGTAGCCACTATACCACTTTGCCTCACACAATGGCTGACCAAATTGAGCAAATTATTTTGAACTTGTTATGCCGTCAATTGCGGCTTGTGACGCCGATATTAGATAATCGTCGGTAAAGAATGCAAATTCAATTACTGGCTGGATAGCTGTTGCTCGGTTCGGTACATGGTTGTACCTTAAGTAGTTGAATCTAGCAATGATAGATTACAAATAAATCTTAACTGGGGGCACGGCAGCAATATAACTAGGTATATTTCCAAATTACAATCAATTTGAATCTGTAGTTCAAATTGAATGTACTCGTAGAACTACTATTTACTGTATGTGTATTGTGTACTTCACACGAGCCTCATATTTTGAACATAATCAGTGTTTAGCAATATAAAGCAAGGAAAAACTAAAACATCCCGCAATTTTAGTCCCGTTTTCTAGATGGTACAACAAACTGCATAAATAACTTTGTAATACTATACAAATAGATATGCGATATATGCAATTACAAAGTTACTTTTGCAGTCCATGTAATTTTTTATCCGTAACCTATTCAAATCGATAGCTACGTAAATAGTGGATATAAACTAAATAAATCAACCAACTTGGTTTTATATTATATCTCACAACTTTTTGGGGTACGCAAAGAACTGTGTTGCGAGATTTGAATCTTTTTACATGTTTTCAGGCATCATTTTTGATGGGATCAATTTAAAGTTTAAAATAAAAAATTGCAAAATATGTTCTAGAGTTTTTGTGTAGTTTATAATTATGTGTATTTTCACATTTTCAGGGATTCCCATGGTCTTCTCAATGTGGAACTTCAGGACAACCCTCTGAACGAAGTTGAAGGTCCATTCCTAATGTCAAGCACTCTCCAATATCTGGATATAGGCAACTGCAACCTCTCTGTGATCAATACTCAATTTTTTGACAATATCACCTCCATTACCACCCTCGACCTTTCAAATAATCCTTTAAAATCATTAAAAGGTGATGTTTTTGATGTCTTAACTAGTCTCGAAACGTTAAGGTTAAATGACTGTAAACTTAACATGATTTCTGAAAATCTCTTTTCGTCATTAGTAAACTTGAAGAACTTAGAGCTAGCTGGTAATCAACTATCCAATATAAACTGGCCTGAAGTGTTAGGGCCTCTAATGAGACTAGAATATCTTAATTTGAGAAAGTCACGTTTAACTGCTCTTTCTGAGGACACATTTTCGAATTGCACCAATCTCGTCACACTTATTTTAGCTGAAAATGAACTACGTGATTTAGATGTCGGCATTACGTTAGGCAATAGCGTTAACCATTTGGAGCAACTGGATTTGTCAAATTGCAAAATACAAGGTCCAATATCGGGTGATGCATTTGCCAATGCTACTAGATTAAAAAGTCTTTACTTATCTGGTAATCCTTTATTCGCACCTGATCTTCGAGAAGCGTTAGCTCCACTTCCTAAATTAGAAAAACTTTTCCTAAGTAACTGTGAACTGCGTAATTTGCCAGATAATTTCAATGTTTTCGAAAATCTTCTCGAACTTGATATATCTCACAACCCACTCGTAAATGTATTTACTAGATTACTCGCACCCTTAGAGAAATTAGAATACCTTAACATGGGCTATAGCAATTTGTCTTATGTTGGGCCGGAAACATTTGCCCATATGACGTCACTAAAGAAATTAATACTTTCCGGTAATGACCTGTTATCATTAGAGGCTGGCCTGTTCGGTAATCTTACGCAACTGACTACCTTAGAATTAGAATTATGTGGCCTCAAACGACCTTTAAATGCAAATGCCTTTTTTAAAAATCTTACTTATACAGATTTAAGGGAAATCAGACTTGGTGGAAATCCACTAGTTATACCCGCCTCGGGGCCCCTCTTTCCCAAGCAGCTATCTCAAGTAACTGTATTAGATTTAAGCAAATGTAATATAACTTCACTGAATCCAGATGCTTTTAAAAATACTGAAAATTTAACAGAACTAAATTTAGGGGGCAATAGAATAAAGTCAGAAGAAGGAAGCTTGGCCTTTTTAGAAATACTGCCATCATTAGAAAAAATAAACCTCAGCAATAATAATTTAACAACGATAGATCCTCAATTATTTGTTAACAATCCAAAACTGCACTCAATAAATTTGATAGGCAACCCATTCATCTGTGACTGTAAGATTGCTGAAATGTGGGACTGGGCTAATATGATCAAAGGGGACCTAGATGTTCTGATAGGAGCTAAGAGCGCTGAGAAAGATATTATAGTGAAAGGTAACAAAAAGAAGAAAAACTTGTACTGTCGCTACAATGAAGCTCAACTACGTAACATGACACTTATTTCAAATAAAACAGTACCAGGTAGACGTCCGTTCGTGAAACCTCGAGAGCTGACCTACGCAAACAGGACTTGGGCAAAATATGTGAGAGAATCCGGATGCGAGCCTGTAGTTAAAATACTAAGACCAGTGGCATTAGTAGCAGAATTTTTCGATGAAAAGCGCAGCATGCCATTGGCCGCTTTAATATTGGCTATTGTAGCTTTAGTTCTTGGATTGGCCACGATTGTAATGACACTGCGCTTGTTCCAAAAGAGGAAGATATCTGATATTGTCCATACAGAAAATAATAGAAAGCAGAGATAGCAGAAGGTGAAAGAGCATTAGGTCTCGGTCAAACTTAGGAACCGCTATTTCTTGAACTCCGGCAGTAACGATGAACCATATAATATATAGTATATTAAAATTTTTATATATCCATTAAAGAGATCGAAGTAGGGGTTCTTATGTTAGATTATCGTCTGTCCCGAGGCCACAATGTATTTAATTAAAGCTTTTATAGCTTATCGTGTCGTCAACTGTATTATTTAAAATTATTCCTATTTTTATACGTATTCTAATTTGATGATTACTATTATATTAAATTAGTATAGTCTCTCTAGAGTAAAGTTATGATAAGGTGTTTTAGTGAATTTATCTATGACTAGTCAAATTAAAAAAAAAATCATTCCAAAATATCGATTTTAATACTTGTTTATTCTGCTTTTCAGTATTGAATGTTCAACTAATAAATTCATAATAAAGGTTGTTAAAAATAGTTTGTTTTTCATTCAATTCTAAAATTCTCATCCTATTAATATTCCAACACGTTTGTGAGGATGGATAGATCCATGGATAGATGTTTGTTACTCTTTCACGCAACGTCACAAGTTTTAGGTCAGATTAGTTTGAAACTTGACGTGATTGTAATGACTAATGGTACAATATAAAATATATACCTTATATAATTTCTTAGTAAATTAAAGGCATAGAAGTTTAATATATTATTTTTATCTTCCATATAATAAAATAAAAGGTACATATAATAAAATTGTATCTAAATCGAATCTGTACATTAAATATTTTTTGGAAAATCTTATTGAAATAAACATTATTATCGATACAGAGGCCGAATCTATAGCTTTTAGAATAAAAATTCTGTTACAAAAGTCTGTCTGTCTGTTACCGCATCACAGAAAAACCACTGAAGGGATTTTGATGAAATTTGGTACGGTGATACTTGATAGCCGGTTATCCGGGTCAACATATAGGATACTTTTTACCGCGGGAAAATGTCTCATTTCTGAAAAAAGATACAAAAACTGCAATGTTAAAGTGTAGTAATATGTAAAACCTCAGAATTTGGTTTTTGGTCATCTGAACGCGGGCGGAGCCGCGGGAAATGCTAGTAATTAATAATACACACATCAAAAAATTAAAAATTCATACATATATGTTTTAGTTCCTACCTACCTACTTAAAATAGGTATGTATGTGAAAATGTTTAATTAAAGGTGGTTTTATTTTTCTATAGGTACCCCGAGGTTTCGCGTATTTCAAAAAAATAATTTGTCTGTCTTTAGAAAAGTTGTTCTATTAATCACACAGACTAATAATAAGTATATTATGTCCGTAATTACGCGATATCTTCACCTAATAAATATTAAGCCGATTTCAAGTATTTATGTTTAATGAATAGGGCTCAAGGTGGTCTCATAGAAATGATGAGAAAACTAATTTAAAACTTACAGTTTTAAAATGGGATTAACAAAACCAATCAATACAATACAAAAAGAATTTAATTATTACATTCTGAATTTTCTAATGTTAAAATACACAATTTTATACAAATGCTACAACTTTCGCTTCCGTTTATTGTGTGTTTGTTACTACTTCATTGTACAAAGTTATTGAGTAAAATCAAAACTAAAGTTAAAATAGCTTAACTACTTAGTTCAGTTATTAGATTAAAATTATGAGTACTTAGGTAAAAAATAAAAATTATCATGAACAACAAATAATAAATATTTTCTATTAAAAACAAGCCATTTATTTTAAAACACTACACTGAAAACGGTAGTTTAAATAATTTTCTAAACAGATTTTTTGTAATTGCTTGATATTTAATAGAATTTTTAATAGACAGATTTGTGTGTAATTATAGAGGTCTTGGTTATTTTTTAAATTGAATTGTTTTTGCGAGTAATTTGTACAGAGTTACTTAAACTGTCACAACAGCGTTTTTAAATTCGATAGGCATTTTTTTGTGTTCAGAGCCACCACGGTGACTGACTTTGATGAAGTGCAGATGTTTTATACTTTTTTCTCTGTTAAAAATAGGCACAATAAATAGTAAGCCTCACGTAATATATTAACAGAGAAAGTTATTATGCAACTTGTTACCAATAGCTTTTAGTATGACAAAAGAAATGCATATAATAGATTAAAAATAGAAAACAAAAAATAAGTTTTACACAAAGGTTTTATTATTCATATCACTGGACTATAAACTTAAGATTACGTTTAAATTATAAATAACTAAAATATCCTATCAGCTGCCTGACTTTCCAGATTTACTTGATTTTTTAATGTACCAACTTTCTTTATAAAGCTTTTTTTTGTTACTGAGCTTTTCAGTCTTTGGATTATTATTGCTAGCCATCGCTGCAAGTTCGCTGTCTAGTAATCGGGGTGATGACAATGGTTCGAAGCCATATTGAAATTGCGGTTCGACAAATTGTGTATTGCTTTTGTACCTTTGATACGGTCGCGATGAAAAGGATGAATTATCTTGTGGAGCCTCCTTATTGTAATTGTATTCCTCAAACTGTGGTACCCTATATTTGGACTGCTGTTTTTGCTGCGGTTTACCAAAGTGAGCGGATGAAAGCGCTGCCGTATACTTCGCACGTTTTTGTTCCTTGTCCTCATTACCAAAATATATTTCGGGTTTTTGATTTTTATACAATTCATAATAATTTTCCTTTTTCTTATGTCTTTCTCTGAGACTTTCGGGCCTGCTCACTGCGTAGTCTAAATAATAATCATCAGTCTGTTTGTCTCGAGCATCTTTGTATTGAGCTCGTGTGAAAGATGGGTATTCATCGCCGTCCGCTTCATATTGGCGCAGTGGAGACTTATCTACGTCATAATCATGATGATACCGAGATGCCCCATATGCTTCTGGGTTGTAAATTTCTTTTTCAATATCGATAGATGGTGTATCGTATCCTGGAAAACCGTAGGCAGCGTCTTTGTATGCTTTTTCAAAATCTTCTTCGCTTTCTTCTTGTTTTTTCACCATTTCTGCCATTAACTCATCATTGGGTTTGTCAATTTCAGAAGTGCTCCCCTCTTTAACAATAATACGTTTAGATTTTTCATGCACAATAGGTTCTGACGAATAGTAGTTTTGTGGGTACTCATAATGACGTTGGTTCTTCTTTTGCGATGGAAGTGCATGATTTATATGCACACGATAATTTTGATCATGATGATTTTGTTCGGCATGTGGTTTGTGTTTGGGTAAAATAGTTATATCTTCTTCATATTCAGCTAGGGGCTGCAAAAATTTTTCTACATATTGCACGGGTGGCTTACGTGGTTGTGATGAGTCTTGGCGGAATTCTCCTGGAGCATTGTTTAAAAAATGATAATGGACTTGTTCTCTGTGTTCGGGCCGAATATAAGCTGTCTTTCCTACATTACGTTGATGTTCTTGATTTTTAGTTTTCTGCTCTTCATGGCGTTGATGTCTTTCTCTATCCGACTCTTCGGAAGATACGTCAGAAGATTCTTCTGACTCGTTTTGAGACGGGGTAGATTGACGATGCCCTTGATCTTCTTTTTTTTCTTCAGGTTTGAAATGATAAATAAGGTTTTTTGGAGTATCATCGTTACTTTCATAGTATATTTGCTGAATTTGTGCCGGTTCTTTTGAACTATGAGAGTAACTATAATGTATCGGCTCCTTTTCAGTATGTTGTTCGTAGGAATAGTGGACAGGTTCTTTTTGAGTTTGTTTTTCATAACTAATACTTACAGGTTCAGATTGTGTTTCCTTATTGTAACTCATTTTGTGTTCTGTAATTGTCTCTTTGTAAGTAGGTGAATTATTTTCATAGGAAATTCCTGGATTGTCATCAGAAACTCCGTGCTGTTGATTATTTGGTGGCGCTTCTTCTTCATTTTTTCCTTCATTTTGAGAGGACTGCTTCTTATGCTTCTTTTTCGGTGATTCGGCTTTGGGCTTATTTTTTAACAATCCACTATCATATGATTTGGTATTTTGTACAACAAATTCCATCTGGTGTTTTTTAACCTCATTAATTTCTGGTAACCTTTTGTAAGTAGCTTGATTTATTCTTGGTAAGAAGTGTTGAACTTGAGGCACTAAAGGATTTTTAAAAGTCAAAGGTTCTAATAAAGTTAAATCTAACAAAGGGAGCGGCGGCTTAGTTATTAGATTAACAACAGTTTTTTTTCCATTTGATACGGTCGTTATACTTGTTTCTTTTGGTACTTGAACTAACTGCAATTTGTTAGCTTGTGCTATCTGTGATTGGGTTGGTTTATCATTATTATTGTTATTATTATTATTAGTACCAGACGAAATTTTAGGTTCTTCTTGAACTTTCTGGAATTTTGGTTCATTCTTCAACTTATTAAATTGTTCAGTAGTGAATGTGTTTGCATATACATTCTTATTGCTTGTAGACTGTTGCTGAACAGTAGGATTTCCATTAATATATGAGGTAAATGAAGCAGTTGGTGCGAGATTTCTCACATTGTTTGCATACACCAATGGTTGGGCAGAAAATTGGTTTATATGAGTTGGTGCCAAAGTTTGAATATTTGGTATTCTAAATTGAGTTTGCCCAAAGAAATGTGGAGCTTGTCCATACTGGAATGAAGATGGTGCTGCGAGTAACGGTTGACTTAGATGTGCTGGAAGATTCTGCAGCTGCACAAATTGTTGAGGGAACGTAGTCTTGTACGCTACTGTCTGTGGGCTTTCAACGAACCGCTGACCATATGAGTCTTTTAGAAATCCATTTGAATTTTGCACTATAACGTTTTCTTCTTTAATTGGTATTAATTGAGTGTTTTTCGGCGCTACGAACGTTGGAACATTAAATGAATAAGCCGCGTAAGGTAGAGCACTCGCATAAACACCTACAGGCACGTTTCTATAAAGTCGAGGAGCACTTTCATCACTGATATTGTCTGTAACACCAGAAGTTGTCTGCACGGCTTTTGAAGATACTTCACTTAACGCCAGCCAGCAAAAAACAGCCAGTAATGCCTTAAAATAAAAAAAAAACAGTTATAATATAATATAATTATAATATAAGAATCAAGACATAAATGTTAAATAAAAATGAATAATAAATATTTTATAAGTATATTTAATTACCTTTCTCCCCATCGTAAGCGATGTTCAGTACTAGACAGAGGGAGCGGCACTGCGCCAGCGCGTCTGTACCGCGAGCTTATATCGTATCTAGTCTCGGACCACCTTTTCTAACACCCCGTTATATCATCGTAATCGTACTAACAAAATGAAGCTATACAAAGAAAACTACCGAATTTGAAAAACGTAACACAAATGAACAATGATTCAATTTATTCGTAACAACATAGCCGCAAGCTAAACTTATCAGTCAAAAAGGACGTTTACAACTTTGGATGCGACTAAATAGAAAGCTCTGATTGTAAGGCGTACCTACCTAATTATTATTTATTATTATTATTGTAACACAACACCTGCTTTATTTTATTATTTTAATATATCCATCGATTATGAGTGAACTTGAACAATATTCAAACAAACTAGGTCATATTCACACAATATATTTGTTGTATTGAAACGATTGTTCATAGTAGAGCTAGAACAAAGTTTGCGGTGAAGTTATTAAAATATACAATTTTTTTTAAACATTATTTTTTACATTTTAACTTAACATAATATAAAAGACACCTAATTAACGCGTCATGGTCTTATATAGATATTCATATTATTTCTCAACGTAATGCAATATCGATCTTATTGAAATATTCAAAAGTAAAAAAAAACAACAACGTTACAAATTCAATATCGTTACAAATTAATTTGTTCTGAATCTATTTGTGTAAACGGACCACATCCGGTCACAAATAATAATTCGGCACTTGTAGAAATACGTTCAACGAATTCCTTATATAATAAATCGAATACTTTTATTTTAATAAATCATTTTGTTAATAAAGAAAAAAAAGTTATGATCGATCCTCCTTTCCTCGGTTTTCGTAACCGCGTAGTTTTACGGTGGTCTGAGCACCTTGCAACAGACGAGCAAAAAAACTTTTTATTTAGTTACATGCAAATTGAAAATATATACAAAAATTGTAATGCGGTCGTTAAAAATGGGACCATTTTAATATCAGAGCGAGTTACTTTGATAAATTAAATTTAAATGTATAAAAAATGTCTGTCTTTCTTTTGTTTACAAACATGCAGATTGTAGGTTCATAATCCATTGATATATTTGTATGTCTATTGAACGGAACCATGAAAGATAACGCTAGGACCCGCGCTTATACTTGTTATTACGTGTACAATTCATTTATTCAAAATTTACTCTAATAATAATTCAGCCCTTTTTAACGTCCCACAGCTGGGCACGGGGCTCCCTTTCACGCGAATAAGATCAAGCAATAGTCCATCACCTTTCTAACTGCGGGTTGGTGGACGGACACATGTTTTTCGAAAGCTAGTTAGGTTATCTCACATGTGCACATTTCTTTACGATGTTTTCCTTCGTCGTAACGAGTGGAAATCATTTTGAACATGATTCGCACATGAAAATATTAGAGGTGCAAGATCCAGGGTTTGAACTCGCATCATTTAGTTATTCACGTAAACTCGTTACCACTGGACTACCACAGCCTTACAATTTCTATTTTCTTTATTTTTAATGTTGAGTTATTTACAGTTAAGGTAATTGAAAGATTGAATGAGATTTCGCAGTAAACGGCGAAACTTGTTAAGATTGCTTTTTTCGAAATATCTGAAAAATTGAAAACGAAATATTATGTCCATTAGAGGCTTGAGGTTGTCTATAAATCCACTTTCGCGTGACCATGACCAAGTGAAGAAAGCTGGGAAAGTCGAGGATATCGCCTTACAATCACACATTTCTTTAACTCTGTGGTTTGTAATCCCATGACTAGAATACCTTATTATACTATCTATTTCAATATCTTAGTAAATATTTTGTTTTGAAACTCATTTTCGATCTAAGTATCCAATAAAACTCGCAAATTACTCAAAGCAGAGAATACAACAAAATAAACATTGGCAACATTGAATAATATCCGCAAACCGCATAGTGCCGCGCGTAATTTTCTTGAAAGAGTCTTTTAAAATTATGTAAATGATACGGGATACCCACGTAGTAGACACGTAGGTATAGTTAAAATTAGGCTGTAGTGTTCTTAGCGTTCAGAAAGTTTATGAGGCATAAAAATAATCCATCTCCATTAAACGCCTAATTGTAAGATCAAATAAAGTTTAAACAGAATAAATTTTATTGACATTATTAAACAGAAGAAATGTCTGTTGTAATTTATTGTAGTTATTTAATGCAGTATCAAGACAAATTACAGTAGAATTTTATTACAGCCTAATTTCTTCCCGTATTCAAACAGAAAGACAAAAGTTGTCAATTTAAAGAATCACCTAGGGACAACTCGCTAGTTTTAAATATTCGCAGATTTGCTTTGATTTTGATTTGAGAATCAAAATAAATCCGCGAATATTACCGAAAAGATAGTTTTATTAAAAATATATTTATTATTAATTTCGTAAATAAATAAAAACGGACTAATTCATTTAATAAAGTGCGTGTGTACTGTGTAGGTTCAATAAAATATTCATTTCATACGGGAATGGAACCTAAAGCCAGAACGCGCTAGTTACTTAATAATTAGAGAAAATCTTAAACCGTATCGCTTTTTTCTTATTCGGGTCTTAGATTAGTGATGATTTATGCGAAACCTCGTTTAAAAGAAAAAATAGAAGCTAATTAAGCTGAGGCGTGACTGAAAATAAAACAACAGGTATTGAATAATCTTCTTTTTTATTGTAAGGAATTTTAATGTGAGTCGTAACTTAAAATATTTTCGATTTTTTTGATTACCAAATAACACAATTTATATAAGATTTTTAATAGGAAAAACAAAATTAAAATTTTATTTTTATATTTAAATTTTAAACCAATGATCGTGTCGACAAATTAAAGTGGCTTATACAAATATATTTTATACTAGCGATTCACAATCGCTTCACTTGCTTCCCAATACTTTCATCCCGATTTAACCCCCTTAAGGGATGATTTCCGGGATAAAAGGTATCCTATGTCCTTCCCAGGGTCTCAAACTATCTTTTTACCAAATTTCATTAAATCGGTTCAGTAGATCCAGAGATTACCCCCTACGTCACAATCTCACAATTTACCTCTTTATTATATTAGTATAGAAGTATAGATAGATAAAATTGACAGAGGTAGAAAATGTAAATAAAATTATTTGTTTCATTTTTTAAGTAGTATCTCTTAATGTTGACTTCTAAAATAAAATAAAAATAATTTTAATATTACCTCAGACTCAACAATTATTTCCATTCGAGTATTTAATGTGGATAACAAATTCAAATAAAAAGTTAGCCATTCAAAAATAAGTCGACCTACAAAATAGTAGACTATTTTAAGGTACGAGTAGCTACGATAATTTCTTTTATTTGTAACAGGTTTCATAGAGACACTGATGAAAAGTATTATCTAAGCTCCACCAATTCTTAGATTATAATTCGTAGTCCTAACGGTAAAAAAACTTGCAAAAAAAGTACCTGTTTGAAACCTCATAGACCTAGGAAGATAGTGGATGTATACTAAAGAAGCCCAAAGAGCTCTGCTCTATATCTATTTCTTAAGCTTCAGCCAGAAGCTCTCTGTATATAAATGTTAGGAAAATTAGACGCTAAAATAATTTTTGAACGTAAATGTTTTTACCGACTTCAACAAAAAAGTAAGAGTTACTTCGGTTATTTTATATAATGTATATATCTTATGCGATTTTGTCGAAAACGTCTTGTCTGGATTTTATTTAAATTGTTTATCTTTAAAATAAATCCAGATTCCAGTTGTCCTCATTTTTATTCTATGACATTATAAACTAGTGACAATTGAGAAAATAAATTGTTTTTTTTTTTAGAAGTCAGAAGTGATCGACGATATCGAAACCTTTGAAGATTTAAGAAATAGGTGAAAATGAAATCGAAAAAAAGTAAGAATTTTTTTTATTAATTTGATACAAACGTTATAATTTTTAATGTTAGCAGTTAACATTGACTCTAATGAACACAAAAAGAAAATATTTTTATATGGCGGAGACTATACAAAAAAAGATAAGTAATAAAATAGTTTATTTATAATATTTACTGTTAATATAATTAAAGAAAGGCATTTTTATTAATGTCTAGTTAAAGTTGTACTTATGTCATATTATTATAAAGTTCTTGTTGTTAGAAGGCAATCATTATGTATGAAAATGAATAGAGAAACTTAAAAAGAAAAATTGAGTGAAATTTTAACACAAAAACACATGTAGGTACACATTTTTAAAATACAAAAATATAAAATCCAAAGCCTTAATACGTTAACAAGTATCCATAAAATTTTACATTACAATGCCAAGTAATAAAATATTTTATTATTTTTACTCGTTTTTATATTACGCGTATTACAACTGTGCCGCAGTCCTCCATTCGCCATTATATGTACTCACCTATCATGCAATCTCATGAGAAAAAATACTTCAAATAAACTTCAATAGATAGATAGTATCAAATACGTATCAATTTATTATTAACTAGCATTGCCCGCGGCTCCGCCCGCGTTCAGATGACCAAAAACTAAATTCTTAGGTTATTATGTAAATATTATTATACTCTAACATTGCAGTTTTTGTATCTTTTCTCAGAAATGAGACGTTTTCCCGCGGTAAAAAGTATCCTATATGTTGACCCAGACAACCAGCTATCATTATACCAAATTGCATCAAAATCTATGCAGTGGTTTTCTCGTGATGCGGTAACAGACAGACAAAAATTCTAAAACCTATAGATTCGGACTCTATATCGATAATAATGACTATTTCAATAAGATTTCCAAAAAATATGTAATGTACAGATTCGACTTAGTTACAATTTTATTATATGTATGCATGTGTATGTAAAACAAATGAAAAAATGTAATTTAATTTTTTTTTATAGAAATTAAAAAAAAGCTTCCAGGCACTAAAAAGTGAAAAAAAAAACTGAACAAGAGCTTTTGTAATAAAATATAATAAAATTGTAACTAAGCCGAATCTGTACATCAAATATTTTTTGGAAAATCTTATTGAAATGAACATTATTATCGATACAGAGGCCGAATCTATAGTTTGTAGAATTTTTGTCTTTCTGTCCGTGTGCTACCGCATCACAGAAAAACCACTGGAGGCATTTTGATGAAATTTGGTATGGTAATAGCTGGTTATCCGGGTCAACATATAGGATACTTTTTACCGCGTTAAAATATCTCATTTCTGAAAAAAATGCAAAAACTGCTATGTAAGTGTATACTAATATGTAAAACCTAAGAATTTGGTTTTTAGTCATCTGGACGCGGGCGAAGCCGCGGGAAATGCTAGTTTACTATAGATCTAATCAGATATTTTCGAAGTCGGTGCCAGCGGAGGCAAAGCAAAGCAAATCTATTTCAATACGTAGTATAAATACATTACAGTGATATAAATATAATATTTCAAATATAATTAGAGTCCCTTGTCATATTTACCTATTATATATTCATATCTTAAAGCATTGTTGTCCTTTTTTGAAGTCGGTTAAAACGTAAATCTCAAAAGGGTAAATTCTAATACAAAAATAATACATAAAAATATAATTGAGGGTTAATTCTAATACAAAAATGCTAATACATAAAATATGTAATGAGTTCTTAAATCAAATTACCGTAAAACTCGACCTACTCAACTGAGTATATTATTCATAGATGGCGGTGCTTACATATTTAGTTATTTATATTAAGTATTACAGTTTATCACTGAATTTTTTGCTTATTTGACCGTAAACCCCTTTTTTTACCCACGACGATCACGAAGACGGTATATGCGTTTGAAGTAAGAGGTGTTTGTATCGGTTATCATTTTTCTAGGAAACGGCTGGGTCGATTTTGAAACGGTTATTTAATTTTTTGCTTTGTATAAGTTTCATTCCTGAGCATGTTAGCTAAGTTTTATAATGTTACAGATCGCCGAAGGGCGCTACAGTATACACATGTTTCTCCAAAACGGTTATTTTGTTTAACTACTCAAGTAAAAATATGGCAGTTTAATATCTAAATAAAAAGACTCAATAACTAAACTTGGCCCGACCCGGGAGTCGAACCCAGGACCTCCGAGTGTGCAGCCGTACATGCTAGCCACTACACCACAGAGGCAGTTAAAGTAAGTTTTAGTTAACTGAAATAAATACACAACAATGTAAATTGAACCTTAAATGCAAAGCTTAAAGTTGTTTTGATAAAAAAAAATATTAAAGCGCGCTCAAATGTTTAAATTAGCGCTCATTTGGTGAGGACATATTTTTGTCGCCGATCATGTATCTAGTACTTTTTTGATCGATGATCTTATCGTATTTTTCCGTGGATTTATTTTGATAAGATAGATCCGAAAAGATAGTTTTATTTAAGCAAAATCAGTTAAATATCTATAATGCAAAGGACGTGCTTTAATTTCTGATTTCACAACTCTGCTAACTGGTGTCACAGCATCTATGCTAGTAATAAAGACACTTACACCTTTTTTTAAGCGAAACAGTTATAATACATGTACTATAAAAATAATTATTATCATCTATTTTTTTAAGTCGGTTGAAAACATCTTCAAAATTTATTGCTTTAAAATTGTTTAATTATAATTTGTATATAAGCTACTTTTATACTTACATAATGATTTTATTTTACATTTGATTGAACAATTCTAAAATCCTGACATAAGTGTTGAAAACGCTCATCACATTTGTTTTATTACTGCCGGAGAATACTAACGACATGGTTATTGCTGCACTAACAAATATGCATATTGTGTTGCCATTAGTTAAAATTTACATATGTTTTGTTGCCGTTATTAAAATTTAAATAACATATAGGGAGAAGTACAAAATAAAGTAATATAACACTTACCTCATACTATTATTAACACTAAGATCATAAATTAAAACTAACCTTTAATTTAAAGGTTCGCAGAAATGAAGAAAATATACAAAAAAAAAACATTCAAAGTGTAACATGTCATAACAACACGAGAAATAAAAAAATTCTATTGGTTTACAGTCCTTGTATATCTTATAATAATAAAATCTTATTTATCCATGCAAATGTTAGAATTGATTTAAAAAAAACAGTGTTTCAAAGCACCCATATAAATTGGAAACAAAAAAAAACCAGCCACATAACATATTCCTTTTTGGAAGTCAGTTAAAAATATATGTAATACTATTTATAATTTTACTGATCCAATCAATGCAAAGATCAATATCAATGATAAAACTTTCAGAATATTTTATTTAAAAACATGCAATTTTTAAAATATCGTTTAAATGTCCAAACAATTATAGTATTGTTATTTCAAATATCCTTTAATAATATTTTTGCATTAAAATTTGTTTTACAGGGTAGATTTTACTCTAAAAGGGTAGATTACTCTGGGGCTCTAATGGGACTTGAATTCCTGTGAACTTCACAATGAGAAATGCACTAAATGAAGTCTAAGCCAAAATTTACCTTAAATTTTATATGTCACACATTTTACACTTACCAAGAAATATTTCAACGTTGTGGACTAAAAGCGTTCCAACTAACAAAGGGAGCTTTAAATTATTATTATTAAAAAAAATGTCAATCACTAGTAAGTAATGTTAAAAAATATTTATTCTAAAAACAAATGTCAAAGCTAAGCAAATTTAGTTCACTATTTAGATCTTTTTTATTCAAAAATCTTATAATAAAAAAAATATACAAACATTCAAGTCCAACAGAAATCAAAATATGATCCCCCACTCTGTGAACTTAACTATTCTATATCAGGCACCTAATCTATTAAAAACATTTCTGGTTATTGTAATCTTTTTCTCATTTTTCAAACCTAACCTAGCTTTTACATTATTTTCTGGCATAGACAACCTCCTTTCTGGTTTATTAAAAACAGGTGTAAACTTTTTGGCTGTATTTACAGGTTTATTTAGTGATTTCGCTGCTTCAATTTCTTTATATTCCACATGGTTTGAAAATTTAACTGACTTCGTTTTTATAGCTAATTTTTCTTTTACACTGATTGGAGCTTGGTCCGCTCTCATTGTACCAACAGCTATTTTCCTTACGTTATTGATGGAGGTGACTGTGAATACCTTTTTTGGGTCACTTTTCAATATACCCTCGTACTTTAAAGCACCTTTTTCAATAGGCACCACTTGATCTTGGTCCTTCGAGCCAAGCCTTGAGAATACTTGTTTTGGCTTTTGAGTAACTGGTTTAATTGGTTTAGCTGCTTCTGAATTTCCAAGTCTCGAAAATACTGTTTTACTCTGTGCTGTAAAAAAATAATAATAGATTATAATAAAGTATTTCACTTATCTCTACTAAATAAATAAAAAATATGATAATTTATAATTTTTTGTACATAATTAAGTAACACAAAATATTGAAAAATGACATATAAACAATACTATTTAATAGTTATACTTTGAAATATTATTTAGAAAATAACTAACCCTCTTTAGTAGTGGCGGTTTGTGGTGGAGTTCCAAATCTGATGAGCCGTGTTTTCTTTATGGTTATATCATCAGGTACCCTATAAAAATAATTTATAATGCATATACCCATGTATTTTAATAGCTTACTGTTTCGGTGGTGTAGTGGCTAGCAAGTACGGCTGCACATCGAGAGGCGTAACGTACGTAAGGCGTAGGTGCAAGTCCCGAGTGGGGTCAAGTTTAGTTATTGTGTCTTTCTGTTTAATAAGTCTCAGTAACAGCCTGGAGGCGGGAAGAAGTCGGTGTTTCAACCCCGTGCCTCGGAGAGCACGTAAAGCCGTCGGTCCTGCGGCTTAACTCTCACCGGTCGTGTCAAATGGTCGTCCCACCGGAGTATGAGAGTGACAGGAATAGAGAGTGCACTTGTGTTTACGCATACACCTGTGCACTAAAATATCTCTTGCGTAGATGGGTAGTCTCAATTAGACTGACCACGGTGGCAGAAGTCGGTCGGTACGTCATTATTATTATTAAAATAGCGTACTTTTTACAATGTTATATTATTTTTCTTATGACCTCATATTTCTAGTGATATTACCATTTTACAAACCCATGCTTTGCATCAACAAGTCTGGGATTCATATTTTTTATAGAATATCCACAAAAGTAACAAGTTTTAACTACATATTGCAGGCTTAAAGTCATAAGCTTACATCTATGAAAAAAAACTCATGTATTGGTATTTAGAAGAACAACAAACCAACAAACACACTTTAAACATTTCTATTAATTGCACTAATTTGTAATATACTGTTAAAACTATAATTTAAATAACATGGTTAAATCTAATATTAAAAATAAACATACATTTCATTTGATTTTCTTTTCTGTTGTGGATTTCTAATAGGTGAGGTTTCCTGCACCTGTGGGTTTCGAGTGTAATGCTCCAGGATACGAGTTGCAGCTACAAAATATTATAACAATCTCAATATAGTTACTTTTAAGTACAATAGTAATTGCCATACGCATCCAGTGGACTCCAGCGACTTTGAACAAGTCAGCCATTGGATGCAGATGGCACGAGACCAGTAGTTATAGGTTGTTATAGAAATAATTGGGGGAGACCTATGTAATTAACTTATTATAACAGATGACTAATAAATAAGAATGAAAATAACCAAGATAATTAATTAAAGCAAAATATTAAAACAAATAGAATTACAATTTTAACACAAAATCCTTATTTAAAAACAATAAGATCTGCATTACATTTTAAACAATATAATTCATGTTTAACTTCTGATAAAACTGTATGAAAATAATAAAATAAGGGATTTTAATTAATTATTAAATAAAAAATAAAAACCCAGACTTAAATCTTCATCAGCATCAACATAACTAAATAATTAATGACTAACAAAGTAAACTTAATTTTAAACTTTATTTAATGTGTAATATTGACACCATAACTATTTTATATGTATTCACTTACGTGATGAAGGTTGTGTAGTTGTGGATCTGCCAGTCACAGCTGCTACTGGTACTTTTGTAACAGTGGTACTCAACACTCGATCTCTAGCTGTACTTTCATGAACTTGTTTAGCATGTCTGAAAATTATAATATTTGTTAACATCAATCGCTAAAAATTCAATTTATAAAAAAATATATAAGCAAACAATTAGAAATGTTCATCAGTACTAAACAAACAAAATATATTTTGTATATTATTGTTTCACAAACTGTTTGGTACCATTATTTATTTGACAAATAAGTGACTTTTATAGTATTTACCGTAAAATAGCAATAATATCTCCCATTCTAATAATACCCATGTCTCTAAGATATTCTTTGTTTAAGTCTAATAACATGTCATTCTGAATTCTATTTTCCGTGAATGTTAAGGCATAAGTTGCAGCTACTTCAGATGGTATACCAGCTGCTGTGAAAAAGTTCACCCACAAACCTAAAATAGAGATGATAGAAAATATACATATTTAATAATTATAATTATTATAATTTACATAACGTTGAAATGCAAAAGAATCTATTAACTTTATATAAAGGCGTGGAAATATATCAAGCTAAATGAGATTTCTCGTAAATAGGTGTAATAATACAAACTGCATTTAATTCAAAGGCTGAAATAAGTAAATACACACACTTACCAGTAAGGTTTGGGTCCATTTTACTTGACCCAGAATTCATATTTACAAATATCAAATTACACGTGCAATTTTATTTCTAGTATTCTACTATCTCTAATCTCAGTAGTATGTAACATATATGTATATAATTTTTAATTTCAAGTTTCAACTAAAGTCTAAAATTAAATATCTATTTTATATATGTAGCAATATACTCTATGATATCTATGCATTTTTTAATTTTTACATAAAGTACATAGATTATAAAGGCCACAAACTATATAGCACAGACCATACAGTATATTGCTACATATATAAGCACAGACCAGGAACAAAACGACAAGACAGAATTAACTTATGAAGACTTATTGAACCTACCCTTTTTTTTTTTTTTTATAATACCCGACATTCCCCTCCCCTCCGCCTTAATGGGACGCCGCAGGATCGCTTGCGCATAACTACTACGGCGCCCCGGCGGCAGGTCTGCCTAAAAAGGCAGACCACCAAACCAATGGGGCTGCTCCACAGTCAACTCTGCTACGCCAGAGAGGTACCCGGAGCAGCCCCATTAAACATAACCACCGCCCACCGAAGTGGGCCACCTCCAATCGGCTGCAGAGGACAGGGAGAGCGGCAACGAAACACCGACACTCCTCTTCCCCTGCAGCCCCACCGCGTCCGCCATCGAACGGTGGCGGCCCCGTCTAGGCCGCGGAAGGTAGGGAGAACGGCGCACCGAAATACCGGCACTCCTCTCCCGCCGCGGCCTACTCCTCCGCCGGATGCGGGCCTGCGACCACAGTCCCGCAACCCGGCACCCATCATCCGGTTGTGGGACCAAGCGGTCCCACACCGGTGGCCGCAAACGTCTTCGGCTCGAGGCCTAGACGAGCGGCCCCATCCAAGCCATTTGGTCCGCGCCGGATTTCTCCGGTACCATCCGCCGCCCTAAGCGGGTGGCATTCCCCTATCCGCCACCTGGGGACGCGCCCGGTAGGAGTTGGCTTCTCCCCCGGGCTTATTGAACCTACCCTACCCCAGCCTGCAAATTTATGATATTCGCAATGAAAAAAATACTAATCGATAGATTTTTAATAGCTCAATTCAACTACGTAGCCCTTCCAAATTGCTCACCATTAATTATAAAATTAAAAATCAATAAAGTCCTTGAAAAAAAAATCATTTATCCGTATATTCAAATTTCTATATCTTTTGATATATACAATATTTTAAATTGCTCAAAGTTCTAAAATACTGCTCAAGTTGCATTTGTAATTGCTCAAGTAGAGTTCTCACCAGCTCCACTTTCCTTAATTATTAAATAAATATAAATAGTTTGAATAAATTTAACGTATAGATGTGAGTGCTGCGCATGCGCGCAAACAGTAACGCGAGTCGCAAGGCAAAAAAATCAAGTGTTTCATAACCTCATCATAGTGAAATGAAACTGTAATACTCCAAGCACAACATCATCTATTATCAGGTATTTTTATTATTTATTGACTTATTCATTATGTTCAAAAAAAAAAGTTCCGTCTTGTATTGATGTTAATAACATTTTACTAATGATCCCTGTCATGGCTATTACCTTAATAGAATAAGCATTTGAACATAAGATTTTGTCTTAATTTATCTGTTGGTATTAATTTTCATTTATTGGTAGATTCCAGATCTGTTCTTTATGTTATAATATCTGAAGTGGAATCACGTAATGTGAACAATTCATAAATTCAATAAATTTAAAGAAATCCACCGAGAAACAGAATTAAGACGTTGAATTGGAACGATTGTCCAAGCCCACCGAGGCCGACCGACAATGCGCGGTGCGCATGCGCACGCTCACTTAACCTACGTTACATTTATTACAACTATACTTTTAATTATTTAATAATCAGCGAAAGTGGAGCTGGTAAAAACTCTACTTGAGCAATTACAAATGCAACTTGAGCAGTGTTTTAGAACTTTGAGCAATTTGAAATATTGTATACATCAAAAGATATAGGAGTTTGAATATACAGATAAATTAATTTTTTTTCAAAGACTTTATTGATTTTTAATTAAATAATTAAAGGTGAGCAATTTGAAAGGGCTACGTAGTTAAATTGAGCTATTGAAAATCTATCGATTAGTATTTTTTTCATTGCAAATATCATAAATTTGCAGGCTGGGGTAGGGTAGGTACTTATTGATAGATGAATATTAAATTATTTAAATATAATATAGATTAAACATAAAGAATTTGCTCAATCCATATATGTCTTAAATAGGACATTGATTTATATAAAGAAATTTTTAATTTAAAAAAAAAATACCTAAGAAGTATTTAAGAAGTACAAAAATAAGTATTTTTTAATTTACTTTCCCGAAATTACGCTCAATTTTGTCTAAAGGTACAAAATGTGTGCATTTCTATTCAAATCAGTATACTATTAGAAACCTATGTCTATTTTCTATGGCTATGGATTCTGATTCTGAATAGTCTGTGAGTAATGACACTTGACATCATTTATTTGTCAATTGTCATCTATTCTTGACAGTAAATTTATTTTTTGTTATTATTTTTCCAATTTAAATTAACACTATATTTTTTAATTGCACATGTTGAAATCTTTAGACTTTTTGAAAAAATCACTAAAATTATTAGGGCCTTATAAATCATCCTGTTACAGTGAGTCCGTATTTTAAATAATAATATGTACTACTAAACTCTAACCTTTACTCATTATGTACCGGTACTAAGTTTAACTAAAAATTAATCTATTCTTATAACACTTATAAATTATCATTTCATATTACTTTCCAGCTTATTCTGCAAACAGTATTAGAAAAATGTCTTCTACAACAAGTATTCCTATTGTAGACATTGATCCTACAGGAGTTTTCAAATATATATTATTAAATGTTTATGATAAAGCTAAAAATGAAGCAGAACCCCAAATGGTAATTGTTAGGGGTTATAAAAGATGCAACTACCATTCTGACATTTATGATGAGGTAAAAAGTTATATAATTGACAATTGTTGTGTTTGTCTACTATAATTCTTGGTCTTTATATACAAATAAGTTTTACTAATAATAAGATTAAAAGGTATAATTTATAGGTACAAGAAAAACTCTCTCCACTTGACTGTGAACCTTTAGGGGGAGGAAGGATTTCTCATGATCCTGATAATAAAAAGATACACATTTATGGATATTCTCAAGGATATGGAAAAGCAGAGCATGAAGTTACAGCTAAACTAGTTAAAGATGCCTATCCTAGCTACACTATTTCAATCAGTGATGAAGGGTACTAAAGTTAAACTTATAAAAAAAGTTGAATATTTATCCTTTCACACACCTAATTCATTAGTGTTAAGTAAATGTTTTAATTTAAATAAATTATTTTCATTTTTTTAACTACAGTATTTTATTACATTTTATTACAGAGGTCCAACCAAAGAATGTACTTGTGATCACTAATTTCATATGTCAATGTAACCAGAACTTATTTTTATCTAACATGTGCCTGTAAATGATACAAAGAAGTTTAAACATGACAAGTGTTTGTTAAAATTTTAAAAAGTCAAAGAATATGGTGTAAAGTAATTATTTTATATTAACCTTTTTCATTATACAATCAGACAGACAGATTTTAGTTACTTAAGATTAACGGCTGAACAGATTTGAAAGACATTCTTTACAGATATATTATTATATACTATGACCTGGATATAAAACAGGCTACGGTTTGGCAATGGCATGTAGGAATATGCAAAACATAGTCTAGGGGAGTGAGCTACTAGCAAACGATGATTTTATTGGAAAAACATTATATAATTAATAAAATCAATTAATTTTGCTAGAGAGCAGATTAAATATTAATAAACTTTTCACATTTAAAGACACCTAAAACTAGAAAATATTAACATAATTTATCTAACACTATATTTATGAAGTTTTGCTGCTTTTAAATAAATTAGCTAAATGTGAAATTCTATTAGTACTGAATAAAGTATGTACATAATCCGGAATTAAATAATATGATTATGATGGATGTTCTTGGTGCTTTTTATAAAGTTAATGTTTTTGTTTATAATAATGCGAAATATTCATATTATACTTGATACTGAAATGCCAATGTAAATCAATAGCTGCAATTATACTTTTGCTAAGTTATATATTTGTACTAAACAAAAAAATCTTATATAGTATATTTTACTATTATCTGTGAATCCTGAATAGCATAATACATGAGATTATCTATGAATTATGACATTGACATCTGACGTTTAAATTGAAAAGCAAAAGCTGCAAAACAAAAAAACTTCTGTTTTGGTATTTGGATCACGTTGTTATTCATTATTTAATCAATTACTAGAAAATACACTTAATTTGAAACATTATTTTCAGATCAGATTATGTATACATAATTTTAGGACCTATAGTAATAAAAATATATTTGGTAATTATTATTACATGACAATAAACAAATATTACTCTTAATACTATTTAATAATCAATAAAATATAATGCATTATGACTATAATCAGCAACAAAAATTGTTTTTTAGTTATGGCTAATTTTACAACTGATGGAAAATTATGTATCGAAAGGGAACTAGAAGTAACAAAAACGAAGGAATATGAATTTGATGACCTAATTTCACATTTCAATATTATTGATACTTGCAAATGGATAACAGATAATAATCATGCTAAGGTAAGGTGTGATGAGTAAGAATGTTTGTACTCCAGTCATGGGTGTTTACTCTGTTTATATTTATAATATGTATGTATTTAAAGTTATATATGTGTAGTGTATCAACTACTGTATCAACCGGAAGCTACGAAGCTTACCATGGAACTAGATGGCACTGTATCTTCATGTCCCAACATATTTATTAAAAAAGAAAAATATGGTTGATAGTCTATTTCACTTAAATATGCTATATTTAATTTAAAATCTTTAATTGAAAAATGTTTGATGCAATTGTAGGTATGTCTTCAGTTTCCTGATGACTTATTAGAAGTAAGTGCTGCAATATATGAGCACATTAAAGTAAGGACAAATGCCGATCTTTACATTCTTGGTGATACATCCTATGCCAGGTATTTACATCACTAAGTCATTCATGAAGAAAATTGGGACGGGAATTGTGTTTCAAATAATGTGATTATTCTTTAACCTTTTACTACACTTAATGTTCTCTTAACAGCTGTTGTGTAGACTCTGTAGCAGCCATGCATGTACAGGGGGATGCTATAATACACTATGGGCACAGTTGTTTCACTAAGACAGACATACCAGTTTTTACTGTACTGCCAAAGAAACAGCTAAATACTGATGTGTTAAGGAAGATAATCCAAGAAACTTTGATTAACCAAACTGAAAAAAGTTGCCTTTTTTATGATTCAGCATATGAACATTGCAAAGGTAAATTTTAAATGACTTTTTTTTGTTTTGCACATATATATATATATATATATATATATATATATATATATATATATATATATATATATATATATTTTCAATGGGTGCCTAGTTCTGCAAAAACATGTGTGATTCTGATTTAATAAATGACAATTGATCATAATTTATTATTTTTATTTTAGACAACATATCAAGCATATGGTTCAAACATAATCCACAAAGTTATATAGCATATATAAATATTGAAGAAACTGAAAACAGATTTTTTGGAAGAATAATCAAAAATGAAAGAGGCGATGAATTGACCATGGATTGCTTAAAAGATTGTAATTGTTTTTACTTAGGAGCAAAAGGACAGACATTGTTTAATTTTACAGTGTCTATTCCAGGTATTATAACTAATTATTTAACTATTACGCTAATATTTTGTGTCATTGTTTTAAAATTAAAGGTATAAATAAATGGATCATATGAATTTTAAAGCTTTCTTTAAATTTTTATGCAGGATTTTTTATATTTTTGTCTCATGAATAAGTTAGACATTGGTAGTAAGTTATTTTATTAATATATTACTAAGAGTAAGCACATTTATCAAAGAAGTACTAGATACACAACTGTCAATCAGCGATAAAAAATGTCCTCACCGAATGAACCCTTATTTGAAAATTTGAGTGCACTTTAAATTTTATTTTTATTTTGTGAAAAAAAATTTAACCATTGCATTTAAGATTTAATTTATATTTTTATATATTTATTTCCACTAGAATAATTAATTCCCTAAACTCAATTGGTGACAGTTTTAAGAGAACATTTGGCATGGGAGTGTGTATACTTCAGATTTTTTACAATAATTCTTGTTATTTCATCTAAACTACTTTTTGTTTGAGGATTATTTAATATAACTATTTTATTTTTTATATTCACATTTCAGCTTCTAAATGGTACCTTTTAAATGTAGAAGAAAATAAAATTGAAAGTCTTGAAGAAACTGTGTGGTTCAAAAGAAGACGGTTTCTGGTAGAAAAATGCAAAGATGCCAATGTGATTGGGATACTTGTGTGTAAGCTGGCAGGAGATCAAACTAAAGATATTATAAGTCGAATGAAAGAATTGTGTAAAGTCAATGGGAAAAAAAGTTATATAGTTTCTGTTGGAAAGCCAAATGTTGCTAAACTAGCAAATTTCCCAGAGGTAATATTTCTTTTAAATTATATTATTATTTATATTATACAACTAGCAGTACCGCGGCTTCGCCCGTGTTCAAACTTCCGATCGCTAACAAAATTCACAGGATTGCCCGCTGGGCTAATCTGAAGATTACCTGAAAGGTTTATAAAAATCGCTCCAGCTGTTTTTAAGTCCATAGGAAACACATACGCATTTTATTTAATCAACAATTTAAATTTATTTATTGCTCAGGAAATGGTGTCTTTTAAGAAAATTTAGTGACACACCGACTGCAGCGCCACCTACTGGATCCATTTGTGAATTCAAACCTTGCAAGGACCCACTCGAACATACAAAAAAAATATCATTAAAATCGTCCCTGCCGTTTAGGAGATGATAAGCACACCGCCTACATCGCTACCTACTGAGTCCATTTATGTTTTCAAACCATTCAGGAGTCCATTGAAATATACACACAAAATTTTATCCAAATCGGTCCAGTCCTTTAGGAGGAGTAGGTTAACAAACACATATGCAGAAGAATTATATATCTACTAGCGGACCCGACAGACACTGTTGTGATTGTCCTGTCTACACGTCTTTAATTTGAAAATTTCAAACTTTTTTTAATAATTTTTTTGATGAAAATTATTATTCAAATTGTGAATCTAAACCCTTCCCAGATCCCCTTGAACACACACAAAAAATTTCATTAAAATCGGTCCAGTCGTTTGAGAGAAGTTCAGTGACATACACACTCACAGAAGAATTATATATATAAAGATATATATAATAAAATTGTAACCGAGTCAAATCTGTACATTAAATAATTTTTGGAAAATTTAATTGAAATAGACATTATTATCGATACAGAGTCTGAATCTATAGTTTTTAGAATTTTGTCTGTGTGTTTGTCTGTTACCGTATCATGAGAAAACCACTCGATCAATTTTGATGAAATTTGGTATGATGATAGATGGTTAACCCGGTCAACATATAGGAAACTTTTTACCGCGGGAAAATTTCTCATTTCTGAAAAAAAGTACAAAAATTGCAATGTAAGAGTATACTTATATGTAAAACCTAAGAATTTAGTTTTTGGTCATCTGAACGCGGGCGAAGCCGCGAGCAATGCTAGTATTATATATTTGTTTTAATGTTTTCACGATTTCTCAGAGATATTTTCCCGCAGTAAAAAGTATCCTATATGTTGACCCAGATAACCAGCTATCATCATACCAAATTTCATCAAAATCTCTCCAGACGATTTTCCGTGATATGGTAACAAACATAAAAATTAACCCCAATAGAAAATAAACCCCATAAAGGTTTATTTTGATTTTGAATTAAAAAATATATTCATGAATAGTCTTATTACCCAGATCTCTCTACCAAATATAGCACTGTAGCAGTACCATTTGTACCATTATTATAGCGGTATTTTGTATTTGTATGATCTAAGAGAGTGCATGCCCCTTTATAATTTATTGTGTTATTATTATATTATTGACTCGTGACTTTTTTTTATTACAGATTGACATATATGTAATGATAGCCTGCCCGGAAAATGAGTTGTACAATAACAGAGATTTCTACAAACCTATAGTATATCCCTTTGAATTGGAAATTGCATTAAATTCTAACAGAGAACAGTATTATGATTACCATGTAACAGATTACGATGACCTTTTGCCCGGTAAGAGGCGTTATTGTGAAATTGACCACATTAAAGAAGCTACCGATGTCAGTCTCATAACTGGTAATATACGAGAAACTAAAATTCATAGTTGTGTAGAGGGCAGCTCTGAATTAGCAGAGAAACAAAATTGGGCGTTAGAAAACATAGGCCAAAATCTACAAAACAGGTCATGGAGGGGTTTAGAACAAAAACTAGGAGAAACTGATGTCAAAGAAGCTGAAGAGGGCAGGAAGGGTATACCCCTACAATACAGTAATGAGCCAGAGTAATAAAACACAAATTAAATATTTGAATGGTATTTTATATTTTTTACTGTTTCACGACTTATTAAAATTATTCAAATATACAGTGAGTTTTAATGTAAATGTGACTTTTTGGTAACTCACAATACATGATAACAATTAACATTTACATAAAACTGAGTTGCTTGGCTATTTGGGTTAACCATATTTTTAAGCCTTAACACTGACATAGTCCTTTATGAACAAATAACATGAAAACATCTTTTGTAAACACAAATATGTAAAAAAAATATGAATTTAGTGTATAAACATAATTGAACACATGAATAAGTATATACTATCAATATTCTTTTTTTCTTCAAGTATAAAGTTTTTAGGCCTAGAATGCACAATAATTACAAAAAATAACTTTAAAAATTATTTCAATTAGGAGCTATTATTAAGATAACTTCTTTAACACTAATTAAGCTTTCTGATTCAGAGGATTGTTCAGAGACTTCTGCCATTCTTTTCTAAGCATTTGTTTTAGTTGTGAAAGCCTGAGCGATGGATTTTCTGCTTTCAACCTTGGTAAAGTGACTTCTTCAAAAGCTGTAAATGCTGCCTTCAGTCGTTTTTCAGGATGCCTATCTACATCAGTCTTGTCACTAAAAAAATTAACAATACTGCCATTAATTCTAAACATAAATAATGATTTCTTGATCTTTTATTCACTGTATAATATTATTATATTTATTATGATTTTCAAGTCATATAAGGTTATCACTTAAGAATTTACTTCTTAATTATAGTTATAATAATACTGTGTAACATAAACTTTAATTTTTGTGAAATTATAAAAAAATATTATATAATACTTTCTTAGATTTATGTGAATATTTGACATTTTAAATAAAACTATCTTTTCGGATTTTTTCAAGACTTCGAGTCTCTCCTGTGACCATAATTGCTGTAAACCATTCGAAATGTTGAAAACGAAAAATCTAAATAAATCTGAAAAGATAATTTTATTTAAAAAATTTATAAATCAAAGCAGTGAATACTAACCTAAGTACAGAAATAGCCTCCTCTACAGATTGAGCCACTTCTCCTTCAATCTGTAACCTGTTAATATTCTCTTCTAGAGGGGGTTCCTCTACGACCACTCTTGCTGGCTGCAAAATTTATTTAATTTTAGAATACTACCTATATGTATGTATCTTTGTATATTTATATATAACTGATGTTTGAAAAAGATGAGTACAAGTTGATGAAGAAACATTTTATGCAGCTGGAGACATACAAGTTTTATATCTGTTGCAAGTCTTACAATGTTTCTTGTTCATCTAGTTTTATTATTATTTTTAAATATATACGTTGTATATATTAATAATAAAAAAATAATTAAAAACAATAAAATTAATAAATATCATACCACAGGCTTCACGGGTTCTGTTTTAACTGCTTTTTCTTTCATCTGTGTAATTTGAGCTCTAGTGATCTTTTGTGGTGGAGGTGCAGCCACTTTGCCCTTAATTGATTCCATTTCTTTTTCCAAGAGTGCTTTGGCTTCAGCTTTTTTTTGTAATTGCTCTAGGCGTTTCTTTTCTTGTTCTTCCTAAATAATACACATTTAATTAGACATTCAAATTTGACGAGATTAAATATTCAAAGACAAGTTATATAATATAGACCTTTTTCTGTTGTTTCTTCTTTAATTTATCGTCGTTATCCTCCCATTCAGCATCTTCAACCAATTTCTTTACTTTTTGATCTTTTTCTTGCTTAATGTTTTCTTTGCGTTGTCTAGCAGCTACAGCTTTGCTGTTTTCGCCTGCAAACTTCTTCGGCATCTTGATCTGTTTAACAGTAGTAAGTAGTGCCTGTTTTCAAGAAAGAAAGAATAAAATTCTATGATAAGTTAGCAATACGTCCAAATGCAAAATGTACCCATGTAACCAAATGATATACATACCGAGTAGTAAAACCTCGTTTACTATGTAGTATGTACAAATAGTAGAGTCTATATTGAAACAAGAAATCTTTTACTTGCCTGTTACGTTGCTATTAAAAAAAGTAAAGTAAGGTATTTTTACAAATTCTTTTGTAATGTTTAAAGATTTTTCCAGCTCATTCCTAATGTTGATAATTGTCAAATGTTGGATGACAAATTAAAGTTGAAATGTCAATTCATAGCTGACAAATGTAACGTACACGTTCAGGAAAAATCTATGGTAATAATAACTTTCATTATATAAAATAAAATGAATACAATATTTTAAACTATAAAATAGTAACAGTATATTCCATTTACGTTAATAATAAAATCTTTTTACCTTGCACCAGAGATCATATATTACCTTACTCTTGCACATAAATGGGATTTTTTTTGCCATTTTCAGAATCCAAATGTCGCGATCACTATGATCTTCAGTATATTGTAAAGCTCTATAAGCGTGGATGGAATTTTTTTCATTGATGATTTTCATTTCATAACAAATATTATGCAGTTCCAAGATGTAATGAAAAGTGATATAATTGTTTCCCAAAAGAGAAAAACTAAAGAAATTGTGGGCTAAACAATATAAGACGCTTAGCTGGACGATAAAAATCGGTGAAATATCAGTCTATATATTTAAGGCTATGTCATATTATGTGAAACTGATTTTACAGAAAGTGATTTTAAAACTGATAAGCCGTCTGTAGATGAATATTTTTGAAGTTATCCTTCTTTTGGCACGTTTGGAAAAAAAAGAGTAACATTTTTACGATGCGCGCGCCGACAGCCAAAAAGCGACATGATGAAGTTAGCTGAATTCAATTTACGAACAGAGAGTTGTGACATACGGGATGAAATCTTAGGTATTTTTGTTCTGTTACGCCAAAGAAGTATAACTTTAACTTTTTTTGGTATATTTTTTTACTACTATTGGAACTTTTACGGATACAATATAATATATAAACTACCATAATTGTTTAAATTGCAGGTTTTAATTTACAACAATGAAAGTTAAAGAGAATACGGTGCCGTCTGTTTTCCCTTGGTCCAATTTTTTACCATCTTCATAGAAGAAAATCTTCGAAATAAAAATCTGAAAAAGGAGCTTTTCCCACAATAATTCACATTAGGAATGGCATAGTTTCATACAATCTTTAATCCCATTGTACCCACTTAGTGGATGAATTTCAAAAAGCCCTTTCCTAGCATTATAAAAGGAATGCATCCTCCAAATCCCACGTTTTTACGACCAACGGTTTAGGCTTTGTGTTGATCCGTCAGTCAGTCAGGACCACCACAGGATATAAAAGAGACATCGTAATAAATTGCTTAACCTCAAAATGAATGTAAATATATCTTCCGTGTAGCGCCCACCTTTGAAGAAATCTTCCCCAATGACGTGTTATAACATATTATAGCTAGTATATCTGTATACAATATACATTCTGCAACAGACATTGACAATTGACATTTTTATTTGTCATCCATGATTGACATTGACATAAGGTTTATTGTAGACCTGTTGTTTTTATTTTGTGAAATTAATACATTAAAAAACATTTTAATTGGTTAACGATTACTTCTACTAATACATAAATTTTCATTTATATAAACTATCATAATGGCTTTAGTTGCCTACGATAATAGTGATTCAAGTGATTATGAGGAAGATGACAATGAAACCAAATCTACTGTAATCGTAAAGGAAGAAGGTATTTTTTTTTATAATATCAATACATATTAAATAATTCGATATCATTAAATTAAAAATCCAAATTTTACAGATCTAACTAACCCTGTAGTGCCAAACGAATTTATTGAACCGCAGGAAAACCAGAGACTTTTTAACCAACTACCACTGCCTTCTACTAAGAAAAAAGCTGTTATTGAAGAAGATGATGAATTTCTTCACAAAAAAGAACCTGTAGCCGATATAAAGCCCAAGTCTAAAATAACTATACCTTCATTAAGTGATGTTTGTATATTGATTCAATCATTAATAATAAAATATTTATATTTGAGTGTACATTAATAAAATAATTACTTTAATTCCAGTTTAAAGATATGGAGCAAACAGTACCCAATTCAAAGATCAAAGTACTAAATGGGGTAAGTTTAAGTAACTTGGAATAGTATTATAAATGTAATATATTCTGCAAATATCACATATTGTATAAGTTTTTTTAATTGATTTAATTTTAAATAATATGCTTTATCATTAACTCTTTAAATAAAATTATTTCTTTAAATGATCATTTTATGGCAAATCAAAACATTTACATTGCAGAAAAAATCTGGACTTTTGAGTATATTACCTCAACCAAAAAATGCTGTCAAGAGCACACTCAAATCTCTTGTCCCAAATGCCGTTGCACAAAAACAAGCCACAGTAAAAAGGAAAGAACCAATACCATCTCCAGCAAAAATAATTAAAGATAACACAAAGAGCTTACTAGTTACAGAATATTCAGATGAAAGTGATGACGAGATTCAAAACGACTTCTTTTCTTTCAATAAACCTGTTGAACTACCAGAAGATATACCATTAGAAGCGGAAGAGAAAGTTATAGCAAATGCTAAGCCAGAACCAAGAAGTATAGATTCTTATTTCAAAAAAGATGCTGATGTAGAATTGCAAGAAAATCATTTAGCAGCAAATGTTTCAGAACATAATGATATTAGCTTAGAAGAAACACATAATACTCCAGAACCGTCTAATGATGTACTTGATGAAGAAGCAGTAAGTATCAATTTTAATTACTTGTTTAATTTTTATAGTAAGTATGACCATCACATTTACATTTTTACTATTTTCATTTTACTAACGTAGGTTTAGTTCATAATATACAATATATTCACACTACTTTACTTTGTAGACACTTTACTAGATTATCAACCAATATGCTAAGTATTGTTATCAAAAGTTATAATTTTCAAATCCATTTTTCAGATTCTAAAACTATGTGGTGCCAGAGGAAAGCGCAAGAGAGAAGAGATACAGATAGTTGATGTGAATCAGCAAGAAGTATTAAATGATGCAAGGGAATGGCTTCTCAAAGGTCTCATGGATGATACCACTAAACGTCAATCAGCTAGCAAAAAGAAAGGCAATGAGCCTACCACACAACAAAAGAGGAAACACCAAATTACATATTTGGCTCATCAAGTAAATATTTTAGTTTGCTGATTGCTTTTAATAATTTTTCATATCTGCTCTCTAGTTTTAATGTTCTTCTAACAATATACTTAGTATATAAAACGAATTCTCTCTTTTAATACTTATTGATTTATGATTATCTATACATGTAATAAAATTGTAACTAAGCCGAATCTGTTCCTTAAATATTTTTTGGATACAGAGACCGAAAGTATAGTTTTTAGAATTTTTGTCTGTCTGTGACCACATCACGGAAAAACCGCTAAAGGGATTTTGATGAAATTTGGTAAGATGATAACTGGTTATCTGGGTAAACATATAGGATACTTTGTACTCTGGTAAAATATTTTATCTCTCAGAAATCTAAACTTTTAATTGTAAGTAGGGATGAACCCGAGTAAAGGGTGAGTCTCTAGTATCACATGTTATTCAATGTTAATAAATTCTATGATTTACTTTCAGGCTAAAGCGAATGAGGCAGAATTACAAAACCAGTGGGCCAATAATAGGATGACTAAAAGACAAACCCAATCAAAATATGGGTTTTAGCTTAAGTTATTAAAATGTATATAATAATATAGTTTAATAAACAACAAATTCTAATGAACTTCTTTATTTTATGCTAAGTACCTATATATATTACATAATCTATCATTTACAGTCTCCTTGCTTTTTGTGGTCTTGGTGGATTCCATGATACTCGGGTATTGTCAGTAATAGAAACAATTTCCAAACCACCCATTTGCAAACCTTTTATGGCTGACTGAAAGGAAAAAAGCATAGCGAACCTTATAATTCTTTACAATCTATATATCAATCTGTGTACACAACAAAACGACATGTCTTACCAATCGTCCTGGACCTAAACCCCTGACTTTCACTCGAATCGTCTTATACCCACGATCAATAGCTTTCTGAAAATAAGAATTATATATAACTTTATATTATATACATTTTTATTTATTTTAATTAATGGTAAAATGCTAACTCACTGTTGCTAAATTAATAGCAGTAGTTTGGGCGGCAATATTAGTTCCTTTCTTAGTGTTCTTAAATCCCTCAATGCCACAAGATCTTATGATCTTTACTATTCCATCAGCATCAGTTAGTGTGAAAATTGTATTATTGTGGCTTACTCTCACATTGCATATTGCTAGATTTTTGTATGGTGTACCATCAAATAACAAATTGTCAGACTCTGCAGTGGGAAATAAACCTTGTTTTCTGTAGAATATGCAGATATTAAAATATCATCTTACGAAAAATGAACGAATATTGTAATTTAATAATTGGAAAATAGAAAGAGAATAATAATCTACATATTATATCTAAAGGGCCAGCTACTATAGTCAAAACTAAAATAGGCCAATACTCAATTTATCCAATAATAATAGCAGAAAATATTTTAACGCTATAATCACGTACGATTTTAAGACAGAATCCAAATCAACAATTTTTTCTCCTTGAACACCTTCGTCGTCGGCAGGAATTCTTTTGTGATCAAACTTTTCTGTTGCTACAGGTGCGGAACTTTGAAAGGAGCGTACTAGGTTATTTATTGAACACCGTAATCTATTTCTTAAAATACTTAACATTTTGATTTTGTTATTGATATAATTTGTGTATTTTATTACAAGATTTTAAAATATAACCTAATTCTAATACCTATAAAATATGTGACAGCTGAGTCTGACAGTGACTTGATATTTTGATTTTTGACAAGTGACATTAAGCGTTTGGAATTTGGATAGTTTCTACCATGGATGACAAATAAAATAGATGAATTAGTTCTGGTTTCTACCTTTATTTTATCATCCAATATTTCTACGTTTATTATTCATCTAGTATCTACGGCATCTTTAAATATGGTTTTATCTATTTTGTTCATATTTACTTCATGTTTTTCTTTATTGCCAGAGTCCTAGTGCTAAACTAAAAAAATATTGCAGAACAGAATGTTTGGCGGTGATCACATATTCCTAATATTTTCAAAGAAACCATCACTAAGATACAAATTAATTTGTGAACACTTTGATCTTTTCTTTTATGTATAGCATATCTACATTGAATAAAGTTACTTCAGAGTTCAGCAACTTATTAGAAAATCAGCATTAAGCTTATTTACTTCTAATTTTCTTAATATCTGAGAAGCCATGCTTAGTACGTCAGTCGGCTATCACAAAACCCTCCACGAGAATTGCTCATGCGCTTAACGAGTCGAGTAGTAAGAGACATTAGGAACTAAGAAGTCATTAGCTGTCTTACTTCCTCTGTGACACTTTAGTTTAAAGGCGTAAGCATTATTAGATGCATCAAATAATTTTGTAAATTTTAATGAAATAAAATTATTTTTAGAAAGGAATTCATATTATAATGTTCGAAATGTAGAAATTAAACATCCTGTAAATCTTAAATGTATAATACATTTTATATTAGTATGAATAAAACACTTCTTCATGGAATATAACTTTAATAAATTAATATTGATGACTATTTTTATTATATTGGTAAAGTACATTTCTCTTAAACTAATACAATTATTGTTTTAACATATTTTTGCAATATAACACCGACTGAGAGAAACCATGTAGGGCCGTAGGAATACCAACGGTCAACAGCTGCAAATGGCCAGCTTCTGCTAGATAATTGGCCTTTGTGAGTTCTGTTGTGGCCCATTTTATAGTATATGGTGAAGGCTCACGTTCTAACGTTTCTGAATTCAAAATGTAATTAACTATAGACGAATACAATGGAGTAGACACCATCTTGATAAACATTCCTTGATCTAATATTTCTTTAATTAAATCCTCTTCAATTTCTTCTTTTTGCACCAAATCCTAAAATAAATAGAATTGAATTAATTTTTTAAATAGAATTATACTAGCGACTCACCCTCCCTTCGCTTGGATTCGTCCCTAGGTTGAATCCCAATACAAAGTTTCATCCCCATTTTCACTTCCTTATGATATGATAAAAACTATCTTACGTCCTGCACAGGGTCTGAAACGATTTTCTTACCAAATTTCATCTAAATCGGTCTAGTAGTTTCAGAGCTTATTCAGTACAAACAAACAAATAAAAAAATATTTCCTCTATAATATTAGTATAGATTAAAATTTCAAATATGATAAAATTGTACCTTATGTTCGAGGAGTAAGTTACGTAGCAACTCCTCTGAACAGTCGCACCGACTCAGTAGTACCACCCATATTGTGTTAATAAACGCTTCGCTCGCGTTCTCTGCCAGCCATTTGACTTCCTAGAAATAAGAATTTAAATATTTCACTGGATTAACTAAAATGGTAACCATTCATTCGAACAATTAGTATTTTTTATTTACCTAGTAAATATACTTCTTTCTACCTACATTAAAAAGCTTTATTTACTTGTAATCATTAAAAAAAAACGAAAAAATCTTCGCGTTCCGTACAAACGTTAGATGTAAACATGACGAACAGTTTAGACTTTAGAAGAAGATGGTTGCAGTACGATCTCATAGCTAGTGTCAGAAAATTTTCACACTACACTTATAAATATAATTGTGTCAACTTATGAAAAAAATTTAAAATAGACAGTCATGGGGATTACGACAGAAATGAAAACTTATAAATTTGGAATAACTGTTTTTTTTTATTTTTAAATTAATTATAATATAAATAATGATTAAAATTTCATAATTTGTAATTTGAAATTATCATTATTTACATTTTGATATAGTTTATTTATTAATAGCCCATCCGCGCCGAACTGCGTCGACGCGTCACACACATGTCACACGTAGCATGTCGGTGACGCGAACTCATAAGTTTCGCCCTACCAAAAATCGCTCAACGCGGCTAAAGAAGTCTCGACTTTAAAAATTTCTTTTAACATATTGGAAGAGCTTAGAGCAGTACCTGGTCATTGAGCACGGGGCGGCGCAGCAGCAGCTTGAGCAGCAGCAGCGCGTCGGGCGCGCGCGACACCAACAGCTCGCGCGCGTACTCGCACTGCAGGCTGCGCCCCTCAGACCTGACACGTGGCGACAAGTCTTCGTTAGTTTTTTTAGTTTTTTTTTATTTAATGAATGAAGCTTTCACCAGCCAAAAGTGTTCTCAACATTTCATTTTATATATTACATAAATCACTTTGAATTGTTTTTTTTTTAATTTGTTCCCGATAAAAAATCATTTTTCAAGATATACTTACAGTTTGTACAGTCCTCATTGGTAATTTAATACATAGATTATTAAAAGTTAACCGTTTCTATCCTGTTGATCCAAATAAAATGGCAGATAGAATAGATTTTTTCTTTATCTTTTAAGATTATACAATTTTATAATAAACATATATAACAACGGAAGCCAATTTATTTGATCATCAATGATTTAAAACTAATTCCCATAATATAACCAAATACATATATAAAAGTAGTTCGGTCCACAAGGTATCATCATATTTTATCAATAAACTTTACAACAATCTCAAATTGTATTTTTTATAGAAACTATCGTCACGTCCCCTACAAAAGTAAAGTAATATGAAGTATAGATGTGCGTGCGTCAGTCACCCGAGCGTGTGCGGCCAGCAGGCGAGCGCGTCGGCCAGCGCCTTGCGGCGCGCGCGTGTGTCCGCGGCCGGCGCCAGCGCGCGCAGCGCCGCCGCGCGCCCCGCCGCCGACACCAGCTGCGTCTCTGCGCGGCCAAGGGGAATCGAATCAAAATTAAATTACTTTATTCAAATTAATTTTTATTAAATTATACATTTTTAGGATAATTTCTAGATATCAGTAAAGTCCACGAGGAAACTAGCACCGGCTTGGAAGGCGGTTCTGCTGAGTAGAGTCAGAACGAATGGAGATAAGTTAGGGACGCACACGAGCGAAGCAAAGATAAACTTCGATTGTGATAAATATAGAAGATATTTAATAATTAATAAAATATTACAAAACTTTTAGTCTTGTGATATAATTTACGTTATTACGTTCTTTACAATAATTTTATTCCATTGTAAAACTCATTACTAAAAAAAATGACTTAGTAACATAAATATTAATTTGAAATAATTATTTTAATGTTTTGCAGAAAAAAAGATAACATACCGGTTAATTGTTGAGCATATTCGGACTCGGGCCACTCGGTTTTGAACAAGTCCACAGTAAACTGCGCGACTTTTAGCAAGTCATCGCCATCTTGGACCCTTGTACGTTGGCTGAGCGACAGAAGTCCTTATAATAAAAAAAACTTTTTTTAAATTCTGCAATATAAGTAAACTAAAATTTATACATATAAAATTGATTAAAAATCGCAGACACATTCGCGTAAAAATCCTCGTAAAAATATTCGAGTAAAACTAAGAAAGTATTATGATAAAAAAATCATTTAGAATTAAGAAAGGGCGCTTTTTTGGCTTTGTTTTGTTTCCGATTATTGTACTAATTGTTGTATTGAATGTAAAGTTGTGTTGAATGTAAAACATTCGAAACGTCGGGAATAAAAATCAAAATAAACCCGCGAAAAAACCCGAAAAAGTAGTTTTATTTAAACCACATAATTAATACCCAATTGCTTGTGCGGCGGAAGGCCATACTCTGTTGCCTTCTCCATGACCTCCTCCAGGAACTCTTCGGGAAACTTGATACCCTCTTTGTGGTATTGTATGATGCGAGTCACTAACACCTGCACGTCACTGTTAAGTAAAATGAATAGATATAAAAAAAAACGTACGTGTATGTATTTATGTACCGTACGTAAGAACTAAGAAGTTATACTTCTTTGGCGTAACAGAATAAAAATAGCTAAGTATTTCATCCCGTATGTGACAACTCTGTTTGTACATAACTTCATCATATCGCTTTTTGGCTGTCAGCGAGCGCACGCATCGTAAAAATTTTACTCTCATATTTTTTTCCAAATGTGCCAAAACAAGTATAACAAAAAAAACAATGATGAGGGTTCACGTGCACTCACTCGGCGTGCGCGGCGTCGACGAGTGCGCGGCGCAGCACGCGCGGCACGTCGGCGCGCGCGCCCACGCACTGCAGCAGCGACGCCAGCGCCGCGCCGCGCAGCCCCGCGCGCGCCGCGCCCGCCAGCGCGCGCTCCACGCCCTCCGCGCACCCGCGGCTGCTCTCCAGCGACCTGCGGTACACTTTGTTGGTTACATCCATCGATCGATCAACGACAAAAAATTGTTCTCACCGAATGAGCGCTCATTTCAACATTTGAGCCCAATTTCCAGTTTTTTTGTAAAAACAACTTTAAACTTTGCATTTAAGGTTCATTTTACATTGTTGTATATTTATTTCAACTAGAATAATTGTCTAAACAGAATTGGCGACCATTTTAAGAGTTATCTAGTACTTTTTTAATCGATGGTTACATCATAAATAATTGTACTAATATTATAAATGTGAAAGTTTGTATGGATGGATATTTATTACTCAATCACGCCAGAACGGCTGAACGGGTCTGGATGAAATATGGCACAGAGATAGATTATAGTCTAGAATAACATATAGGTTACTTTTTATTCCGGAAAAATGTACGATTCCCATGAGATAAGCGACAATGTCTAGGCGGTTAATATCACTGAGACTAGCTGTATGGGCACGAGCAGATATACGCAATTCGCGCGAAGACACAAGTGCATTACCAGTGCTCGTCACACACATACTCTGATAAGAAGAGTACTTGACAAAACCTGTGAAAAATCAGGCGCAGCACTGACGGCTTTACGGGTTTATCGAGAGAAAAATATAAAACATTGCCAACTGAGCTGTTACTTGAAATTTCTCGATAGTAAAACTCAATAACTATGTTTAGCTCAACCGAGAACCCGAACCTGAAACCTCCGAACATACAGCCATCTATGTTAATTTCTAAACCAACAAAGCAAGTAGAATATTGAACAAACACGCACATTTGACAGTTCATCTGACTGCCCTGTAATAAAATGTAACACATAATAATACACGTGTGAAACAATGTATGTGTATTTCACACATCTATGTATATAATTGTATGTGTGCAGTGTACATGTGTGTGTGCGTGCGTGAGTGTCTGTGTGCCGTATATGTATGTGTGTGTGTGTGTGTGCGTGTGCGTGCTCACATCCACAGGTGCGCGGGCACGTCGCTGGCGGCCACGATGGCCTGCACGCTGGCGGAGTGGTAGTTCTCCAGGAAGCGCGCCCAGCGGCCAAGCTCCGCGCCCGCCTGCGCCCACATCTGCTCGCTGGGCGGGGTCGGATTTTAAAAACGTGTGTAATTTATTACAATAATTAAATTAATATTTAAAATATTGCAAGAAAAATATTTAAAAAAAAAACAAATTGTTCAAACAAAAATAACAATAAACAAATTACAGTATTAAATTTTTACCACATACAGTAAAAACATCATAGGTTTATATTTTTTACCGAATGCAGATAAATTATGATGGGATATTTATTGTAAATCACTCACTTCTTGTTAAATTTCAAATCATTCTCTTGTTCCTGCTGGCAGTAGTCCACCGCTTGCATTATCATGAGATTGCGCGTGCCATGGGGGACACTGGGGTGGAAAAAGACAAGATATATTGCTTCTTGAAAAAACCTAATATTATGATAACCAAAAAATAATAAATTCAGTATCAAAGCAGTATGCTCAATAAAAACATAATATCTAATTTTTCAAAAATATATTTCTGTAATAATATAATTGTGATAAACAGAAAAATAAAACTGAAGTTACTTCACTACTTAAATACATATTTTACATGTTTCGTACATATTATACGTAATAATAATAAAATAAATAACACACAGCACCATCTAGTTCCACGGTTAACTACGAGGCTTGTGTTATGGATACCAGATAATTGATACACTACACACTTTAAGTACATACATAATATTCTAAATATGTATGTATTTAAAGTGTGTATGTTCATACAATACAAATTGAAATTATATATCCTAACATTACCGCTGCAACGCCTCCTCGGAGAAGCAGGTGGCGGCGACGAACTCCAGCAGCTCGTCCTTGGACAGCTTGGTGAAGTAGCTGGCGCACTGCCGCCATTGCTGCATCCACTTTTTACTCGCGCCACTAGCCGCTACCTGCAGTATATTAGAAATAAAATAGTTCTGATTGTAAATCAAATGAAAGTTGTTCATATTTATGTAATGACAATATTTTACTTTACATTTTAAATATAAATAATCTTTTATTAACAATAAAGTCACATTATCATCTGTTTTATAACAAGCTTTAAAAGCCAAATATGTTTGTTCAGGAGATAATACATCCATATGTCATCAGACCATTACCGATATTGTCTAAAGAAAACATGAGATAAAAAAAAAAGAAATAAACTATAATGTTAAATAAGAAATGGCGACCAAAAGCAGGTAAGGAGCGAAAGTGGTGTTTTTAGTTTGATATCATAAAGAGATGTGCCACTCGACTATTAGTGATCCGTTAGACAGAGGCGACGCTCTATAAAACCGAAATTAGCCGATTATCTCCGTCTTTGACTCGATGTACATTATTTACCGCTGGTTACTGTACAACTGACTGTACTATCACACTGTCGTACTACAACACTAACACTGAAGAAGTATCCGGTGAGCCACTTGGTGTAGAGCTGTCCGACGGGCGCGGGGGGCCGCAGCGCGGGCGGCAGCGCCCGCAGCCACTTGCCCAGCAGCGCCACGCTCTCAGGCCGCATCACGGACAGCAAGTGCTGCGTCAACTGCTCCGCTGAGGGCTGCTCCAGCACCAGCTTGTAGTCTAACTCTGTGGAACAATCAAAAAAAAAAAATAGCATTAAATTTTCTCAAATTTTTTACTGAACGTCATGCATCAACCAGTAAGCCAAGCCTCAGTCCATCTGAAGTTTTTTTTAATTAGTTTTTGTAAGCAATATATTAAAATAGCCTGGATGCGATCACATTATTTTTTAAATCTGTTATCTCCTATAACACATCTTGGAAATTGGAATACCTTCTTGTAGTGTGTTAATTAACATATAATTGTTATTTTCATTCCACTTTGGAGAAACCGAAAAAAGGTTACAATGTAATTTAATAAAGGACTCGCAAATATATGAATAAAAGAAATATTTTAAAACTCACATTACAAATTTAATTAGTCAAACAGGGAAAGTCAAGTAAAATTTTAATAAATCGCTTATAAAAATTGAATATATCTATATCTTTAAATTACTTGATTTTCAAACAAATTACATACCTGGTGAGGCAGCCTTCGCCTTCTTCAAAAGTTTGATATGTTCGTTGGCAGTGAGACCGAACATTTGTGTTTTGTCGTCGATTTTCTTTAGGATCGTAAAGAAGTTTAATAAAGCCGCATAATCATTTCCACGGATTGTAGGCCATATTGTATCACGGATTCTGTTAGTACAATAAAAAAATGTAGAGATTTATTTATTTTATTATTTTTCAATACGTTTTCATTTGCTTCAATTCGACTTGAGTAAACTTAAAATTCGTTATTTACTTATTAATAAAATAATGATTAACTTTCTAAGTAACACTCTCGTTACTTGTCAAAAGATTAACTTAAGAAATAATATAATAACCACAAAAGGTGTGTCTTCTCCATTCTACGTGATTTGTGCTCAACTGGCACGCTTTGAAGCCATCAACAAGAGATTTGAAGTGAATTGAATTAAACCAAAAAAAAAGATAAAAATAATATAAATACCGGTTGCAAGCATCTGCATTGTAAGCGGTGGTCGGTATCGTATCGAGGTCGACACTCGCTAGAGAGTGCGTCGCGTACTGCAGCCACACGTCCACCGCGTCCAGCTCGTACTTCGCGGCTAGAGCGCAAGACATCCGAGCTTGTTCTGCTCCACCCAATCTGTTTAGATATTAAATTAAACTTAATCGAGATATTTATATAATACATTAACATTAACTTTATTTTATGGTTGATTCCCTATACAATCTTTCGTACCCATTTTCACCCCGAAGAAGAGGAAAAATATATATCACTAAGTTTAAATATACAACGAAAATTTCGTATATTATTTAATTAGTCATAAATAAATATTAAATAAAATAATTATTTATAACATTTTCTTTAAATAAATGAAAACACTTCTATATAGGGATAGTGTACTTATATTTTGATTCACTTGACGCAGCCGAAATAGCTCAGTTGGGAGAGCGTTAGACTGAAGATCTAAAGGTCCCCGGTTCAATCCCGGGTTTCGGCAAAATACTTTTTTTTGATATTTTATTTTTTACCAATTCATTTTAAACTTTATTTAATCTTTAAAACTATTATCAATTGTGAAGATATTAATATAGAAGATATTAATAAATGATTTTGATAGAAATCAACTTCAAACCCACTTATGGACTTACTTGGCAAGTCGATATATGACCTCCCTCCTATAGTCTTGGTCGGCGTTAAAGAGAAGACCATTGACGGAAAGACCCAGATTCCGAATGCGGTCTACTTCCCCCATACCGCTCAGTTTGTCGATATATTGTCGGATCAGAGCCATCTGTTCTTCTGATACGTTATTTTCTTTCAGCGCCATGTAGGCCATCTACACAAAATATACTTGTTAAAAATGTCCTTGATCATGATTTTTATGATGGTTGATCAATGAGACTAAAAAGAGAAACATCAAAACCAGTGAATGTCAAAATACAATAGAAATGATAAACTTAAATACATAAAACTTAATTATTTAGCATTAAAATCTCATTTTTTTAAACTATTTTTCTAATTCTTTGGTGTGCAATACGTGTGACATATCTATATTGTGTATATGGAATTGGTATATATTTTGTAAGGTGTTTATGTGTACGTATTTCTACAATATAGAAATCCATACAGTAGTCGATCGTCCATTGATTTGAATGGAAATGCTCTCAAATACACTAGGTGTCCAAAAAATACCAATTTTCATCGGCTAACGGTTTCGAAGTTTGTCATATAAAAGTATGGTAGCGCCTTCCCGCGTCTTCTTCTCGCACAACTCTATTTGAATAAAGTATGTTTTGTTTGATTTATTCTTCATCACTGACATCATCATTGTGCTATACATGATAGCATATACATATTATATTAAACTAGTGAGTAGCGACTCACCTTTGCTCCGCTCGGGTTCGTCCCTACTTACGTTTTAACGTTTATTATAGATTTCTCAAAGATGAGATATTTTTCCGCAGTAAAAAGTATTTTATATGTTGACCCGGATAACCAACTATCGTCAGAGGTACCAAATTACATCAAAATCCCTGAAATGGTTTTCCCGTGATGCGGTCACAGACAGACAGACAGAAATTCTGAAAATTATACATTCGACCTCTGTATCGATAATAATGATTTTCCAAAAAATATTTTTTTAAAGGTACAGACGACTGTATAGGAGAGTAGACTGTGACCTATAACAATATACACTAGACGACCGCTATTTATCAGTAGACTGTGGCAGTTGTCACCTCACCTGCCGTGGCTCGGCCAGGTACACGTGGTCGCGCAGGCGCGGCGCCAGCGCGCGCACGAGCGCGGCGTACAGCGCGGCCGCCAGCGCCACGGCGCCCGCCGCGCCGCCCGCGCCGCCCGCCGCGCGCGCGCGCAGCCGCACCGCCACGCTCAGCGCCGTGTCCACGTACAGGAGCTCCTCTGAGCACTTCTGGATTACTGGAATGTGCATCAAATTATTGAGAATATTGGGAATATTGCTTATTTATGAATTTAAAAATTGATTTGACAATATGTGAAAAATTCTAATATTTCTGTAAATCTGTACGAAAAAAATAAGTGTACACATCGCTTCATCGTTGTATTGAAACTGTCTCTGTATCCCTAATATTTATTCATGTATATCTCTTTACACATGCGAGATAAAATTTCTTGGATAGGTTATATATTTACAGTCACATACATATCCGATGCTATGCTTTTTTTAATGTTGGGAATAGCATTAACGCACACCATCCGCATAGAAGTAGGATTATTTAGGACTCACCACTCAGAAAAACCAGTACTACCCACTAAAACTAAATAGTCAAATCCGTCATAATGGAGAGTCGCAGCACCACTTACGCACTCAACCACTATTAGAGAAGTACCAGAAGCAAGTCGCATGAAACACCGCCCACCAAAGTGGACCACCTTCATCACCACACCTCTCGGCTTCACGGCCGGCCGGACCGCCAGCCGCTCCCGAGCCGTACTCACCGTCGTCCCCGGCGGGCGCGTGGCCGTCGAGGGCGGCCAGCGCGTAGAAGGCGTGCAGCAGCGCGCGCGCGGCGCCCGCGCCCGGCGCGTCAGGCACGCAGAAGCGGTCGTAGGCGTAGGGCGCGCCGCGCGCCGCCGTCTGCAGCGACCGGTAGAACTCCGGGCAGTGCACCGCGCGCTCCTCCGCACAGCTCGACTGGCCCTTCTCGTAGCTGCGGATACAACGATTATTATTAACATTTTGCCGCGACTCTGCTCGCATAGTTCAATTATGTATAACTTAATCCGTTCAGTAGTTTTTGTATGAAACAGTAACAAACAAACATCCTCACAAACTTGCGCGTTTATATATAAGTAGATTTTATATGAGTTAAAACCATGTAACATCTTTTTCAATAACTTTGACAATCTCCCGATATTTCAACAATGTTGTAAGCGAAACCACAGTCGTCAGCACCTGTTATATTATTATATCATAAAATAATATCCATAAAAGCTTAGTGTTTATTTATTTATATTACAGAAACTATAAACAATTCACAAATAATCGATCAAGTCTTCATAAATAATAAAAAAAATAAAATTATTATGCATTAAAAAAACATGTTTTATTCTTAATTTTAACACATATAGTATTTTTTGTGCAATTTCTTATTTTAGTCAGTAGTGTTTTGTTGATAATTTCAATTCCTTAAAAAAATTACCTTGAGAAGAATTCAGCTGACTTAAAATGCCTCTTTTTTTAAGAGTTTTTTATTATCTAATTTAATAATTGTAAAATAATAAAACAATTTGACAAACCTTAACGTGAACTTATTCTGGAAGGAGTCCAACAAATAATTCAAAAGGGGAACTTTTCTTTCAGTCTGAGCAGGTGGTACCAAGTCCTTATTTTCTATAACGGGCTGTAAAACAAAATAAGTACACAAAATATAAGAGTTTTCATAATTTAATTATTAAATAGCACAACCCTTTCAAACTAATTTTATCTAATGTATTTCATTTAAGTGCAAGAAAGAGTAGTAGATATATATAGTATAAGCAACTCACCCTCGCTTCGCTAGGGTTCGACCCTGGAGAAAAACAAAACAAATCTATCCCACGGGAACTGTACATTTTTCAGGGATAAAAAGTAACCTATGTGCTATTCCAGTTATTATATTATAATCTATCTCTATACCAAAATTCATTCAAATTTAATCAGCCGTTCTGGCGTGATGGAGTAATAAACATCCATCCGTTCATCCAAACTTTTGCATGTACCTATAATATTATTAATGGGATGGGATAAAAGCACTTAAGGGAGCACCGGATCGAAGCAAGGAATTATCACTAGTAATATATGTGGGACGAATGTGTTAAATATAAATAGTTAACCTCTTATCATTCCTCTTGTACTAAAGGGAGGCCCGTGCCCGGCAGTGGGACGTTAAAAAAGGCTGAATACTATGCCTTATCTGTGAAGTGTGAATAAAAGGAAGAACGAGTGAAAGGGATAGAGTGTGTTCGGCCACGATTGATTTTAGTATGAGAGTTGACTGTTGAGTTTGAAAGACAACAAACAAAAACAAAGTAAGCAAACTGTATGTGCATTGAAAGAAGACGTGATATACAAATTAATAAACGTATTAAGGTGATACATAGTTACATTGCTGGTATCCTCAATTTTACATATAGATATATAAATATGTCAGTCAAAAAAAAACGGATGTCCCAATAGCAATGTTGTAAATATGTATATATAAGTCATAAGAGTTACATTTCTTCTATATTGCGACAGAGTTGTAACAAAGGATTCCTTAATATATAATGAAAAGTAGAAGAAAAGAAAATTAAAAAAAATGATAAAGTTCGGATACTTAAAATTACAAGGCTACAATATTTCACTACTTTAAAAAAATTATATAAAAACTTAAATTTAAAATAAAAGTACCGTTGTAATGGCGTCAGAAAACTCGTCTTCCGTAGACGGCCAGCGCTCGACGGCGCGATTGTTGTCTCTATATGCAACACCCATCTGCTGCATGCTCTCCAGTTCAAGTTTTAATCTATAATAATTATTATATTTGTACATTAGTATATAATATACTAGCAGAACCTGCGGCTTCGGTCATGCTAAAACTACAAAAATTTCTAAAAAGGTAGTTTCATACAAACTTTCATCCCCTATTTTACCCCCCTTTAGCATGAATTTCGAAAAAAGCTAAAACACGTATTTAATTTTATTGAAGAGCATTAATACCAAGTTTCAAATAATTCTGATTCGTGAGAATTCGATAATCTCCCGCAGTCAAAAGTAGCTTATGTTACTCTCCAGCCCTCCAACTATCTCCACACAAAAAATCACGCCAATCCTTCACTCCGTTTCGATGTAAAAGAAGGACAAAGAAACAAACACACTTTAACATTTAAGTATGGATTATCCATACTAATGAGTAAGAAAAATTATTGCAAATAGTTTTTAATACACAACGATTTTGTATAGATTTTTATTGCAACGTAAACAGAAAACAAAAAATACCGAAATTTACATTATATTTAAAAAAAATACTTTAAATATATGTAGATGACTGAAAAATTGTCAAAACAAGTATTGTAGGTATCGCATATTCTTAGATGGCGCTACATCCGTCCCAAAGTTGTCATAATTACTAAAACTCATTTTGTTTTTATAATTTGGTATATTTCGTACATTATTATAGAATTTAAATTTTATGTCTCATCATTAGAGTCCGGCAATCCAGCGGGGCGTGAAGCTAAGAACGCATTAGGAGGTGTTGGTGCTTATCTATGCCTTCGAGCTAAGAGTAGAGTAGTAGAGTAGAGTAGAGTCAAGAGTAAGCCCATTTTTATTACAAAAAAGGTGAAGGATTGCTCCTAGTACTCCTCTGATAGCAGAGTTGATGGTCCTTTGGTTGTTGTGGTCTGCTTCGCCCAGTCGGGGTGTTGTGATTCTATGACGTTTCATCAAGATAGAAGTTTTATTGGGTTTTAGCTGGCATTGGTTCTACTAGTCGATAAATTTCACATAGCCATCTGTATGTGCAGGTTGCATATACATAAGGCTATGGATAATGGAAAAAAAATAGGTGCGTGTAACCTTTATGTGCGTTTGAAGTAAAAGTTCTTTGGCAAATATCGCAATTAAATTAAAGCAAAACAATAATTAAATAAGGTATGTTAGACATGTTACAATTATCTGTACTAATATTATAAAGAGGTAAAGTTTGTGAGTTTGTGAGTTTGTGACGTTGTAGGGGGTAATCTCTGGACCTACTGAACCGATTTTCAAAATTCTTTTACCAATAGAAAGCCACGTTCTTTCTGAGTGTCATAGGCTATATATTAACCCGAAAAATGAAAAGGCTTTTTCGTGGTAGTCGGATTTGCAAAGTAAGTCGGAGAAAAAACGGTCGAACGAAAACGTTTCTTACGAACGCTGCCTTAACGATGAGAGATATATGATTATGTTCTAGAGAAAAGTTGTAGAGCTTAATAATGCCTACAAAAAAGTCAGCGACAGCATATGTCTAACTTTTATATTTAAGTCACAAAAAGTAGTTTTTATATTAAAAAAATAATTTAAATCGGTAGGTCATGTTTATTGGTCATATTATCAACAATTATGAATTCTTATCAAAATAAGTAAATTTATCGTCTAAAATGTTTAAAATAAAAGACTTTTCCCTTTTACTGCATATAATCCCCTTCCCCCCGGACTTTCAAACAGTAAAGACGTGTTTATAGTTTACTTTATTACTTGTATTTTCGGATAAATGTTGGGATAAATAAAGTTAAAATAATAGGAGTGCATAAAGCTCGAGGAAGTCTACGAAGTGCTAACGACATCTGCGGCAGTGGCTACTCAACGAACTAAACTATGCGTGTGAGTGGGACAATCACATTTACAATTTAAAAATAAAATAGGACATATCATATGACACCACACGTTGCAACCCGTTAAGAAAAGAGACGGTTATATTTTTACTTGTACAGTTACATTACGTCTACGGGTACAAGTCCGCAAATCCATTGCGATCACACTCCTAACTCATATTGCCCTGGTACTCTCAAACCGGTTATACAATGCCGATCAACCGCACTCCGCCGCCCTCGTCGCCCGTGCCTATGAGCTCCGATGATGCAGCGCAGACGCGCGCGATTGACGCGATAGAACGGACGAAGATACATCACTGTGAATCTGCGCCTGATATTACATCACTTACGCTAAATGTTACCGAGCGTAAAAAAAGGAAACATGACGGAGTGAATCCTAATATCATGTCATATATGAGTGAAATGTTTTCAGCTCATACGAATGAACAAGCGAAGCTTTTTAAAGACTTACAAACTATAGTTTCTAGTATAAAAGAACAGAATGATGAATTAAAAAAAAGCGTTGATACAATGTCAAGCAAATATGATGAGTTTCTGTCACGGATATCTGTTCTCGAGGCGGAGAAAAAGCAGGATAGATATATTATACAACAACTACAAGAAAAAATCGAAAATATGGAACGAAAGTCTAGATTTTCAGGAATAGAAATAAGAAACATTCCTAAAAACAATGAAGAGACAAAAGAAAATCTATGTAGTACAGTAAAAAAATTAGGGGAGTGTTTAAAAGTAAATCTGCGGGATTCTGATATAAAAGACGTGTATAGAATTAACTCTAAGACAGGGACTAGGCCGGTAATAGTGGAATTTAATTCAGTTATCATTAAGGAAAAGATGTTAAATGAAGTTAAAAGATTTAATAAAACAAAACCAAAAAGTGAGAAATTAAATACCTCGCATCTAAATTACTCACAAAAAAATATACCTATATACGTCACGGAGACACTAACACAAAACACTCAGAAACTTTTCTATCAGGCTAGACTTTTCCAAAAAAGTCATAACTATTTATTCTGCTGGACATCTAGAGGCATTGTATATTTACGCAAGAATGAAAGTTCGTCTCAAATTAGAATAAATAACGAAAAGGATTTAGAAAATCTTCGGAAGACCGAATGACTAGTATTAAGATTAGATATTTTTGCATCCCTTCTATTATTAAGTAGCATAATAAAAATAAAGTATATCCTAACCCTATACCCTGTAATACACATAATCACAATTTACACACAGCACATAATTAATATACAAACATTATATACACATACTTTCATTAACTTACAGCGCACCCATTCATCTTTAAAACCACACCTGTGGATTATATTAAATCATATTCGCTCATTTCATATATATAACTTACATTCATATATCATATCAATCAATTTATCTAATAAAAAATATTATTTGATTAGTAAAGAGAATTTTTTAGAGAAATTTAAACCAATAAATAAAATTCGATAACGCTCAAAGCTTCACCATTGACTTAGATAAAGTTACGATATCGAAATCGATAGTCTGTGACGTTGAAGAGTGTTATAGGTATTTTACATGTAGTGAATTGAACTTCACAATGATCACGCAGAATATACGAAGTATTAACTGCAATATGACAGATTTTGAAGTATTGCTTACTAGATTAAAAATAGATTTTGATGTCATTGTACTAAGTGAATGCTGGCTGCTTGATAAAAATAACTTACCTAAAATTAATGGTTATAACTTAAGCTCCACTATTTATAATAACAACCAAAATGACGGATTGGTAATATATGTAAAAAAAAAACATTTGTTCACAACTGAGGAGCCTCATTTTCTAGAAGGAAATTGCATGATAACAACACTGAATGATATAGTTATAATCTCAATATATAGGTCACCGTCATATAAAAACTTAGAAAACTTTTTTGTCTTCTTGGATAGTGTCCTGCAGAAATATTCGAAACATAAAAACATAATTATTATAGGAGATATAAATATTAACATTAACAATGATAAAATAGACATTAATTCTGATAAGTATTTACAACTGACAGCATTCCATGGGTCATTACCTACTCATACTATAGTAACACGTGACGCAAGCGGCTCGTGTATTGACCATGTTCTGCTAAAATCGAATAATCCTTCTCTTACTATAGTTCCTCAAACTTCAATTACTGATCACAAACCTGTAATTTTATGTATCAAAAATAAACAACGTCAACAGTTCTTTACAACTACTATCAGAAAAATTGATTACGAGAAACTTAGATCAGATATGCAAAACATTGATATTTCACCCATATATGATGCTAAAGATCCTAATACTTCTCTTGAATACTTAGTTGATAAAATAAAATTAGTGATTGAAGTTAATACTAAATTAATAAAGTTGCCAAGACAAAAAAAGATCATCAAACCCTGGATTACGACTGGTCTTCTTAGATGTATTCGTCACCGTGATAAGCTACACAAGAGGGCCAGACGTTTTCCAGACAATGAAAGTGATCAAATCATATACCGGCGATATCGTAATCACTGCAACGCACTTCTTAAAAGGGTAAAAAGAAATTATGAAAAAGAGCGAGTTAATATGGCTAAAAATAATAATAAAAAGCTATGGGACGTACTTACTGATATCATAGGTAACATTAAAAACAAAGGGTATAACAAAGAACTTTTGAATATATCCAACACGCCACAACTATCTGTTAATCTAATTAATGATTATTTTGTAAATGTAGGTAAAAGCTTGGCAGAGAGTTTCAATGTAGGAAATAATAACAGTGATAGTTTTAATATTAACATCGGTGAAGAATCAAATTGTTATTTAAACTCATTTGCATTATTGGACACAGATGAAAGTGAAATAGCACAATTAATTGACAATTTGAAAACAGACTGTTCAGTTGGTTGGGATGGAATCTCAAATAAATTTATTAAAGATTTTAAATATTTGTTAATACCACCTTTAACCTATATATTTAATCAATGTCTAAATTATGGTGTATTCCCTAGATATCTTAAAAAGTCCGTAATTCGGCCTATTTTTAAAGAGGGTGATAAGGCTTGTATAAGCAATTATAGACCTATCTCTATTCTACCAGCTTTGTCAAAAATATTGGAGAAAATTATCAATAATAGACTTACAAACTATTTGGAGCGAAATAATTTATTGTCGAATACACAGTTTGGTTTTAGGCATGGCAAATCAACAGAGCACGCCGTTCATACTTTGACAAGTTTTATATCATCTTATTTAGACAGTGGAAAAAAATGTATATCAGTTTTCTTAGATTTGGCTAAAGCATTCGATACCGTGTCAATAAAAATACTATTAAAACGACTAGAAAACATCGGTATTAGAGGCACTCAACTCAAATTATTCAAAAGCTATCTCTCTGAGAGATATCAATGCGTTGGTGTCAATAATATTAATAGCAACGACTTATTAGTAACACATGGCGTGCCCCAAGGGAGTATACTCGGACCAACTTTATTTCTTATTTATATTGATCATCTAACAAAATTTGATCTCTCTCAGGGACATATAATATCATATGCAGATGATACTGCTTTGATATTTGCTGCGGATACGTGGGCAGATGTTTTCTCATCTGCACAGATAGGTATAAATGCAATTACTAATTGGCTATACAGTAATAAACTTTCACTCAATATTAGGAAAACAAAATATATAGCTTTTTCATTAAGAAAACCTATTCGAAACCTTGAAAATTTTAACTTAATAATTCATTCATATAATTGTTTAACTAAGGACAATAGCTGTTCCTGTCTATCACTTGAATCTGTTGATTATATTAAATATTTAGGGGTCATAATAGATCAGAATTTAAATTTTAAACAACATATTGACACACTTAGCAGAAGAACTCATAAATTAATATATATTTTTAAAACCATTAGACACGTATTGGATCCGGATATATTAAAACGAGTTTACTTAGCTTTATGTCAGTCTATTATAACGTACTGCATATCAACGTGGGGCAGTGCTTCTAAAACCGTATTACTTAAGATCGAAATCGCTCAACGTGCAATTCTTAAAGTAGCAACATTTAAACCTTTTCTATATCCTACATCACAACTCTATAATAACTGTAAGGTCCTTACGGTAAGACAACTGTTTATATTAACGATCATTCAGAAACAACATAGTCTACTGCTATATGACCCAACGAACTTAAATAAACGCAGAAAATTTTCTGTAGATACAACTAATTTTAAAACAACTTTTATAAGAAGATTCTTTGCATTTTTAGGACCACACTTATATAATAAACTAAATAAAACATTAGACATTTACTACCTTAATAAAATAGACTGTAAAAAAACTGTATTTGATTACCTGCAAAAATTAACTTATATTGAAACTGAAAACCTTCTTAGTATTCATATCTGATCATAATATTTATTATATAACTTGATCCTGCAATATTGCCTATGTAAAATAATAATACCCAGGCACACACACGCGCATACACACACATACACAGACACACATTACACACTCCTCTCCTTTAATTGCTCACACACATTACACTCATTACACAAATACTTCTTACAGTCATGCATTACACATCTTAAGAGAGAGGAATGACATATTTAGTAATATTAATTAATATCTTTAGTTGATATGTAATTCTTTATTTTTTTGGTAATATTTATGTCACCTAACCGTGGGGATATGGCGCTGACAGCTGATGCACAGGTCTCCTAGTTCGGCTGCAGATGCTATGTTTTAAATATTTGTATGTACCAAATTAGATTTAGTTAGTGTTAAGCAAATATCTGGATGTATTTACTACCTTTTGGAAATAAAGAACTTATTATTATTATTATTAATTTGGACAAATGGTTAAAGAGATAATACAACATATTCGTATGTATGGACGAACCCGAGCGAGCTGTTTATCTGTTTTTCTCTTTGTACGGGCTAATCTCCGGATCTATTGGACCTATTTAAATGAAATTTTGCATGGTGGTACCTTATATCCCCGGGCAAAATCTTAGATACTTTTCATCCCGGAAAATTAAAGAGTTCCCGTGGGATAGTTAAAAAACTATAACAATTTATACAGCTTAGTACACAAAAACTACTGATTGGATTTTAATGAAACTTTACAATAATATAGTTCATACATGACAAAAACAAATCAGCTACTTTTCATTCCGGAAAATTAAAGAGTTCCCGTGGGATAGTTAAAAAATTATAGTAACTTATACAGCTCAGTACACAACAACTTATGCACCTAATTTAGTAAAATTTGGCATGCTGATACCTTATATTGCAGGTCAAACAACAGGTTACTTATTTTATTTATTTTATTTTTATCTCGGAAAAATGAACGGTTCCCGTGGGATAGATCTGTTTGTGCTTTTCTAGAGGTGAACCCGAGCGAAGCGAGGGTGAGCCGCTAGTTTATTTATATTCATATACGGAAAGGATATATAATATATTTGTCAGAAAATAACAACGGTTACCATGGCAACATGGCAATGTATTGTATCTCAGTGCCTCGCCGGCTTAATTCAATATATTTATGTTTGACTCTCTTTAGTGTCGCATTTCCGTTTTATTTCCATTTCATTGAGTTTTAATTATTCAAAAGAAGTTTCAGTTCAAAAAATGCATATGTTGCAGTGTCGTGTGTAGAGTGTACCTGTCGCGCAGTATCTGCGGCAGCAGGTGCGGCGGCGCGAGCGCGGCGGCGGCGGCCAGCAGGCGGCGGCGCGCGGCGGTGTCGGGCGCGGCGGCGGGCGCGGCGGCGGCGGCGGCCAGCAGCGGCGCGGCGGCCGCGTGGCGCAGCGCCGCCAGCCGCCGCGCCGCGCCCGCCGCCGCCGCGCCGCCCGCGCCGCCCGCCGCCAGCGCGCGCGACAGCACGCTCATCAGCACCATGCCCTCTCTGCGAACACACACACACACACACACATGAACACATTATGGCTGATGCGCATCAACGTTTTATAAACGTGTCGATGCGAATGATAATCTTCACATTACGTATCGTGAAACTTACTTCATCTATTTGCTTTTATTTCAGAATATTAATATATTATTCGAGTATTTAATTCAAACTATTAATTTTTACTATATATTTTTTTATATATTATTAATGTTAATTTCATCAATAATTGAGAAATATTTTACATTTAAAATCCTTTTTCGTTAAATAACGTTAGATAAAAATATATTGACTTATTAATTATATTCGCACATCCCCCAATAACAGTTGAGCAGACTTCAATGAAACTTTTTATTGATTAAGACGATATTAATTATGATTAAAACCCATATCATAGAATCCTAACAACAGCTTAGTATAGATTAAAAAATAAAACTACAAAAAGTAATCAATACCTAATATCCAAAAAATGTACCAAAATAACTTAAAAAAATTTGAATACCTAGTTTGTTCGTCATCTCCTGCAATTCTCAATAGCTTAGCAAGTTTCAGCAGCTTGTGGCTCGCGAGGAACGCGCTGGGATCCTGTGTCAGGCATTCTTCTATCAGCTGCATTCTATCTTCGCAAAGTCGGACTGCGAGAATAATTAAATGTAACAGCTAACAGATTACCAAATACTAAATCAAGGATTTTTAAAATTTAAATTTATATGTAAGTATTTATATTGTGAGTATACCTTAGGAGTCATACAGTACGCACATACTATCGCGTATATTTTCGTGATTCCGTAAATTTGAGTTTTTCGTAATTTTTAAACTATTTCGATTTTCGCGCTGAAACCCTAAATATATTCGGAATAAAACGTATTCCGTATGTAGCCCTACAAAATCTTTTATCTTTCAGTTAAAGTTCTATCACAATCGGTTAAGCCGTTCCAAAGATTATCCCGGACAAACAGAAAGACAGATAGACAAATATTTTAAAAAGGGTTTTTAGGTACTATATCATATAAATTTTCTCTATGTATTTAAGAAAACATAGTTATTTAAAAATCCCACACAGACAATTTTAATCAGTATAGATTTGCAAACGGGTAGACAGATCTCAATGTATCAAAATGTACTCTGAAGATTTTTAATTAGGTACACATATTTTCGAGCTAAGAAAATATAATTTTTAATAAATTATTATTAATTATTGTCGCTGATGAACTGAAAACTATCGGCGATGACAGATTAATTTCTAGTACTGGTTTATTCAATCATTTTAATTTGTAATATGTTGATATTTTATAACCTTAATTTATTATACATACAAATATCTAACTGTAATCTCACCTTGTATGGGCAGTATGGTGAGTTTGAAAGAATTCAGTATAGGGAGTGCAGCAATAAGGTCCAACTCTTGTTGTATCTCGTTATTACCTTCTTCAATTAGCAGTAAGCAGCATCTAAAATATTCATAAAATTGTTTTTTTAGTAACATAATCGTGCTGTCCTGATCATCCTTTGAGCTTAAGGCATTCTAGAACCGGATAAGTCACACGAACTTTTTAGTACTATTTTGTTAAATTCTTAATTTAAAAAAGGTTAATACTGTAAATTGAAAAGTTTGCTAATGCATGTATTTTTATGTTGCAACAGGTCAACGCATTTAAATGAATTCGTAATGATGATCGATGATATCTTGGATAACATAGGTTACTTTTTTGTCTTTTTTTTTAAATGGGAATTCAGTAGCATCTTGCAAAAACAGCGACTAACTTGGCCAACTCCAAAGCGGGATCAATGAGCGAGGAGGCCGAGTTGAAGTACTCCTTGGCAGCGTTGGAGACCAGCTCGACGCTGCGCGCGTACGGCACGCGGCCGACGCGGCGCGCGCGCGGCGGCCGCGGCGGCGACAGCACGTCCGCCGCCAGCCGGATGCTGGCCGCGTCGCCCGACGTCAGCAGGGCCGACACGTAGATCTGTTTCACATCGCCTTGTGATTGGACTAATAGTGTAAATGCGAGTTTGTGTGTGTGCGTGTGTGTTACATGTTACTCCTTCACGCCGAAATGGCTGGACGCATTTGGATGACATTTAATTTAGTACACAGATAGACTGACGTAGAGTATCAATAGGTACTCGACTGAAACGACCATAAGTCGCTAGTTAACATATATATGTATATACGTTGCTTTTTTTTGGCCTCTAAATGCGAATGAAACTAGGATCAGTTGAAAGACAATAATTAATTTAATTATTGTCTTTCAACTGATCCTCCTTAATATATCGAGTTATGTCAATGTAAAATTAAGTCTATTAAATTATGATGAAACAGAAAACCTTTTAACCTTCCTCTTACCAACTCATGTATACACATTACACGTAGTATATTATAATCATACGGATGGAGCGCTATTTTTATGTCAAATTATTTTAGTACTTCTTGTATAAAATAAAAGCTATCACTTTGAAAAAATGCTTAATAGAATATCACTAGCGTAATTGTATGAAAACCATATTGTACCTCATAGCACTCTTCTATCGTGATGCAGTCGAAAAGTGTGACTTGCAGCTCCAACATGTCCGTGATAAGGCTCTCCCAGTCTCGCTGTGTTGGTTTCTCTTCGCTATTAGTATAAATAATATAATTTATTCATCGATCAAAAAAGTACTAGATACACAATCAGCGACAAAATATGTCCTCACCGAATGAGCGCTAATTTGAACATCTGAGCGCGCATAATTTAAGATTCAATTTATATTGTTGTATATTTATTTCAACTAGAATAATTACCTAAACACAATTGGTGGCAGTTTTAAGAGAACTTTTGCATCGGACTGTGTATCTAGTACTTTTTTGATTGATAAATTTATTAGATAAATTAAGTTATTCATAAGTTAATATTATATTCTTCTTCAATTATGTTTTCGAATCGTGAAAAACGCGGTAAGTGAAGCTTGAATTGTGATGCTTCTTATATGTTAATACTAAAGTTTCAAGAATTTCGCGAAGTATAAACACATTAACTGATTTGGTTGGCTTGGGTTTACTTTTTCTTCGGTAAATAGATTATTTTATTATTTTAATTATATTTATATATATACTGTTTGTAAATAAATTAATAATATAACTATTTGTATATTAATATATTCTTACAATAAATTTGAATTTTTTACTACCATTTCAGCTTAGCTTATTTACTACTAGCGACTCACTCTCGCTTCACTCGGGTTCGTCCCTAGGTTGATTCCCCAAACTAACTTTCATCCCCATTTTCACCCCTTTAAGGGACGATTTCCGGAATAAAAAATATCCCATGTCCTTCCCAAGGATTTCATCTAAATCGGTCCAGTAGTTTTTAAGTTTATTCCTTACAAACATCTCAACAAATCTTTCCACTATATAATAGTAGTGTAAATAAGCTTTTAAAGTAAGTTTTTTTAATAAAAAAAACAACAAATAGAAGTTTTACTTTTTCTCCCGCCTCCCGCCCGACCACGACGCAAACTCAAGTCACAACAGCGTACTGACTGTACAAGCTAAATAATAACATTGGATTCATGTTTCTAAGACTAATAGTTTAGTAATTACGAAGGGAAGATGATATAGACCCTTTCCTTAAATAATACTTTCTTACATTTTTATTACAGTCATTTTTCTTGTACGTTTCCGTGTGATTTTAGAGACGTTTCATTTAAAAAAAAAGAGTTTAATTTCATATAATATGTACTTGAGCATGTTTCCAATTATAACTTCAAGTAAAACTATTTTATCGTTTTTTTTCCCAGATTTCGATCTCAGCATGTTATCAATTGGTATATTTGCTAATACGTAAAAAAAGTATATGTGTGTGCAATTCACACACGGTAGAAGTGAAACTTCAGAAAAGTAACCTACGAGAGAATGAGATTAATATAGAGTATCAGGAGTAGGATAATTATAAGGTTTATTTTTTTTATAATATTTTTACAAAGTTTAAAATTATTCTATATTCTTGTTGACATTATTCAGTATTAATTTTATTATTTTACACTTACTGTTTAATGTATTCTATCTCATTTTCTCGTCAGCTTAATCCTATATATCTATGTGTTTGTCACTTTTATTGAGTTTCAAATCACAACGATTCTAAAGAATTTTCAGTTCAAAAAATAAAGCGTGTCCCTCACTTGGCGGCGAGCTCGCGCGCGACGCGCGTGAGCAGCAGCGCGGCGTGCGCGCGGTCGGCGGCCAGGCGGCGCAGCGCGCACGGCGGCACGCGCACGCCGCGCCACGCCAGCCGCCCGCTGCCCGCCACCGCGCGCTCCAGCGACGTCGCGCGCCGCACCAGCGACGTCGTCGAGATGCTGCCGTCCCTGCGCACGGACCATGTAAGTCGCAATATGCTTGCTTACGACATGTTTACATTTATATATAATATATACTAATATACATATTATATTCATAATATGTATATATTTAAAGTTATATATGTATACTGTATCAACTATCTGGTATCAATAACACAGGCTTCGTAGCTGACCATGGAACTAGATGGTCTTGTGTGTTAATGTCCTGACATATTTATATTATATTATATTTATATCATTAATCCCTCCACGACCGCGGACACGCCGGCGTGTCAGTTAACAATAGATTTCTTAAAATTTTAATTAATTTCTAAAAAAATTACCTGGGGGTGTTAATAAATAAATCAATTAGAAAAATCCAATTGGATCAATTTTAGATTAAACCCATTAATGAAAAAAAATCTTTTGTATTTTTATTATGCATATCACTTTACAAAGACTAATCAAATTTTATTTTATTTTATTGATAATATAATAGCATATTATAATTATTGTAAATTTCATGAAAACTCATAATCAACACAAGCTATAAATATTAGTTATTTTTAAATTTATTGTGTATGAATAAGTGCACCTTCAGTAAAAACTTCAAAAGTAAACAAACACAGATGACTATCAGTAGCAGTGCGGAACAACTCACGTCTCCTTGAGTATGGTGGCGAGCAGGTCGCAGGCGAGGTCGAGCTGCTCGGTGCCGCTGTGCGCGAACAGGCAGCGCTCCACCAGCTCCAGGTGCGTGGCCACATCCAGCTCGAACTCCTTCGGCGACTGCAGCACCTGACATGATATACTTTTTTAAATATTTGAAAATAGAAGGAATCATTTTATTCTATTTAAAAATATTAGTAAGTACTTATTGAAGTGTAAACTTCTTTAGCCCCGTTATGATTTGAAACTCGACGAAACGAAAAAACTGCATTGAAAAAAGATAAATACACATATTTATAGGATTTAAACTGCAAGAGAAAGAGATATAATACATTAACATATTCGCGGTCTCCTCTTTGTGCGGTGCTTCGTAGGCTACGCACTCTTAATAACTTATATACATATTTGAATAAAATGTAAAATAATTTTTAAACTTCCTATCAATAGTATCATATATAAACCCTACAATAGGGAATATGCGTGTGATTTAAATAAAGGTGAAATATTTTTTTTATAATCTTTATTGTTTCTGAATTAAACCTATATCAATATTTTTTAATGTATTTCTTTTTGATTTAGAAAATATTTATTTAAAAGTACAAAAATAGGTGGGAAATTCAAAGTAAGTAATTGAAACGCAGCGCCAATGGGCAGACTGAATGTGACGTCAAAGTCTATTATAATAGAGTGCTGTTATTTAGTGTTTGCGATTGGTGCTAACAATCTAGACTTGTTCCTTTATTGATAACAATGTTGTCATAGACTATAACGTCACGCCGAGCGCGCCAAAATGGCGAGCGTTTAAAGTATCCGTATCTGTATGATATTTTTAAATTATTATTTACGCAAAGTTTTAGTTTTTTGGAGCTGGATAATTTTCTACGATTATATAACAACTAGCGACTCACCATCGCTTCGCTTAGATTCGTCCCCAACTTGCTTCCCAATACAAACTTTCATTCTCATTTTCACGCCCTTAAGGGATGATTTCCGAGATAAAAAGTATCTATGTCTTTCCCAGGGTCTCAAACTATCTTCTTACTAAATTTCATCTAAATCGGTTCAGTAGATCCAGAGATTACCTCCTACAACGTCACAAACGCACAAACTTACAAACTTTACTTCTTTATAATATTAGTATAGAGTATAGATGAAAAGCTATTGTATAAAAAGTAAAAAAATAAACACGCATATTCCCTATTATCATACTCCTGAAATTCTACATTCGTCTCATTATCTTGAAGTTTATTTTTTGAAGGTTACACTTCTACCGCGTGTGAACCATACACATTTTTTTATAGTACATGCACAGTTGTAATAAATAAATAATATGCTGTATGCCGTAATAAGAAGCCCGTGGCTTCTTAGTACGGCAACAGAGGCATCCGTTTAATATTATTTTTTATGTAAAACTAAAATAAGATACTAATGTTAATTCACAAGCGTAATCAATTTTTTGAGAATTCTATAATACAATGTATCAAAAAACATACTTACCAGAAGTATATAAGAAAGATCATCGATGCTGATATTTTCTAAGAAATCTATGAGGCCAGTTAAACAAATACCTGAAGTATTCGTTAAAATCTCGTATCTCTTTAGAAACGGTATCACGTACTGCTTTAGATCTGATACAAATGTGGCATGAGTGGACTGAAATAAAAAAGTATAGATTAATTTAAACCTTTTTATACTTAAGAATAATATATGAAGTCATAGCTTATTTGTATCAATACTCTTTAAAAAATATTTAGTTCTAAAAAAATTAAAACACTAAAAAACTTAAACAACATTTTATCTATATTATATTTTATTTACATTTTATCTATATTATATTACTATTACTAATATAATATCTAATCTATACTAATAAAGAGGTAAAGTTTGCGAGTTTGTGACGTTGTAGGGGGTAATCTCTGAATCCACTGAGCCGATTTAAATGAAATTTGGTAAGAAGATTGTTTGAGACCCTGGGAAAGACATAGGATACTTTTTATCCCGGAAATCAACCCTTAAGGGTGTGAAAATGGGGATGAAAGTTTGTGTGAAGAATCAACTAAAGAACCCGAGCGAAGCGAGGGTAAGTCGGTAGTCTATACATATAATAAAATTGTAACAATCGGTACATTAAATATTTTTTGGCAAATCTTATTGAAATAAACATTATTATCGATACAGAGGCCGAATCTATAGTTTTTAGTATTTTTGTCTGTCTGTCTATCCATCTGTCTGTCTGTCTGTCTGTTACCGCATCACAGAAAAACCACTGGAGGGATTTTTGATGAAATTTGGTATGGAGATAGCTGGTTATCCGGGTCAACATATAGGATACTTTTTAAGGCGGGACAATATTTCATATCTGAGAAAAAATAAAAAAACAGCAATGTTAGAGTATACTAATATGTAAAACCTAAGAATTTGGTTTTTGGTGATCTGAACGCGGGCGGAGCCGCAGGTAATACTAGTATTATAAAGAAAATGTAGAGTCCTATTGGACATATGTAATTCAACCATAATTTCAATTTACCAATATAAAAAACTAAAATCCAATCCAACATTATGTATGTACCAGACAGCACTAACCATTTTCATCAACAACTTGCAGGTATCCAAATGCGACATGTTCTCTAATTCACTTAGAGTGACGTCCTCCACATTGATGTCATACAGGAGCGTGTCCAGTGTGAGGAGGTGGAAGTGCAGGTGCCGGAGCCCCGCCCACACGCCGGGGTCCGTGCCCGCGCCCTCGGGCGCCGCGCCCAGCCACGCGCCCGCCGCCACCAGCGCCAGCGCGTGCGACGCGAGGCCGCTGCGCTGCTCTATCTGCCGCGCGCGCGTCTCGTACCACTTGGCGACTTCGCCCTCCGAGTACCCCTCCTCTATTTCCGGGGGCGTGTCCTCCGACCAGTTGGAGCTCCATATGGACCTGATCAGTAAACGATAAAGTTTGTACTTACTCTAATATTGTTTACTAGTAACTGTTGTATTTATTTCATAACTCTTATATTACAAACAAAATATGTATCGCGCACTAGGTTGTAGTACTTGATGGTAATAAACAAAAATATGCTAATACATTAACACAAAGCACCATCTAGTTCCATAGTAAGCTATGAGACTTGTGTTATAGATACCAGATAGTTGATACACTACATATATATACTAATATATACATATTATAAATACAAATACCCATTACTGAAGTACAAGCATTCGTGCTTACTATAAAATGAATGCCCCCAGCGGAGCTCGAACCCGCGACCGCTGGCACAGGAAGTACTAGTACACTACAAACTGAGCTAAGCGTGTCGTCAATAATGTGTATGGAAATTTATCGTGAGCATAGTAAAACCTCTTTAAAGCTTAATCGCTATTGAATAAATGTTTGAAACTCATAAGTTACAAGCAGACAAATATTAATTTTAATATCATTTAATTATAATTAAATATAATTGGAATTATTATATCAAACATACAGAGCGTATATTTCGTTTCAGTACTCGCCGCCGAAAAAGCTTAGTTGGGAGAGCGTTAGACTGATTATCTAAAGGTCCCTGGATCGATCCGAGGTTTCGGCACACCATTACAAATATAAGCTTAACTATTACACTTTTATCTTATATTTATGTGTTAGCATATAACTTATTATAACTTTTAACAAATAAAAAAATAAAAAAGCTTTTTATTTCCTGCTTACAATCGTGTAGTTTAGATTTAGGTAATACATACAAATAAATTTATTTCTAATTGCAGGAACCTCTCTCAGTTGAAGGCCTCTTCCAAAGCTTGCCATTTCTATCGATCCTGTGCTTTATGATGCCCTTTACTTCCGGCTATTTTCTTTATACTGTCTTCTCAGCGTGTATATTTACTATATTTGTTATAAAACAACTTAATAAATAAATCTACTTACCTAAATATCTCCTTCCTGCACCAATCGTTTTCATGTTCCGATATTTTAATTTTTATCGGTGATTTCTTTTCAAACCAAGTGATCGGTTCTTTCGTCGGCAGCAAGTGCTGATAATCTAAAGGGTACAGAGTTTCGGGCAACTTGTCTAAAACCGCCAACTGCATCGAAGGACTCTTTATATATGGCCATAGGCAAGTGAGCGCTTCTATGCGACCTTCCTTAGCAATCTCCATAGCACTATGAACTATGCTGTTACTTCTGAGCCTATGGTATTCATCTTTCACATATGTAGACTTCTCACAACGAAGTATAGCCTGAAATAATATGGAGAAGTAAAGTTAATTACAATATTTAATATATAAAAATTCACTCTTATGAATGATAAGTTATGATTCATCTATACATATAATGAAATTCTAACTGAGTCGAATATGTATATTAAATATTTTTTGGAAAATCTTATTGATATAGTCATTATTATCGATGCAGAGACCGAATCTATAGATTTTAGAATGTTTGTCTGGGAACGCATCACGAGAAAACCACTGAATTTGGTTATCTGGGTTAACATATAGGGATACTTTTTACTGCGGGAAAACATCTTTATCTCTGAGCTAAACGTTAAAACGTAACTAGGCACGAACCCGAGCGGAGCGAGTGTGAGTCGCTAGTAAATATATAATACAGCGTATGATCTGACCATGTGTTGAAGCAAATGATACAAACATATAAGTGAAGTTACCTCGTACAAGCTAAGGCGTTCCTTATAGAAGAGCATGACGTGCCGGCAGCGGAGCAGCTCGCTGGTGTACGCGTTCAGGTCCTCCATGGTGACGTCGGCCGGCGCCTTCCACTCGTCCGGCGGCAGCGAGCCGTTGATTTCTAGAAATACATATAATAAATACTATAATATTATAAAGAGGCAGAGTTTGTTTGTTGGTTTGTTTGTTTGTTTGAATGCGCTAATCTCAGAAACTACTAATCCGATTTGAAAATTTTTTTGCATGATAGCCCGTTTACTGAGGAAGGCATAGGATATAAATCATCCTGAAAAAATGTACGGTTCCCGTAGGATAGATTCGTTTTTGTCTAAGTGTTTTGTCTAGGAACGAACCTAAAGCGAAGCGAGGGTGAGTCGCTAGTATATATATCAACGTTTGTCCGTGTGTTTGTATGTTAATTCTCTAACCTGTAGTTCAATAGAAACGTAATTTTGTGAATGGAGATAGCTTTATTCTGGATTAACTCATAGGCTAGTTTTACTCGACACACCTACTACGCGAGCGGAGCTGGGGGTAATTCACTAGGAACATAATATTAATATTTTATGAATATAATGACGTCATTCGTTCCTATATTTTATTACATAGTTCATATAATTTTTTAGTATATATAAACGGATCGTGACGTAGTTTTTTAAACACCTATATAAAGAGGTTCTTATAGGACACACTTATATTGTTAAGGAGGTGGGTGCAATGTATAAATTCCTAAAAAAAAGGAATTGCTAATTTTTCTTATATTAAATCAATATTTTGCTTTAATTACGAATATTACTTGTGAAAGATTTCATTGGAAGCGTTACCATCTAAAATCTTCTCATTGGTGAGCTGTAGACCGAAGCTCAGCAGCTCCTTAGCGGCGGGCAGGCTCTCGGGCAGGCGGTCCACGCACTGGTGCACTGCCCATATCTTTTTGGATACTTTACTCTACGAAATATTGAAAAGAAACACATATAAAAATATCTTTAACTTTCAGCGTGTTTGCAGAGTTACATCATATTTCTGATCTCTATCTTTCTCGTTCTCTGTCTCTTAATCCTCTCTCACTTGTGAAATTGTATTTTTTCGTCAGCTACTTTTTCTAATATGAATGTATTTTCAGTATTAAATATATCATATCTTTTCATCCTTTTAGAAGTTATTTTAAAAAAAATATTTTAACACTTCAGTAGATTATAGGAAGGCAACTTTATATAGATACTAGGTTGATTCCCCATACAAACTTTCAGCCCCATTTTAACCCCCTTAAGAGATGATTTCCGGGATAAAAAGTATCCTATTTCCTTCCCAGGGTCCCAAACTATCTTCTTACCAAATTTCATCTAAATCGGTTCAGTAGATCCAGAGACTATCCCCTACAACCTCACAAAGTCACAAACTTTACCTATTTATAATATTAGTATAGACATATACACATATAAATAAATAAAAACGAAGTAACTACATATTGTATACCAGATAGTTGTGTATGGCGTCCGAGGAGACAGGATTCTTGCGCCACTGCTGCTGGTACACCAGGTCGCTGTCCAGCGCGAAGCGCGCCGCCAGCGCCAGCGCCTCCACGTAGCTGCCGCTCTCGATCTGATACAACGAAATAAAATATTACTTTTTAACTAAAAATTGTACACCGATTCCAAAATCAATTGAAAGTTAATTGTTTTTAATTCATTGATCTACCCTGAGTATTTGAAATTAATGTTGAGACCACACTCTAAGTATAAACTATTTATAAAAAAGTCGATTCTTAATTTCCGAAGATATCGCGTAACATAAACACAAATAAAAATAGAGGCAAAATGAGTACCTCTACCTCTTTGAAGTCGATCAATATTAACACAAATATCTTACTACAAATAGATTTTACAAATCGTAGTAAAACTATTCTAATTCAAACATCTCGTATTTTTTTAATTCACAGAACCTAAAATACTACCCGAATCTAAAATGTAACCTCCGACATTTAAAAAAATAATAAAAACAAATTCTGTATACACGACCAAAATCACATATTTTAACAAAATAAAACTCACTTTTCTCGAGAACAACTCCGTGGGAGTAGTGCTCTTGACACCCAAAAGCCTGTAGATCCTCGACACTATTGTGATCTTTTTGGGCTTCGGTTGGAAGGTCTCGATGTCGGTGATGGCGTATAGAATAGACTTGAACAGCTCCTTGGTCATTTCCATCATCGAGTCTTCTACTTCTGCGTCTGCTTTTACCACCTCCATCTAAAAAAAAATGTTTTTCTTTCAATTGCAACAAGATCATGTTATATTATGTTAGAACGAATAACGAATTAATTCATTATTTTTCTTGAGAATTTCTGATTTTTTTATTTTTAATGTTTTATAACATACGTTATATGCATGTTCTCACCTAGATGGTAAGGTAACTAACATGCACGGCCGCAGATTTGGAAATCCTTTGTTGAGTCCCCGGTTGGATAGAATTTATATATTAAGCTTTTCTATCAAGAAATTCTCAGTAATAGCCCGAGTTGGAAAGTCAACGGTGCTCCACCCCCATGCCGAGGCTAGAGAGTACTGTGTCTAATCTCTCACCAGTCGTGTCGAATTGTCGTCCCACCGCAGTATGAGAGTGACGGGGATAGAGTACACGGGTATTTGCGCGCACATTTATGCACTATAATATCTCCTGCGCACTCACAAGTGAGTTTTGCCGCCGTAGCCGAAATGGGTCAGGACATAATATATGTATATATAACCTTAAATGTTAAAAAGGATCTCACCGACTCGTCGCTCCTAGACTTTCTAGCGGGCAACACGTTGGACTCGCACTCGAGCGCCATGAACGCGCCGTCGTGCGCCGTTGTCACCTGTATTACAATTACGTTTTTAGTGAACAAGTAACAAGTACACTAACATACAAATATTTGCATTTATAATATACGTAATCCATACTAATATTATAAATGGGAAAGTGTGTTTGTTTGTTTGTCTTTCTTTCATGTCGAAACGGCTTGGCGGATTGGTGTGATTTTTTGTGTCGAGATAGTTGGACGGCTGGAGAGTGACATAGGCTACTTTTTACCGCGGGAGATTATCTCTTTTCCATGGGAAAACACGTTATAATACAATCCAAAAAAATATGTATGATCAGAATTACTTGAAACTTGGTATAAATGCTCTTCAATACAATTAATTAAATACGTGTTTTAGCAGTTTTCGAAATTCATCCCATAAGGGGAAGATGAAAGTTTGAAACCTACCATTTTAGAGTGTTTTTTGTAGTTTTAGCGCGGGCGAAGCCGCGGGTTCTGCTAGTATATTATAAATGCAAATATTTAATGTTATATATAAATATTTGTATAATATAATTTCTGTATTCAGCCGTTTTTAACGTCATCAGGCAATAATCCACCACGCAGGCCAAATGGGGGTTGGCCGACTTCACGTGTCTTACGAAAAACTTAAAACTTGCTAGTTTCTTTCAAACATATGGAATTCATTACAATGTTTTTTGTTTACCGCTAAGCTACCATTGCCTCTTATGTATGCGTGCCCAGAAGTTAAGTCAAAACTAACACGATTATATAAATTACTAATTTTTTATCTTAGGCCGTGGCTACGCCTGAATGAAAAGTGCTTTTAATTCTTTTGTTTTTCAACGTTTTCGGGAAGAGACGACATTTGATAAGTTTAGAAATAAAAAAAAGAATTTGGGTTTTTTTATTGGTAGGACAAAGGTATGCCATTTGGAAATAAGCTTATAGCTATTATAAGCTCATTTTGATGTTCCAAACATGCTAAAATCATATATTACCTGCGGCGTTCCCTGGAAGAACTCCGGCTTCTTGCCGAGGATATTGACTAGATCCTGCACTCCGCACACCGACACCGCGCCGCTGAACCGGGATAGTATCACCTCCTGTATATAAAACAAAATAATGAACATTTTTGAGCCTTTTAAATGACTCATAAACTTAAATCTGCGATATTTTGAAATTTAAGATATAAGAGATATGAGATTTCAAAATTATACTACCTATAAAAAATCATAGTTCACGATTGCTTTGTGCGACGAACAATTACAATACACGCATGCGGCATGTACAGTCCAAACTATAGCTATTATAAAATAGAAAGAACATATATTATAATATATAATTTTAAAAATTTCTAAATTTAAAACTCGTATGTTACAATTCACAATTTATATTTAGATATCAATATTTATAAATCAAAAAACAATTGTCAAAAGTTAACTCGCACCTCATTGCTCCACCAGTTGACATCTGCGGGATGATACAAGGTTTGGTCCTTGTTCCCCTGCTCTGGAGTGAGAGGGCTTTGTAGCTCGTGCTGAGGCTGCTCTGCCAACTTGAACTGGTGCTCTCCTTTCAGAATCGGCAGTCTCCATATTGATACGTCCCCATTGCAGTGGATACAGACTAGTTTAGAGTTATCAGGGGATGCTGCCATACGTATTATGAAGTTCTGAAAGTATTATTTATATTTATTTTTGAAACAATTTATAGAATGGTTTAAAAAAGGGATAAGTTAAAACTTTACTTAAAGCTGCCACTGACATCAAAATATATAATTAGATTATCTATACTAAATGACAACTCCCGTTCAGTTACTTTTTACTTATTCAATTTTTTTTTAATCACTTTTTTATTGTTTCTGTTATGTAACTTATTTTTGATTATTTTGATTTCCGGTATTTAAATCCCATTAAATAAATACATAAATCTAACATTTCATTAGTTAATCCAAACATTACTAAAATAAAACATACCATATTCTTAGGAAATATGACGGGTATATAAAGGTGGAAGCGCTCGTTGGCCAGTTGAGCTTCTAATTCATCGGACACCACGGACAGCTTGTAGAATGGCTCGTCGTTGAGCACGCGCCACGCCGTGATGCCCACACTCACCGGAGAGGACGCCTCCTTGATAAAATAAAAAAAAAATAAAGAAAAAAAAAACAAAAATATTACATTGTATATTATCTTCCAAGATATTATTCCGATATATAAAATCAAAAGATTTTATTAAAAATATTTTATCAAAATTAATGGATGAAATACAATTTGAAATATAATATTTTTCGAAAATTGAAATATAATATTATAATATTTTTATTATAATTAATATAAATAGTTAACAACTATGTTTTTTTTTTTAAATTCATATCTGCATAGTGCATGTATAAGGCGCCATTTATAGACTCTGATCATGGTGTGGTCCACTAATACTTATTTATTATTGATTTCAATTGTTACCCAACAACATTTTTATTTAATTTTAATAAGGTTTGCTAGTGGTTTGTATTGTTAGGTTCAAAGCCAGGTAATGATTAGACTACGACTTTACTATTAATAGCGCGTTTATTGAATAGCCATATCTTAACCTAAGTAACATCTTATAAAGTATCATATAAGGCTCGGCTCACACTACAGGTTATTACATGTTTTACTAGAAATGATTTAAGTTAAATAATTAAAATACAGCACAATTATGCATAACCGTTTAAAAGCAAACACAACTAGATATCCTGTGTTCATTTTCACAATTATGAAGATTTTAGACACATAGTAAATAATAAATAATAATTTTAGACAACTAGTTATTATATCATTAGGTAATGACATGTCATTAGGTAATCATGTTACTTGTGGCTTTCCATCTCATATATGAAAAATATCTATACAACTAGACCTGAAGATTTTTAAGATAATTTTAACAGATTCCCCTCTTTGCCTCCAATAAAAAAATTCTACTTATAGTTTTAGTGTAAAATTGTAAGTTATAAAATACAATATAATACAATTAAGGGGTAAGCTAGCCAGCCAGCTGCTAGCAAGCCTTTAAAAATTGTAAGCAGTATCTGTTATCCATTTCAAAGTTTAAGTATAAATAATTTAAAAGTTTATTCAACTATTGCAGTGCAATTGTTATATTACCTTATGAGGTGCTCTAGGAACACCTGCAATATACAAAGTAGCATGTGGTTCACAGTAACAAGCCGCAGCCACTCCACCAGAAAAATGGAAAGTATGGTGCAATTTGAACCCATCAGTTTGTGAAACTAAATACCCTCGTAGCTTGCCATCATATGTCACCACTAATACTTCCCAATTCCTGAAACATATTTGAATTAGATTATAATAAATCATAAAATTATTAATATTACCTATATAAATGAATATAAAGATTATGAAAATTAAATTAAATACAAAAGAAATAGTAGAGGGTTAAATTTCTAAATAAATAGATCTAACAACTTACATAAAGACTTATTTATAGCATATAGCAATTCATAATATTATGAATGCTCTAAGGATAGATGTTGTTTGTGTCATTTTTACAAAATGTTCATAAATTATAGCTCAAAACCTCCTATCGGTAAAACCAAAACGTATGAAAGATCTTACAATAGCTACTTAGTAGATTAGCTCAAACAAACACAAACTCAGTATGGTGAGGGACTATATTTTATAATACATATATTATGGTGATAACACTCAATTATTTATTATTAAAAAAATACGAAAAAGTAATTGTTTTTGAATAAAATAATAATCTCTTACCACTTTGTATCCTTAACTCTAAGCGGAATAAATATAATTTCAGATACTGCATGAGTATTGTCAGTACATTCCAAGCCACCTGGTCTTGAGCAATCCTGCAGTAAGTTATATAGTTCTTAATCATAGAAAGAATTGTGATCAATGAAGTATGGAAAGGTACCATTTTATTATTACATAGTGTTACAAAATTAAAAAAAATTAAGATAGTATAATAAATATGATTTTAAAAGAAGAAAACAGATTTACTAATTTTGTAACAAATCAGGCCTAATTATTTAAAATACCTACTGCAAAATTATTAATAATAATTATTTCTATTGATCTTTAGAGGTTGCTAGTTATATATATTACAGTGTTATAAATAATAATATAAACTTACCACTGGAATGTTAAAAAGATTTGAGGCAGTAAGATCAAAGAAACTAACTACACCATTTCCATAAGCAACTACTATAAATGAGCAGTCTGGACTCCAAACTAGTTTTCTCCATTGTGCATATGCATCTCTAGCAACTAGGAAAGAAAGATAATGTTTAAAAAATGTAACAACTAATGAATTTTCTTTAAATAACTAGTATACTTCTCATATTATTTATAAATGTTGTCAAATCACCTGTAGTCCTAGCTGCAATTGTTGCATATTCAGATCTTTTGGTCCTGATTTCTAAAATATTATCAGTCAGAACTGCTATCACTTTACCCTCATCTCCTAAAGCTATATGCCATTTTTGTTGTCTTTCTTTGTGCCTTAAAAATTATTTAAAAAAATGTATACATATATCTAAATACGGTTATTTAAATAATACAGTAATTGTGTAATTTTTACTTACGCGGCTACACTATCAATTAAACTCTTTTTAGGCCCAAAGAATTTCAGCCATCGCCATAAGCTTGAAATATTCTCTGGCAAGATATTATCAGGTTTTTGCTAAACAAGAATTAAATAAATTAATGATTATATTTACTAAGGGAATAATTAGATAAATTCAAATAAACATACCAAGTACTCTGGCTCAGGTTTCCATTCGGAAAACACATATAGTTCGTGCAAAATAGATTTATTTTCAACCATTATTATTTTTTAACTAGTTTATATGATTTTTCATATAAACATATTAATTTTTTATATATTTATTAGCAAAACTTTGCTTTTTCACTTCTACTATTTTGACATTTCATTGTAACACATTCATTGTTGGCAATACAAAAGTGACATCGATTGTCACGTTTGTAAAGTATTGATTATATATCGAAGAATTAAATGTTGATTCCAAATGATTTTAAAAAGGAAGTTAATAATAATACTTCAACACTTCTCAGCAATTTATGTTTAAATATAATATATTTTTATATTTATTCAAAACTATTGCAGATGTTAGACTATTTCGATTTATTTCGCGTTTTTAATCTCTACAAATTGATTGTCAAAGTTATCTGTCAATTATCAATTGTCATAAATGATAAATCATTTATCATAATAATCAGTACTTTTATTTGTAATTGTAAATGTAATTTGTATTGTTGTTTCTACTATCAGCTGTCCCTTAAGTTATATTATTTAAACAATGAATATTTTAGATAACATTTACAAAAATGCTAGTATCACATAGTTTTATAATATTCTTATACATTATAATTAGATTTCTTAACTTTTTCTTTTTTTCTACAGAGTTTACTTCAAAATGAAAATTATATTAAGTTTTGGGAAGAATATTTGCAAAATTTGAATGCTTTAGATCTCAATATGTACTCTGAAAAACTAACTGTACCAGTTTTAGTACCAATTGGAAATAGAATTCTATTTAGAGGAGCAATTAAGCATACAAATGAAGTAATGGTATCACTAGGAGCTGACTACTTTACTAAGTGTTCTGTTAAGCAAGCTGAAGTTTTAAGACAACATAGAATTAAAGGTCCTTTTTTATTTATTTACATGTAAATTTCAAGCTTAATCTAAAACTGATTTTATTTACTACTTCTAGATGCAAAAATGAAACTGGAATCATATGTTAAAGAAAAAGAGTATCTCGAAAGCCAAATATCTTTTAACAAAGAAAATGTACATGGGACCTCTGGTCAAGATATAATTGAGATGGTAAGTGAAGAGGAAGATAAAGCTTGGAGAGAACAACATCGAGAGAGAGTAAGGCAATATCACCTAAGTAAAAATAAGGAAACAGACAGTTCTAAAGAAGATATGACCGATGAAGATCTCTGGATTAGATTGGAAGAACTTGAATTACAGGAAGAATTGGAAAATGAAATGGATGGCATAGAAGACAAAGTCAATATTGATGAAAGTGATAGCAGTAGTTATGATTCATTTATAATCACAGAAGATGATGTCAGTAATATTTCAAAAGAAGAAATAAAGCAAAATAATATACAAAATGAAGCACAAATTACTCACAATGTTCACAAGCAGACATCTAAGTTGGATTTGTTGCAGCAAGTTATAGACAGACAAAAAATGTTAGCAGCAAAGTTAACTCAGCTTAAAAATATAGAAAGAGTTCAAAGTAAAACTGAAAAGGACCTTATGTCAAAATTGGATAAAATGGATCAATTAGAAGAACTTGAAGATGAAATGGACAGGTAGAAAATAAGATGCTCTTTATGTAGTTAAAATCATTCTAATGACTTATATATTTCAATTTATTAATTTTTAGGTTAGATGATATCTTGGAAGAAGAAGATGATGATGATAGTGCCCCCACAATAAGTGAAGATAACTCAGTCAAGATAAAAAGAAATGTATCTTTTGCTGATAATAGTGACACTGAAACTTTAGAAATTAATTTTAAGCATTCCAGTATTGAACCATGTAATGAATCATATAATTCAGAAAAAGGTATAGTGAAGCCAAGTGATATATATGAAGCATATTCAAATTTTTTCACAAATGAAACGACATCTATATTAAAAAAATCTAAATATGGACATACTAATTTAACTAATGAAATAAATAGTGATAATTTGAAAACCTCTTTTAAAAATCATCCAGATGATACTAAAGTACCTTTAGAGAATGATAATATGAATGTTAGCAGAAGTATTGTTATAAATGATGTTGTAGAGAAAAATGATGAAAATGATACTAAAGTGGCAAATGACAGAAGACCTGTAAGTTTGTTCAAGAAGAGAAGACAACAACAAACATTATAAATATTGTATAAATAAAATCTATTCATTGTATTAATGTGTTTGACTTAAATAGTGGCAAGTAGCAATGGACTAAGGTACTGCTTATGCCCTATATTGCCTTAACTGGTTACCACGATGTCATTACAATATATGCATGTGCTTTGGGACAAATGCCTGGATCTTTTAAAGGCATCTATAAATAGAAAGGCTGTCTAAATATACTGGATATTTATAAGTGTTATGAATATACATTGAATGTTATCAATCCTAATATATATACTTCTTCTGTATGTGTTTGTTAACCTACTCCATCTAAAGGGCTAAACCGATTTGGATGAAATTTTGTGTGTGTACTTCAATGGGCTCCTGGATGGTTTGAAAACACAATTGGAACGGGTAGGTGGCGCTACAGTCGGTGTGTCACAAAATTTTCATAAAATACTCAATTTTCCGAGCAATAAATAATGAAATCAAATGTTAACTGACATGCCGGCGTATCTGCGACCCCTCAAGCGATTTTTGATTAAATAAAATAAAAATCTACTATGGACCAAAACAGCTGGAGCGTTTTCGATGAAATTTTCAGGTAATCTTCAGATTAGCCCAGCGGTTCAATCTGTGAATTTTTTTAGCGATTAGAAGTTTGGACGCGGGCGAAGCTGCGGGTACTACTACTGCTAGTATATATGACCTATATAGATTTGCTATCATTCCAAAAAAAAAAACAGCATTGTTAAAAAAAATACTGAATGTCATAAGTACACAACTAGTTTCAGTATTTCTACCAAAGATAACATTTTAAACACTACGTTTTGTAATTATGACATTAGGAAATAGAAATATTATGGAGGGTAGAGGTAAGGAGAACTTTTTTTTATATGAGAAAAGTTAAAAAGTATCCCACTGTAAGTGGTCAATAACTGTTCAAAAACCGACCCAAAATAATGGCGCTAGCATAGCAAGAGTGTATGTATGTTATGAATTTAGCAGTTGTAAACGGAGTGAAGTGTGCTTAGTTGAAAAATTTAATATTTTGGGTAACTTTAGTTATTAAAACTATTTACGTAGTCCAAAATAAATTAATAATAATTTAGTAAATATAACCGAAAAGATTGTGGTGATATACCCGCAGAGAGTGATTTATTTTTTGTGAATTTTTAATAATACATACTTTCAATAACTTACTTCAAAATGTATCCACTTGCTACCTATTTAACCCATTTCGTAAAACACTTCATCACAGAGATAGTTCTCCTTACCTCTACCCTTCAAATGCAATTGAGAAAAAATAGTTCAAGTTATAAGTTAACAGATGGAGATACATGTATTAATTTGTTGTTAAAGAACTTTGCAAACATTTAAAATTTAGGAAAATACTGTAGGTAAAGGAAAATGAAATAATGCCATCTTAAATATATATTTTTAATTTTACTTTTTTTCTCCCTGCCCATTTCCTAATCACTTGGTTGGCGTAGTACATCTTCTGTACTCTGATAGGATTTGCATTTGGCACAAGTTTTACGACCGGCCGCCTGGCCGTGACGTCAACCCTCCTTGGGAATGCTATTGTTTATCGCGAAGTCTTGTAATATGCACTTTCGAATTTGTTTTCTTTTAAAACATTCTTTTATACTATTACTTTACTTTAATGTTATTTTCAGTTATATTTGAAAATAAATATTGATCACACAATAAATTTTGTTTTGACGTTGTCAAATTTTTATAAATTTTACTGAAGTTTATAAATTATTGACTCATGCCCTCGGTTCACTTAAGTACTTGCCTAGGTTATCGTGTCGGGAGATACAGCTGGGCAAGATACTAAGAGAAAGACTGAGAAGTGGCCCACTTCGATGGGTGGTGTACTAGGTATCGCCGCTGCGGCAATATATTTATTTAGCGCGAATAAACACTGAATAGTGAGCCACGTGTAGATGTGTATCGCCATCACTGGTAAAAGTGTTCTGTGGGCCCATCAACCTTTGTTTGATATGCGACCGAAAAACCGACACCAACGCCATCCCGAAACCATCGCTCACGCCTTATGCCATCAGACGCCACATGCCGCCACGAGCGTCGCATGGGCCATTGTGTAGAGGGCGTACCCTCTATATAATGGCCCATGATAGTGGGCAATCGCGATAGTCCATCATTTAGAGGAACAATTATGGTTTAGGGAAATGCATGCAGTAATCATCACTGAAAGGCGGTACATTTAAAAATCATAGAGTATAGACAATGATAAAAAACATTGACATTTGACAGATATATAAAAAAAAGTTATACTTGAAGGTCTATTCTATGGATTCGTTATTTGAAATTTTAGGTTATGTTATGATTGATTGTATTACAAGTAATTTAATATAAATAAAAAATAAATCTTAAAATTAAGATTGAAGAAGCTTTTTTAAAAAGCATAATGATTTATCGTAATTTGAGATATTTGTCACGTCGATACAGTCAAGCAGTCACGTTTAGAACTACAGAATCTTCTCCTGTAAGTTCTTCATTGATTTACTTTAAACAAATATACTAGAAATAACACACGCAAAATAGGCGCATAGTCGTCGAGTTGCGGAAAATAGCCCGAACATACCATACCATAATAGAAATAACATTTTTGTACTATTATTTACAGACTCAACATAATGAAAATCAAGTTGGTTTATTTTATACTATAAATAACGACATATGTAAACAACTTTTTGGACATGGGGGCTTGCCTAAGAGTTATTTGAAGCAAACCAAGACCTTTACAGAAACTACGTTAATGGTGCGATCGCCAGCTCTTGATATCATGAATTGCATTAAGTTAACAGATTTAAACAAACCTGTAAATCGATATGTGCTTTGTATCCTTTTTAAAAATATGATTACTAATTAATAATACAACTACTGTCTTTTATAGGTAATTGTTCTAGAAAAACATGACCATAACTGTTGAATAACTATACAATAAATAAAATTGAAGTTTGTAATGTCAAAAGAAGAGCTTTTTACTAAATGCTTAACATAAAAGTATATATAGTACCTAGGTACTTATAAAAAAAATGTTTAAAAAAAAAATTGTCTGTCTGTTCCGGCTAGTCTCCGAAATGGCCGAAGTGATTATGCCGGGACATTCACTAGCAAATGGCTGATGCTTTATGGAGTAACTAAGGCTACTTTTATTTTAGAAAAAGAATTAGAACTTTTATTTTACAAGAAAAATATTCTTATAAGTTAATATTGTTAATTTTGCAAGCTATATAGCAACTTATATGAATTTTTTACCCTTAATAAAAATGTATTAATAAATAGATTGTGTAAAAAATAATATATTAAAATGAAATGATAAGAAAAAGCATATTATTATTATCTATACTTATAATAAAATTGTAACTAAACTGAATCTGTACATTAAATATTTTTTGGGAAATCTTATTGAAATAAACATTACTATCGATACAGAGGCTGAATCTATAGTTTTTAGAATTTTTGTTTATCTGTCTGTTACTGCATGTTGAAAAAATCACTGAAGGGATGTTGATGACATTTGGTATAATGATAGCTGGTTATCCGATCAACATATAGGATACTTTTTACTGCTGGAAAATATCTCATTTCTGGGAAATCTATACTAAACGTTAAAACATACGTAGGGCTGAACCCAAGCATAGGGAGGGTGAGTCGCTAATTTAATATAAATATATAATATTCCTGATAAATACTCCATTTAGATGGTGAATTAGGAGCTGGCAAATCTCTAACTATAGCTCATCTATTACATTATGCACATGAGAATAACTTTTTAATAGTGCATGTACCATGGGGTGAGTTTCAAAAATTAACTATTTAATTTAAACTATAACTTGATTTAATTTAAACTATAACTTGATTATGTTCAAAATAAAAGCAAAGATTTACTATAAGTTAAAGTAAAGTATGTTTTTTAAATTATGTAATTCCTCTACTGAACAATAGATTATTAAGTAGTTATTATCATACATTAAATTGCAAATATTTTATTATCATAATATTATTTGGCCGTTGACAGTATCTGAATGGTTGAGAAGGGTGCCACGCCACAAGGAAATGTCTAACTCACCAACAAAAGAGGGTTTTGTTGATTTACCTCTAGATGCTGCTGCATGGCTTTTACATTTCAAAACGCAAAACCAAAGTATTCTAAAGACACCAGATGTAAGTTTACACCTGATACATTATTTATATTAATAACTATTTACACAAAGGAAGGGTATTGATAAGGCCTCAATTTTGTCCCAAAATTACGAAAAAAATATAGTGTCTCACAAGTATTTATATTGTAATTTCTTTTCTCTCATAAATATATTTTCTTATCAGGTACATAGTTTACTTTCAGAATATGTAAAGAAAGGGTCTTTATAAATGCAATAGAACCCAAAGAAATGATTTTTAGAATTTCTGTCTGTTCGTTTGTGTGCGCTAATATCAGAAAAGGCTTAACCGATTTGGGAGCGGTTTTCACGAATGTAATGTGGTAAGCTCCACTTAACATTTAGTATTTGTTTTATTTCAATCAGTTGATAAATAAAATAGTTATGTCAATTTTAAAATTCACCTAGGGACGAACCCAAGCGAAGCGAGGGTGAGTCGCTAGTTTATAATAATTTCGATATATGAAGTTGTACATTTAAAATACTGTATATGATAAATATGTATAACATATAGAATTTTGTAAAATTGAAAGTTATTACTGTCATACTGGTTCAAAATGCATAATCCTTATTAGTATTATATTGTTATCATTATCTTTTTTTTCATACTCTTGACATCTATATTAATTTAGTTAAGGATAACCAAAGAGTATGTATGGAGCAAGCGTGAAAAGACAGAAATGGGAGCACCCTTGGCTGAATTGGTGGAACTTGGAATTGCACGTGTGAAATATGCATGTGACGTCATAGAGGCCCTAGTGAATGAAATCAAAATATTGTCTAATAATAAGCAGTAAGTTGAAATTTCAGGATTTTTTGTAAAATTAATTCATATTCTGAGCAGTTGACATTAGCCCCTTAAAACTATTTTAAATTAGTTGTCTCAACTACCCGCTTAATAATTCATAATAACTTGCCGTGCCTCGCTGTTTCACCCGCGTTAAATTTGATTGATTATAAACATCAGTTTTACAATAATATATGGAAGTCTGCCCGATTTGTTGACATTTATGGTTATTGATTCCTCCCGTGGTTATATCTCATTTCATACATTAAATAATCTATACTATTATAAAAAAGTAGAGGTCGAATGTCTGTACATAGCAAAAAAATGCTAAAAACCGAGTCAGGGGGATGTAAGATTACAAATATAACAAATCCAGATTTTTTTCAAATTTTTTGTTTCTCTGTCTGTTTGTCTATTTGTACGGGCTAATCTTCGAAGCTATTGGACCGATTTAAATGAAATTTTGCATGGTGGTCCGTTATATCCCCGGGCAACATCTTAGATACTTTTCATCCTGGAAAATTAAAAAGTTCCCGTGGAATAGTTAAAAAACTGTAGTATCTTATATAGCTTAGTACACAACAACTTATGCACCTAATTTAGTAAAATTTAACATTCCTGATACCATATATTGCCGGTCAAATAACAGGTTACTTTTCATCCCGGAAAATGAACGGTTCCCGTGGGAACTAATAGATCTCTATTAATATTCTTCTAAAGGCGAACCCGAGCGAAGCGAGGGTGAGCCGCTAGTCAGTAATAAAATACAAACATACTTACTTTACCTTTTATGGACCTATACTAATATTATAAAGAGACAGAGTTTGTTTGTTTGTTTGAACGCGCTAATCTCAGCAACTACTAATCCGATTTGAAAAAAAATATCTTTTGCATTAGATAGCGGGTTTATCGAAGGAGACTATAGGCTAAATATCATCCCGGAAAAATGTACGGTTCAAAGCGAAGCGAAAGTGATTCGCTAGTTTCATTATAAATTTGAAATTCTTTGTGTTCTAGGTGTAAAACATTTGTAGCTATTGATGGGTTCAATACATTTTTGTACCCATTGACACGACTCAAGACACCCACTAAAAAGACAGTTACCCCTGAAGAAGTCACACTCACTGCACCATTTATGGAAATCACTAAAAATGATTGGGTAAGCTTTTGTGTCCCTTATAATAATCAATTAACATAACTTAATTTTAATTGAATAAGATGTTTAATAAAATCCATACTATATATGATACTACGATACCATACCATACCATACTATATATGATACTACGATATTTGCGACTTGATCAAAAATTATCGACGTCCTTTTCACACATACTAGGTGGCCTAACTCCAGCCATCAGACTTTGACCTACCCCGATTTCAGATTTTGCTTCCTATTTTCATTTCTTTTATGTTTTCTCTCGTACATAAATTGTATAAATAAAAGCAATTTCAGTTTTTTGAATTCACTAATTTTCTAGGTAACTTTTGCAATTTTCCCCTCAATTACTTTATTAGGACTAAAAAAATATTCAATTGGTCCAGCCGCTCTTTAATGATGCGCTTACCGACAAACAGCATTTAATTTTTATTATATACTAGCATTGCACGCGGCTCCGCCCGCGTTTAGATGACCAAAAAGCAAATTCTTAGGTTTTACATATTAGTATACTCTTACAATGCAGTTTTTGTATTTTTCTCAGAAATGAAATATTTTTCCCTACAGTGGTTTTTCTGTGATGCGGTAACAGACAGACAGACAAAAATTCTAAAAACTATAGATTCGGCCTCTGCATCAATAATAATGTATGTTTCAAGAAGATTTTCCTAAAAATATTTAATGTACAGATTCGGTTTAGTTGCAATTTTATTATATGTATAGATATATAATATATCTGTATTCATTATTTGTGCCATGTATTGGCATAACCACTAGGACCTGTGAGTGAATAGATCAGTTGATTAGTAAGGTTTCACATTTATAATAGTTTTCCGATTTTTTATATTTATAGTTTTGTTTTTTTTCCTTGAAGACAAATGGCGTCATCGTGATTTCCGCTGATCAGATGGCAGTTCCACAAGATCACCAAGAAAGTCACTTACCTAAATACTTACTTTACAAAAAGGTAATTCTAAATTTGCTGCATTATTAGTTTTGTCTTCAATGGAGACAATAACTAAACAAAAATATTTTACGTTTAATAAGTATCTTTTAAGTAAAGGAATTTTATATTCGGAACTAAGGACCTATACACACGAATAACTTTTAACGCACTGTCGACGCGCGTTCGTTGCGTATTCATCGCGCGGAGAACACACTTGACATGCATGTATAAAGATACGAACGTAAGCAATCTGCATCTTTTAAAATTTTCAGCGCAGAATATGCGTATACGTCGTATATATTATGTTCATGATACGCGCGTTATCAGTGCGCTTATAAAACATGGTGTATAGAGACCCTAACATGTGGCCAGAACATTTTGACTAGTAATAGCCTGGCGTGATATTTTTATTTATTTAGATATATATGAATCATGTATCAATGTATAGATTTACTTAGTTATGGTTTCATAGATCCACCGATATTATGAGATTTTTGTTTAAATTATTGTGCTTTAATTGACAATTCTATACACATACCTATGTATATCAAATTAATTTTCTGTTATTATGATGTTGCCAGATAGTATTTATTATGTGGAGGCATTCATATATTTTAGAGTATTTTTATTTAATAAATAACTTGCATATATTGTTCTAGGGATTTGAGCACATAGATCCGTTCATACCGGTAGAAGTAGCCAGATACAGTGAAAAGGAATTTTTATCCTGTGCCAGTTATTATCGAGACAGGCTATGGCTGAGAGGACCTCCAGAGACAGAAGAAGAATTAAAGCTGGCAAGTGCCTGCAACCCTTATAAATTCATGGAATTGTGTGCGCCTTTATAATTTATACAGTTATGTAGTACTTTGTAATAAAATATATTGATGTTTAGTATTATTTTGAGTACTTATTTAATGCCCTACATGGACAAAAAGAAATAGCAATTACGTCATAAAACCAATAAAGGTCAACAAAAATAAACCTTTTTTGTAATATTTTGTTTAGCAAAACGCTACATAAGATGTTAAAAATACAAATTGAAGAATCAATATAAAAAAGTCTACTACCTTATTGCCTTTGGGTGGTTGGTCATATTTTATAAAAAATTGGAAAAAGAAAATTTGAATCAAAAAGTATGTTAAATGATTGTGTTATGTGATTAGTTCTTAATAATGTTCCTTTTAAAAGTAATAAATCAGAAACAATTTAGTTACTCTTCTCTACATTTTAGTTATTTGTTCTCCTGGTAACAGTCTGGAGTTGACAATTAGGCAGTGTTTCAACCCCCATGCTTTGGAGAGTACGTTAAGCCTAAACTCTGGCCGCTAGGCCCTGCGCCTGATCTCTTCCTGGTCGAGTTGAATTATTGTCCCATCGAAGTATGCAAGTAAGTATGCAGGAATAGTGAATGCGCTTGCGCATTATAATATCTCTAATACTAATTATTACTAGTTATATTTTATACCAGATTGCTCATACTTTACTAAAGGTTTAAGAATAGGGGCTACCACGCTTGAATTCGCCGCGAGAGGGCGCTAGTGTAGAGTGAGGTCTCTAGAAATGTCAAATGGTACTGGACTTTAGTTTTTCCATTTGTGTTTGTGCGCTTTTAAAGCAGATTTTTACTAATAGTCATGATTATTGTAAAGATTGTGCCATTCCTGATTAGTTATGGCAGACACGGTACGACACAATAAATCTTATTTAGATAATTTAGATATTATCTAAATTAAAATATTTTAAAAGGTCTAATGAAAGATAAATCAGATTTAATAATTTACTTTGCCATACATTATATCTACATCCAAATATTAGACAACTTAAACTTTATAACCAACAATGTTACGCTTTCCAATACATTCTCCAACAAAGAACCAGAAAAGGACTTCTGCACCCACTAAAACATTCAAGGTAGCTTGCTTAACAGTTTGCTGTTTCCAAGCTCCAGTCTTGGCACTGGTCATTAATTTGCCAATTCCTGCTTTTATCTGTGGAATTTCGCTCAATTTAGGTGGAGCTAATTCAACCCTAGCATATTTCATGAAAATATTGAACTTGGGCCTCGCATTCGCCATCGCCGCTGAAAAATATAAGACACATTTTTATAATATAAATATGTATAACATAAAATGTATAAATAAAAGAAAAGCAACGTATAATTATTAAAATCTTTATTTTAATTCAATATAATTCTAACCTGCACATTTTATCATATTTACAAATTACATAACATGTTTTTTTTTTAAGATTATTTATGAAAAGCTGAACTTACTGTTGATCAAAGAGGGTAATTTAGCTGCTGCGGCCATTATGCAAGATTACTGTAAAAAGTTAATAACAGCTAAAATGTAATGATTTTTTATTTTTCACTAAATAGCTGGATTCGCAAGGGCAGAGGCAAAGTAGCGAATCCTGTCAAAATTTTATTCGAAGTTCACAAACTTCAAAATTAATCAAAGTAGTCAGAACCACAGAATAAATAAAAAGAACTTAGATTATTGATTCATGATTGTCACCAGTCGCAGACAAAAAAGAGACACGTGTTAAATGTTAATGTAATAACAATAAAATCGTATTATAGAAACTGTTTTATTGTTATTATTATCAAGTGTCAAATATATATAATTTATGAATATTAAACAATAATTTAAAAATTATAGACTATTATTATGTATTATTACAATTCACAAAAAATACATAATATTATGTAACTTTTGAATACTGTAAGATGTAACTAGTAACACTGTAGTGTTTGGGCTACGTTGATCATTTACTGTCAAATGTCAAGAGCGAACCGGCATTCAAATAATATGAATTAAATTATATTTCACATTTAAAACCTTACTTATTGAATAAGATTCGTATATTATAAAAAATAAGTTTAATTTGTTTCTAGCAAGCACTATTTATAATGGTCCGCTGTTGTGAGTATTGATGTTTTTTTTATACAATAAGAAGTATGCAGCTCTCAGCGTGGCGTTGTCTTTTATTGCAAAAGAAAGTATAAAACTTATGTAGTGCTATATAAAATTTATATTTAGTATCGTATAAAACTTTTATTTCATTTTTAGATTTTATACTGCAACGCTATAATGTAAACATAAAAATTCTTTCAGGCCACGTCATTCTTAGTTATTTTGACCGGTTGTATAGATTTTTTTCTGTAATGGTTAATTATCCTATTTTCAGTATTACCGCTGCTGTTATTATGTTTCTTAACAGTCAGCAATGCAATTTTGCAAGGAACGGTTGAAGTGCAACGACTTCAGGGCATCCTGGAAGAAGGTCTCAAGAGTAAAGATGTCATTTCACTTTATTATTCTTTAAAAGGATTAAATCAACTTAAATATAAATACCAAGTAGCAAAAATTTGTGAGGTATGTAGGGAGACAGCTTATCAAACATAATTACATATACATAGTTTTTTTTGGCACATGTTTAGTATATGGGACGCGGCCCCTGGCAGAGTGGGTGGTATTTTTGGATAGGGTATGTGACAGGGGGCCCAAATATATAAAAAATATTTTATAATGTAATAATGGTGGAAATATGTATTGTACATAAAAAAGAATGTTTACTATTCGTTAAATCTATGTTTATCTTTTGTAATCACATAGTTACGTAAAGAAATATATGGAAATGTATTAGATATGTTGTAACTTTAACTCTCAATAACTTTTTACTCTAACTTTTCCTAAAAATATTTTTTATATAAATTGATTCTCTGTCACCTCTCCTATCCAAAAATACCACCCACTCTGCCAGTTGGTAACGAAATGTATGGAAAGTCTCAATAACTTTTGACTCTTTTGTTTCCTCAAAATAATTTTTATATATTTGGACTCTATCACGTCCCCTATCCAAAAATACCACCCACTCCTCCAGGGGGCCGCGTCCCATATACTAAACTGCAGCCTTTTTTTTCATTATATTATTATATACTATATTTCAGGTGATAAAAGATATTAAATATGATAACCAAAACATAGAGCAAGTTTTTTATCTCACAAATGCAGCTGCTCTATCAGGCTGTCAAAACTCACTTTCACCAGATGTACTCCGTGCTCCTGTATTAACTTTGGATAGAACTAATGCAACAATACAAGAAATATATTATGCTGTATATTCACTAAAAGCTGTAGGAAAGGGTACTGTTGATGGAGAATCTTCTCTTAAAAATCTTATTCAGCTATTGAAGAAAGATGACTCCCCTGCTAAGTATGATACTCTGATTTAAATATAATTCTAAATTTATGTAAATCTTTCATGTTAATATTTTTAATTAAATCCTACACTTTTTTTATTAGTTATGGCTATGTCTTCACCCTGTGTGAACATATGGGTTGCGCTGCTTGGACAGCAGCTCATGCTGAAAGTGCACTTCTAGCTGCTGATGAAACTGATGGAAAAGCCTTGCACTTTGATGGTGGATTACCAGTTACCTCACTTGTACTTACCAGTATTTTAAGGTCATTATTTTTAATTACTTATTGTTTATTAATATGTATTGTTTGACCAAACTATTATTTTAGCAAGTTTCATTTAATTGAGAGTTTGCTTACCTCATGTTGTTCATCCCATATCTCATACAAAGCAATTTTAGGAGCAACTACACTTTTATTTTATGACATAATTACTTCTTTGAACCCACAAACAATTGAAATATACAAAAAATTACAATTAAAGTTTTTAGTTTGTTTTTTTGATATAAACAAAACATTTACCAAATTTAATTTTTTTGTTGTTTGTTGTTGGACCATACAAATACACATGAAGATAGTGTTTAATAATTTAGTAATATAAGGATATGTATATATGAATACCATATAATGTAATTCTTAAATGATAATTTATTTTAAAATATGTATTATTTTGTAAGTATTTAGTATTTATTTTGTCACAGTCATATATAGGAAATATGCATATTATATAGGTAATACTTAGATTTACGCTAATACATATTTGACATTTTAAATCTGAAACAAGTATATAATGACCTTTGAGATGTCTAAAACCTTAATCTCTTCCGTGTCCATGATTACTGTTAAGCATTTGAAACATGGGGAACCAAAAATCAAAGTATGTAAATCCGCAAAAATATCCGAAAATATAGTTATATTTAAAATGCATACTATATTTGATAATTATGTTATCAATCACCTGATATGGTAAATAGGTATCAAATAATAAAAAGGTTGTATATGACAATTTAATAGACATTGCAAATAAAACTGTATATAATATATTGCCTTGAATGATTATCATAATATTATTATAGATATTTTAATGCACACCATATTATAGTTGTTAGTATCTAAAATAGTTAAAATAACACAGTGTAAAAATCCATACAATAGTCGATTTGCCCATTGTTTTGAATGAATATGCTGCCAAATGCAGGGGATAGAAGGGATAAGACACTGTAGTGCCATCTTCATAGTTGTGGTTACAGCATTGTTAACCCTTAACCTATATAATATCTAAATTGTCTTATAGAATAATTAGCGACTCACCATCGCTTCATTCAGGTTCATCCATAAGTATGTTTTGACACTTAATATGGAATACACAGACTATATAGATATGTTGGTATGATAAGTTGTATATTCTTTATTTGAGAAATGATTGATTCATAATAATGAATGATATATACTTCCATGATATATTAGGTAGATCCCTTCGGGATAAAACTATCCTAGGGTCTCAAACTATCTCCATACCAAATTTTATCTAAATCGTTTCATCCGACTAATTGTAAGCATGAAAAGATAACAGACAGACACAGTTGCTTTAGCATACTTTAGTATAGATAAATGACAGTTGGGTGTGCCTCCCTTCGCACGCCTCACGCCTTCCTTGTGTGGACGACTATATAGATTCCTGGACTGTGATTAGTGGCGTAGCTATGCTAATGCATGGGGCCTGTTTCAAGGAGTCGCCCAGCGAGCCGCCATAGACGATTCTTTTATTTCAAAACATTTTTCGAGAACTGCCTTCATAGAAGTTTAAAAAACCGCATGAAAAATTTCCTAAATTTTCGCATATTATTTTTTACAAGGTCAACGAGGAATTACATTGTACCTATATAAGAAATGACTGGTCCTTTTGAGCTTAGCTTTTTTATTGCATTTTACTCTACCTAGTCTTCCATCCGAGGGGTTTGAAAAAAGTGAGAAGTTCGAAAACAGTCTGTCCTTGGACCACAATTTTCGTTTTCAAAATCGGCAAAGAGGGGCACTTCCATTTTTTTCGTATTGGATCCCAAAATGGCTAGTTACTCCATAACTGTGATAATAGACTATTATATATCCCAGGTCATACAAGACTCTCGGCAAGCCGTCACCGCTGACTCTGGAGCAGCGCTACAAGTTCGGCGCCTACCTGCTCTCGCGCCGCTCTGTGACGTCACCGCGTGGCGCTGCGCTGCTTCTGGACGCCGCCACAATGCTGGCAGATGACCAGGTTACTTGAATAATACAATAATAATAAAGCCTTTATTTTTTACCTTTCTTACATTTTATAACTTAAACATTTCTTAACTATATTTATAATATTATGTCTCTTTGCTCGGTACCTGGAAACTTATATATAGATACATATAAATAAATATCTTTTATCATTTGCTAAGATTTTGATAAAACATCAGTGCAGAGTTTTTGATTAATAACTTTTTAATATTTGGTTTTCTATATGAAGAACAATATAGTTTACCATCCCTAAAACATTCTTTTATAGACTCAGTAGCAATGTACAAGTATATAAAAAAATTCATAAAGAATACTACAAATTCTTCACATAAATGCCCTTGTAAACTCAAGTTGATAGAGATGGTCCGATCTGCACAACATCAAAATGTACTAACTTTTTGCTTATTTCTTTTTATACAGCCCACACCAATCAGCATTGTATTCAAAGACAAGAAGTACATAACCGCCGAATCAGATTCGATTGAGTTTTCTGTCACTGATCTCATCGGTCGTCCCATTTCCAACCTGAAACCTGATGAAGTAATCGCGCAATCGGGAACAAGATTGGCTGATGATGTAGTAGTTCTCTCAAAACAGCCTCTTGTACAGAAATCCAATGAGCCCACAACATTTGTATTAAATCTCAGCAAGATAAAATCACAGCATGGACTTTACAAGATTTCACTAAGTGCTGGAACCAGATCGGCTAACTTCAACATAGCTGTGTTGGGTGAGATCCAAGTGTCGAGCGTTGAAGTCGGTATTGGCGATGTGGACGGCACAACCAGCCCAAAGATCACGACTGTGGCGTACCCTAACAAGTTGACTGAGAAACTGCAAGCTGATCATTTACAAAAGTAAGTATACTTACATTACATTTTCATAGATTTAAACGTGTGTTTTTAATATCTAGTAATTGGCGCTTCGGTCACGTAGCTATTTTTTTTTAAAACTCATCTCTCATAGTTTGGCTCAGTTTGTAGTGAACTTACTTGCTGTACCAGCGGTCGCGGGTTCGAGTCCCGCTGCGGGCATTCATTTGTGTGATGAGCATGATGTGAAAAGAATATGTATGTATATATTTAAAGTTATATTTATGTACTTTATCAACTATCTAGTATCCATAACACAAACCTTGTGGCTTACCATGGAACTAGATGGTGTTGTGTGTTAATGTCCCAACATATTTATTACATTAGTTTATACAACTCTGTGACTTGTAACTCTGAAGGGTGACTCTGAAGTTCAGCGTGCGCGACAAGTACAACAAGCCGGTGACGGTGCAGCAGGCCTTCGTGCGCGTGGCGCCGCGGCACGACGCCGATGCGGAGGCCATATACGTCGCAGAGCCCGACTCCTCCAAGACTTATAAAGTGGAACTGGTGAGTTGGAAAGCTATATCTTTGTATTGTCTTTTTACTTTAGTGTCAGTCTATTTGATTAAAGGTCATTTCATTCCGGTTTCAAGATACGGATATCAGTAATAGTTGAAAGTTGGGGACGGTCTGTTATTATTGCTTGTGACTTGAAGAATATACAAAGTTTTCACTATGAAAGTGAACAATTAGTAGCTCCATCATAGCACCATTTCTAGCATGGATACTGAAAATTAGTCAAAAGGCCAATACGAGAGGATCAGGCCAAAGTCCACCACGCAGGCCAAATGCAAGTTGGCGGACTTCACATGTCTTACGAAACTTGCTAGGTTCTCTCAGACATGTAGGTTTCCTCACGATATTTTCCTTGGCCGTAAGATAAGTAGTAATTTTGTTGGAAACGATTCGCATATGAAAATATTAGATTTGCGAGACCCGGGATTTGAACCCGCTTCACTAATTTTTTTAAATGTGTATCTAACTAGCGATTTACTTTCGTCGTTTCGCTCGGGTTCATCCCTAGGTACATTTTAAAGGGTAGTATGGAATATAGCCTATAGCTTTTCTTAATAAACAGGCTATCTAATGCAAAAAGAATTATTCAAATCGGATTACTAGTTCCTGGGATAAGTGCGTTCAAACAAACAAATAAACTCAGGCAGAGTTTATAATATTAGTATAGATAATATTCAGGTGTAGTTGTAAACTATCTATGAATGATATGACATTTGTGTAAACAGAACGTGGGCGCGATGGCAGCGCACGTGGGCGGCGCGGGCGGCGCGCACGCGCTCAGCCTGCTGCTGGGCGACAGCGCCGTGGCCGCGCCGCTGCTGTGGCCGCTCGGCGACCTCGTGCTTAACTTTGCAGCTATAGGTACTGCATGCGTTCATCTCTCTTATCTCTCTCTCTTATTCTTATATTGGTTCATATAGTACCATTTTTATGGTGGTCTCATATATGAGGTTTAACCATTTATACTTTGTGAGTACGACTACGTAGTATTAAAGATGATATAAAATACAAATTAGAAAATTCACAGTTTAATACATTTGAGAAACATCATCGCTTATAATATCTGGGTTGTGTGAAATGGTATGCTTTTAATATGTATATATTAGAAAAACGCAACAATTTATCATATACACTGCTATAACTGACAGAGGGCTATATAGATTATATACTCGTCAGCATGATGTACATAGTGTCCCGTCAGAGAAAGATAGAGCGAGTGTTACGTTCTCAGCAACTTTAACCCTATACCGCAGGCTCCTCGGCGACGGCGAGGGCGGGCGCGGCGGCGCGGGGGGCGACGGGCGCGCTGCCCGAGATCGCGCACACGTTCCGCAGCGCGGAGGCGGTGCCGGCGCGCGCGCTGTCCGACGTGTGCGCGCTGTGCTGCGCCGCGCCGCTGCTGCTGCTGCTGCTGCTGTGGGCGCGCCTCGGCCTCAACCTGCGCAACTTCCCCGCCGCGCCGCTGACCGCGCTCAACGCGCTGCTGTTCCATTTGGCGCTCGGAGGTCATTATATATTTTATATAACTTTATATCTAATACATTTAGTTATCTTAAATTCCTTTATGGTTTTTTTATACAGCACTTACAGGACTATTTTTAACAGTTACTATAATAAAATTAATAATTACTTTATCATCTGTAGATACTTGGATGAGCAGTAGTTAGTTCTTTATTGAATTTGCCCATAGGATATTTGTTCATTACATAATACATATTTTATTATAACCAACTTTTCATTATCGATTATATTTTTCGGTTTCTGTAATAATGTATTATATTTTTGTTAAACAGTTACCTTTTTATGTCAATTTTTCCGTTTAGAATTACATATATCGCTTAGAACCCAACTTACCTACTGTAACTAAACACAATTGTACAAATATCATTGCAGGTTCGCTGGGTCTGTACGGGCTGTTCTGGCTGCAGCTGACGATGTTCGAGACGCTGCGGTACCTGCTGCCGCTCGCCGCGCTCACCTTCCTCGCCGGCCACCGCCTGCTGCGCCACCTCGGCAAGGCGCGCCGCTAGACTGCCCCCGTCCTCCCCCACTCGCTCTCACCACTTACATTCAACTCGAAAGTTATCTCATTTGTAAACTATTTTTTATTTATACAATAACACGCAATAATTATTTGATAGTGAAGCGTTTTTTTTTATATTTATATATGGGATATTTGTAGGAAAATAGCTCCGCAAAGGATGAAGGATTTAGTGTAATATATAAAATTGTTTAAATCGGTACAAAAATTACAATCTAACATTGTTATTATCAGTCTTATATGATATTTTTGGAGGGTAGGTGCCGATGATGTAAGCGAAGAAGTAGGTGGCGTGAGCGAGATGTCGTTTTTAGATTTTACTTATATCGATAAGTACTTGTTTGCAATATTGTGTCGTAAATAAGTCATTTCTATTAATGAAAATTATGTCACGCTTCCATCGAAATTCTTGTAGTTTCGTGATAACGTGATATCAAGTCGCACTTAGGAATAAATTATAATTATTAATAATTTATAATTGTTTTAATTTGATAACATGTCACATAGCCACTCAAAATTTGTCTCGACTAACAATATATTCAGGACTGCCAGATCGTATAATTGGAAACAAAAATATAGATTTTTTAATAAATTAATATATTCTTCCCGTAACTTCGCTAATCTCAAACAAAAAAGTATCGAGAGATCGAACAATTCTTAATCCTTGATTGCAAGCAGACGCTATTTAGGTATGTTAAAATGACAAAAAATTCATAATTTTATCTGTTGCAGACAATATAATAGGATTTGATTTAATATAATTTCAGTGACTCAGCGGTACAAAATAAGTTAGTTCTATTGGCAGCCATGAATATATTTTTGTATTTCTGATAGTTATTTTACTGTCTTGTTCGATATCAATTACAAAGAATGACAATATGCAGATATTTTAAAATAATTTTTGATATGTTTAACACTGAGAGATTGAATGGACAAAACTAATCAAATACTAAAAATCAAACCTACGTAAAATCTAAAATAGTAAAATCGTCAGCATATGTTTGCATATTTGCTTCACACATAAATATTTCACATATTGTGATTTTTATTATTGTCTATTGATTTATTCATGAAAAAGTGATTTCTTTTGAGTTATTAATGTTAACGCCCACGATAAGTGAACATCAGTTTGTACATAGGTAGTTTTCTATCTCAACAATAAAAATATGTACACAAATTGACATTTTGTTTCTTTGTTTTTTTTTTAGGGTGGTAATGCAATTTCATATATATATACTAGCGACTCACATTCGCTTCGCTTGGGTTCGTCCCTCAGTTGCTTCTCCATTCAAATTACATCCCTAATTTTCCAAAACTACCCTATGTCCTTCCTAGGGCCTCAAAATATTTAAATCTGTTCAGTATTTTCGGAGCTCATTCGGTACAAACAAACAAAAATCTTTCCTCTTTATCATATTATATACTAGCGACTCACCCTCGCTTCGCTCGGGTTCGTCCCTAGGTACGTTTTAACGGTCAATATGAAATACGAATCTTTGAATTTTTCGGCTCTTCTGTACTATAATATTTACGTATTATACATATTAACCTTTCTCTTGAATCACTCTATCTATTAAAGAAACTCGCATCAAAATCCGTTGCGTAGTTTTAAAGATCTAAGCATACATAAGGACAGACAGACAGCGGGAAGCGACTTTGTTTTATACTACGTAGTGATTAGTTTATATGGTTATATGTTTAATAGCACTCTGACCGAGGCAATCTCACACGTTTCTACACACCGATGCAGTTTTTGAGTAATCTTTAAAAACTTTAGATTGTGTTAACACAAATTAGAACTTACGATTTACTAATATCAATGGTATAAAAACGATGTGCGATAAGTCACGATTTTAATTATTTCGTCTTTCAAAAAATATATTTCTGCAATTTAATAATATTGCCATAGAAAATTCCTATTATCATAAGGAACTTAATTAAAATTATTGTAATAGCTTTCACCATTAAATATTATATATTTTGGTTAAAATGAAACTCAATAGTGCATTTATTCATTCTAAATAAAACATTTAGTATAAAATTAGTCGTTATAAATGCAAACAGGTTAATTGTTTAATTAAACATATTCAAATAAATGCAATTAGTACTCATCAAAAAATATATAAAAATATTTAAAAAGGAGCATAGCGATAACAACTCCATTTAAATAAGAACAAGTCATGTTAATATTAGATAGTAACAGTAAGTACAGTCTTACTTCTTATCTATTTCTACATGAAATATATTTTAAAAATAAATTAATGTAACTTATTATGTACAGAATAGACCCCAAAACAATATTTATCAAAAAAATTGACTGTTTGTGTATGCGCGTCTCAAGCAAAAAGTACTGAACCGATTTTAAATAGATTTTGTGTAGTGAGTTGTCACGTAAGTTATTATTACTCGAGTCAACATTTAAGATACCTTTTACTTCAAGAAGATCTTTCTTTCCCACAGGAAAATACAATAACTTGTTTTATCGAGTCGTCAACTCATCAAGCCTAAATTATATAGCCTCAGAAGGCAGACATAATTTCTATCTCCTAGGGAACGGGAGCCGAACGAAGCGAGGGAAAGTCGCTATAGCAAATAAGTATTGGCTATTAAAATTTGTAATAATATAATGTCGACCAGTTTGTGAAGTAAAAAACAAATTTTATTAAAATAAAATAATCCTCTTTATATTCTGTAATATATATTATGGAAACATATCAATTAACATGTTAACTTATCGAAAATATGTAAGTCCAACCTTTTCTAGTAATGTTATTAATACTTTTACTTTTTTTTTTGTAACACTGATATTTCGAAGGTCCTTTATAATGAGAGGCTGCATCTAGTTTTTAATTTTTGTATTAATACTAGCATTGCCCGCGGCTCCGCCCGCATTCAGATGACCAAATATCAAATTCTTAGGTTTTACATATTAGTATACTCTTACAATGACATTTTCCCGCGGTAAAAAGTATCCTATATGTTGACCCGGATAACCAGCTATCATCATACCAAATTTTATCAAAATCCCTCCAGTGGTTTTTCTGTGATGCGGTAACAGATAAACAGACAGACAAACAAAAATTTTAAAAACTATAGATTCGGCCTCTGTATCGATAATAATGACTATTTCAATAAGATTTTCCAAAAAATATTTAATGTACAGATTCGACTCAGTTAGAATTTTATTATATGTATAGATCAATAATGAACACGCTCATTTTGTGCGGCACGCGAAATACATCGCGGTAGATTGATGCACCAAAAAAGATATAAGTATATATAAACTGCAACTCACCCTCGCTCCGCTCGGGTTCGCCCCTTATACTTACGTTTTTTAAAGGTTAGTTCAGATTTCTAAGAGATATTTTCCCGCAGTAAAAAGTATCCTATATATTAACCCGTATATAACCAGCTATCGTCATACCAAATTTCATCAAAATCTGTCCAGAGGTTTTCTCGTGATGCGGTCAAAGACAGACAAAAATTCTAAAAACTATTGATTAGGCCTCAGTATCGATAATAATGGCTATTTTAATAATTTTTCCGAAAAATATTTAATGTACAGACTCGACTCAGAATTTTATTATATGTATAGGTATATAACTACATAATAGATTGACTATATATCATATGTATATGTTACGGGCAACTTGACTAACCAGACAGTATTAATATGGACCGATCATTGTGAATGACCTTAAGGTCCAAGAGGGTCGGTCCAAGTTGATAAATTTATTACTTGGCCAGCCCATATTAATAATGTCCGACGACCCGTGGTTAATTTAAAAAATCAAGGTTTGAGAAAGCTTGAATTTATCACTTGGACCGGGCAGTATGAATACTTTCCTATTTCTAGCCGGGTAATATGATAACTTCGGTCGTGCGACGTGTGTGGAACGCGCGCGGTGGCAGCACACGCTTCTCGCACGATCCGATTTCACATATTTCCGTTTTTTCCTAGATTACTAATTTTTAGTCTGTTGTACATATTTTGTTACTTTAATTTTATCAAAATAAAAGTAAGGTAACTAACTACTAATGTCGTTTCATTTTTTTACTTATTTTAAAGAACTTTATGCTGAATTGCGTTTTCTTTGTACCTTTCAATAAGTATATATAGGTATGATGGGTTGTATTATAACGCGTTTTCCCGTGGGAATAAGATAAAAAATTACATCACGCCAACCCATCATTCTAGTTTCGACGTGAAAGAAGGACAAACATACACGCTTTATTATTTATAATATTAAGTATGGATAAAGATAATAAAAACATACTGTCCAATGAGTTCGTTCGAGTACCGCGGTACCCTAACTCCTACTTGTATCACGGTAAATAGACGTCATAACATATGTAGTCTATGATAAATTAATAATTTAAAATCCCCCGACCATCTCGTACCGGATTTAATTCAAACATAAGCTAAGAACACTTCCGACTAATTCACCTTTCAAACACACACACACAGACACGTCAACCTTATAACATCCCGTCGTTTTTGCGTCGGGGATTAAAAAAAGGTGTAAAAAAAAATTGTGTGTAGCTTAGAGCTTTAATCACTTATGTATATATTATTTAATATCACAACATACAAAGGCGTCATCCATAAAATTTTAACAAAAAAGGATTTATCAAAAGTTAAAACTATAATACTTAATATATTACTTTACAGAACTTACAACTAATGTATCAATTCAATCAATTGTATTGCATACGTAAATGCGGCCATGGTCACTGGGTTGTAATAATTTAAGATACACAAAACACATTAGGGTGAAACGAAAAAAGAGAATTTGTAGCAGAAAAAACATTCTATTTTTAAATAAAAATAAATAAAACCCAATATTTTGAAGTGGCCTACTGATTTTCAAAATCATTCAATTTTAAAAAATCAGTGGGCCACCTCAAAATGTTGAGTAATTTTTTTTAATTTCTATAATTTTGTTTTTTATAAGATACAAATTCTATCCCCAAGCTAAGAAAAAATCATTTTTTTTCTCTCCACCCTAATACACATATATGTATGTATGTCAAACTTAATTGTAAATATTTAATCAATTAATTACGTTCTATTACAAACTGGGTTATTGCAGCCAATGTTTTATAATATAGGTACGTTATATATTCACAAAACGAGTGAAGTGTTCCGAATCCAGTGATAGCACACATGCTCACATATTTATTCTATTTAAACCACCACATTGCCAAGTGATGTAAAGGGATAGCGTAATCAAAACTATAAGAAAAAAAAAGACAGCTAGTGTTTGTAATTTGCGCGTAAGTTTTCTTTGAATTACGTAATCGTGGAGTCTTATTTGTTTAAAATAGATTAAACCAAATAAAATATAATAATTTCGGATTATTTAGCTGTCGTATGTGATCCCGTGAGTTTGGTTTGATAATAATTAGTACATTTACGGAATACATACGACGGCATTTTAGTTATAAAAACGAAACTGGTAAAAGCAAGGTGGGAAATATGTGCGTATTTTTTTTGTTATTACTTATTAGAAAGCGACTGAGGCCAATGGGGAGGTTTATCTCCATTTGAGTGCTTCACTTTTAGAACGCTAGTAACGTATCTACCTCTTATTATATCATTAATTGCAGCATATTTGTTTCATTAAGCTAATTTATAGTTCGGATTAATAAAATTGTTCAAAATGAACTTAAAATTAAAATATAAGTGGCTTCAAAATTCGGCATCCAATGTGAATACATTGTCCTCAGTTTTAGCCATAACGCCCCACTTCTGGTATTCCCCTACTTTCTTCTCGAAGAAGTTTGTTTTGCCTTCCAAGGAGATGAGATTCATAAAATCAAACGGATTCTTGGTGTTGTAATGCTGAAAATTTATAATTTATTAAATAACATTACAAAAAAAGATTGATGACCATATAGATATTTGTTATTTAAATTGTAAGTTTCCTCATAAATAATGGTTTTGATTGGTGTTACACAATTCATGTAGAGCCTTAGCTTTAGATAAATAGTTTTAAAAGCTAAATGCCAGCCAAATTATTAAGCCAAAGTAAACATAACGCCTAAATATTAGTAAAAAAAAGATTAATATTAACCTTTTCACCGATGAGGTCTACGAGCAAACGGTCGGCAACAAACTCTATGTAGTTGGACATAAGTTCACAGTTCATGCCGAGTAGTCTCACTGGTAATGCATCTGTTAGGAACTCCTGTTCAATTACCACTGCATCCTAAAATATAAGATTTATATAAAAGCTAGATTCTCAATTACATTCATATTATGTGTGTATTCAATCCTATTAACGTTCCACTGCTGGGCATAGGCCTCCCTTCAATAAGAGGGGCATCTGGCCATAGTCCACCATGCTGGCCAAGTGCGGGTTGGCGGACTTCTGATGTGTTTCGAAAACTTGGATTCTTCCAGGAACCAGAAATGCAGTTTCCTCACAAATGTTCTCCTTCACCGTAAGAAAAGTGGCAATCATGTAGGAAATGATTCGCACATGAAAATATCAGAGTTGCAAAACGCGGGATTTGAACCCGCTACACTCGATTTCCCAAGCGAGCTCGTCACCACTGGCCTAGCGCATATTATAAATGAGGTTTTAATTTAATTTCTTTGGTACTTCCTCCTACTGCCAATTCTTATGGAGGTAAATTTGAAATATAGACACCATTTATCCAGGATTTATTACATGCTATTATAAATACTGTCATCACACCTACATCAACATACATTCACCTATTTCATGAAACCATCTCAACCATGATACCATGTAAGATTTTTTTATAAATACAGAATTACTATGAACACAAATTTACTTAACACTATCTAAAACAAAATTAAAATGTAAGTTAACTAACCTTTATTATCTCCAATACACGAGCCGCACTGGGTTTTTGCACCAGGTGTTTGAACATCAAACATGCAAAGTCAGTATGTAAACCCTAAACAAAAGAAGAACATATACATATTACATATTTACATTGATAACACATTTGGCTCAGTTTGTAGTGATCCTACTTTCTGTGCCAGAGGACGCGGGTTAAAGTACCGCTAGGGGCATTTAGATATGGTTTTCTTTTTAAGTTTATCATGTCTTTACTGAAAAAAAAAAACGCAATTTTTATATCCACTCTAAAAAACGCAGAGGGAAGCTCGATCACCAGATACTTATTTACTATATAAAATAATCCATTTAATAAAAAAAACTGTTTATAACCAGAGTAGTTTATTCATATAATAACTAAATTCATCTTTTCAAGTTGTTATAATATAATACTGTGGTATCTAAGCATTTTTAAAGATAATGTGTACATGAGAATTAGCACTCGAGATAAAGCTTACTTTTATCTATTTATGTCACATAATAATGATTATAATTTAAGTTTAACATTAGTTACTGTTACTTTTGAAAACATTTTACCTGAAAGCAATTATTGTGCATATTTAAAGCCTTAGTAATAGATATGATTTTCCATATTCTGCCCTTTTTTTCAGGTTTGTGGATAGACAATTTTTTATAATTAGATTAAATAACACCAGACAGAATTCAAACACCCCAAAAACATTCAAAAGCTATTTTCATTTCATTTTTACTATTTATTTAGGAAAGAACACATTGGTATAACCAAATTCTTTATTTTAATATAAAATTGTTATATTTTTTGTTCATATTGATGTACAAATTGTAAATGTGATGCTACATGTAAATATAGACTGTATATTATTGTACCTCTACCGTTCTATTTTTCAATTGATATCATAAAATACTTATATTTTTGTCATGAACAATTATCTCATTCAACATACCTCATCCCTTGAAATCAGTTCATTACTGAAAGTAAGACCAGGCATTAGACCTCTCTTTTTCAGCCAGAATATAGATGCAAAGCTGCCAGAGAAAAAGATGCCTTCTACTGCAGCAAAAGCAATAATGCGTTCTCCAAATGTTGCAGTCTTGCTGCCAATCCATTGCAAAGCCCAGTCAGCCTTCTTCTTTACACATGGCAGTGTTTCAATAGCATTGAATAGAAAGTCCCTAAAGAACATACATTTGTCATTTAATAATTGATACAGAAGATCCTAAAAGTAGTACAAGTAAAAACATTTAAAATTTTATTTATAACACCGAAGTCTAAATAAAATAATTCTAAAACCATAGTATAAAAAAAATAATTAATGCCTGCCATTTGTTGGGATATATCTACTCAATATCTTACCACAAATACAGGCATCAAATATCACACAATAAACAACCTATAGTCAATGCGTAATATGTGAATAACATTACTAATAAAATATGAATGACTCATAAATTAAAATTTAATAATAAATATGCAAAAAATAAATACCTTTCTTTAGGATCCCTTATGTAGGTGTCTATCAACAGTGAATACATCTCTGAGTGAACATTTTCCATGGCTATTTGAAAACCATAGAAACACCTAGCTTCTGTGACTTGAACTTCCTGCGAGAAACGCTCTACTAGATTTTCATTTACTATACCATCTGATGCGGCAAAAAATGCTAAGACATGCTTAATAAAGTGCTTCTCACAGTCCTTTAAGGTCTCCCAATCAGCCATATCCTATGAGGATAAAAACAAAATTATTTATTTTCCACAAATATTACATTTATTGAACACATAATAAAGACATAATTGAAATAAGTAAAACAATAAAAAAGGCCAAGAAAAAGAAAATATAGAACATAAACATACCTTCGATAAGTCTACTTCTTCAGCAGTCCAAAAGGATGCCTCTGCTTTTTTATACATTTGCCATATGTCCGGATATTGAATTGGGAAAATAACAAAGCGGCGAGGATTTTCTCTTAATAGAGGTTCTAGTTGTGGATCAAACTTTGGTTCTACGTTTTCTTTCACAACATCCATTTTTTTTGCACTCTCTTCGGCTTCATTTGGCATAGAGAGCACTCTCTTGACAGGAGACTAGAGTATAAAGTAAATAGTTAAATACAGTAAATCAAGCTTACAAATAATGAAACGTAAAGATCGTTTTAATATGATTAAAACTCAAAAACAAACCTTAATGTGTATATTATTTAATCCATTGTGCAAATTTTCCTTGTTGGGAGACATTTTCAAATTTCAATATAATAACTCGTATGGTAATAAAACACAATTAATGCAACAATAACAAAAAGATTTAAAAAAGATATATCTTATATGTTTACCATGTGAATACCACATGAATTGTGAAAGAAATGTGAATGACGGTAATAGCCAGTATGTACTTTATTAAGTACTCATAAAAATTTTGTGCGCCTTAATTTAGGCGGGAAATTAGTTACGTTCTACGCTGCAATCACGGAGATTATAAGATTAATATGAGCAAAGAAATAAATTATTATCATTACAAAATAATTTTTAAAACAAACTTATTAAATGGTATTTTATTATAATATGAAAAAAATATACTTTACATAACATTATCAAAACAATTGAAGGGGGAAAAATATATTTCCTTAATTTTTTTTAATCCATACTAATAGTTGTCAGTTATGGAACGTGTTCAACTCGTCAACGTTAACCAATCACGAGGTTAGAATAAATAGCGAGATTCATAATTTTCTCGTAACTCAAGAAATATACTAAAAAACTTGTGAAAAGTAAAGAGGAATGTTTAAAAAAGAATTTGTGTAATGAAAATGTATTAAATTCCATGTATCAGTATTAAATAGACTGTACACTTATTTTCCCTCGTAAAACGTTTCATTTTTATTGGACGATAATAAACCAATCAAGTTGTTTTAAATAATGATTGGTTAATTCACAAAATATGATACAAAATGTAGGTTCACACTTTACAACAGCGCTACCTATTGGCGGGTAAATTGCCCGAAAAGCGGGTAATTTTAGGCGATTTTTGTTGGCGGGTAATTTTGACGGGTATTTGCATTGAGCGGGTCAAAGCAGGTATTTTTTTAGTTTAGCTGATTACCTCGATATTTTAAGTTTTTTTTAAATTTTGATTTAATAATTTAAAGCTGTTTAATTGAGAACTGATTACAATGACTTCTTTTTTTTACATTAAGACTTTCGTTTATTCTATATAAAACGTATAAATTACTTAAAAAAAAACTATTTTCGGGTATTCTGCTATCGGCGGGATAAACAGAGTATTTTGAGGTTTATTGGTCGGGTAAATCAACAAAAAACTCTGGCAGCTCTAGATTACAAATATATTTAGTCTGTGAATTATGGCTTATACACACCAGTCGGCATGCATTGGGATATTTTTTGCATTCCTCTTCACCTACCCTACCCCAGCCTGCAAATTTATGATATTTGCAATGAAAAAAATACTAATCGATAGATTTTCAATAGCTCAATTTAACTACGTAGCCCTTTCAAATTGCTCACCTTTAATTATTTAATTAAAAATCAATAAAGTCTTTGAAAAAAAATTAATTTATCTGTATATTCAAACTCCTATATCTTTTGATGTATACAATATTTCAAATTGCTCAAAGTTCTAAAACACTGCTCAAGTTGCATTTGTAATTGCTCAAGTAGAGTTTTTACCAGCTCCACTTTCGCTGATTATTAAATAATTAAAAGTATAGTTGTAATAAATGTAACGTAGGTTAAGTGAGCGTGCGCATGCGCACCGCGCATTGTCGGTCGGCCTCGGCGGTAGACATGGGTAACTCAATGAATTTTTATGAGCTGCAGGTCAGCTCATGAGTCATATGCTTGAACCGGAGCTGTGAACCGGCTCACAGTTCAGTTCAATTGATGTTGTATGGGTACTTATAACTATAGATTTACAGCTAATTTATGACTCTGTTCAAACAAATGACATGTATGATGTACCTAAATTAAATTTGTATGTAATAAAGTAGCATTTCGAAAAAGTTATTATAGTCATATTTTTTCGTTCTTACACAATTATAGGGGAATGCTAATTTTATGCAATTATATCTATAATATATATATATAATTATATATATTATACGTCGCGTTGAAATGTCATACCGTCCGTCGCAAAGAGTATAATAATATAGATTATAATAGACTATAGTACAGGTCCGTCGGCTCGGGTCCATCGAAATAGCTGACGTTAGGTGGCGCTGAAGTGATGCATTGAGCCATATTAAGTAATATTGAGCTGTGAACCGATTATCTAGCAACTGAGCCGCAGCTCAACGGCTCTAGCTACTGTGAACTGAATATTTGAACCGGCTCTGAGCTGAGTTACACATAGTGACTCGGCGGGCTTGGACAATCGTTCCAATTCAACGTCTTAATTCTGTTTCTCGGTGGATTTCTTTAAATTTATTGAAATTATGAATTGTTCACATTACGTGATTCCACTTCAGATATTATAACATAAAGAACAGATCTGGAATCTACCAATAAATGAAAATTAATACCAACAGATAAATTAAGACAAAATCTTATGTTCAAATGCTTATTCTATTAAGGTAATAGCCATGACAGGGATCATTAGTAAAATGTTATTAACATCAATACAAGACGGAACTTTTTTTATTTTTAAATATACAAATTTAAATTTTATTTAAATCTATTTTTTTTAAATCTAAATTTTCAAAACCGACTAGAATTGATTTCAACAAATTAGTTTCGTTTGCAATGCGCAAAATACCTGAACACGTGAAAATCATGCCCTATAAAAATGCCTGATAATAGATGATGTTGTGCTTGGAGTATTACAGTTTCATTTCATGATTTCACTATGATGAGGTTATGAAACACTTGATTTTTTTGCCTTGCGACTCGCGTTACTGTTTGCGCACATGCGCAGCACTCACCTATCTATACGTTAAATTTATTCAAACTATTTATATTTATTTAATAATTAAGGAAAGTGGAGCTGGTGAGAACTCTACTTGAGCAATTACAAATGCAACTTGAGCAGTATTTTAGAACTTTGAGCAATTTAAAATATTGTATATATCAAAAGATATAGAAATTTGAATATACGGATAAATGAATTTTTTTTCAAGGACTTTATTGATTTTTAATTTTATAATTAATGGTGAGTAATTTGGAAGGGCTACGTAGTTGAATTGAGCTATTAAAAATCTATCAATTAGTATTTTTTTCATTGCGAATATCATAAATTTGCAGGCTGGGGTAGGGTAGGTTTCCTCTTCGTGTATATACAAATAGCTACATTGGTTTAGGTTAATTTTAGGGCTTCAAATAAATGAATTAAATAGTTTTACAATTAATATTTTTTTTTATTTTTAATGTTTTATCAAACTTCTAGCAGACTGTACTTTCCGAACCTGCGGTACGTAGGTAGACTACACTGATAATCTTAAAAACAATCTTAATGAGCCAAAAATACTATGAAAACATAAGAAAATTCTGTATGTTTATAAGTTAGTTTATTCTACATAAGCTAATGCTTAAAAATATTAATATGTACATTGCATAAAGCGGTCAATTATAATATAAAGGGCCACCATTCGTTCATGCACATATTATAAAGTTAAGTCTTCCGCCATGCTGAATTTGTGTTTGTTCGATCTACTTTGAGAAATTATTTATTGTAAAGATATTCGTATCTAGAAGTCTATAATAATTTATCAAAATTTGGTGAAAATGTAAGCTATCGGTTTGATGATAATCGTAAATTAAGTCTGAAAATATCGTATTTTATCAATATGAAACTGGTTTTCCTTTAAGACCCCGCTCTGCAAGCATATTATATACTACATAGGCAGAACAGTTGTAGGTAAAAAAGTTTTACAATAAGAGTATTATAAACATTTCAATCATTTATTGTAATAAGTTGTTAACGAGTGAGTAACGCCTAAGTAATACCTAAACATTGTGAAGTTAACCGTTGCCGCGATACGCACCTGGCGTTTTTTGATTGGTGGAGATATATTTAATTATGAATAAATGTTAAATTATATATGTATGAGGCAGGTTAACCGACAGGTCAAACAAAAAAAAAGGTTAACCGACAGGAAGGGTAAATTTTAATGGAATTGTATAGTTAGACAAATAATTTGCATACGAAAAAAACCTACAATACAAAGAAAAAGAGAAAGTGGAAAGACCATTATTATATTAAATTCTAAAAGAAAATTTTAATTTTTAAAATATAATTTCCTTGATTCTGACTTCGTAAATATCGGATAATGTATATTATAGGAAATGACAATTCATGTACAGTTATTTTTTACTTTTTAGTGTCAAGATGTCGGTTTTTTGAAGTTATACTTCTTTTGGCATATTTGGAAAAAAATATGAGGGTAAAATTTTTACGATGCACGCGCACACCGACAGCGAAAATGCGACATGATGAAGTTAGCTGCATTCCTTTTACAAACAGTGTTCTGACATGGAGGATGAAATCTTAGGCTATTTCTGTTCTGTTACGCTAAAGAAGTATAACTTCTTAATGCGTACATATCCTAATTACAAACACTTTTAAAGGTTCAAGTCGATATGACAATTAAAATTAGGTAAAAAGGTCTAATTAGATCTGTTAAGATACTACCGAATAACTTTCTTATAAACGGTATACTCTATGTCAAGGAAAATTTTATGGAACCACCTCGGGACCTACCTTAATACAATACAGGTTAAAGGATCAAAATCGGTCAAGCCGTTTCCGAGAAATAGGTGAACATATATTAAAACAATCATACATACACTATACAGATGAACATAGAACCTCCTCCTTTTTGGAAGTCAGTTAAAAAGTCGGGGAATCATAAAAGTTTATTTATATCAATTATTAACATAGTTGCTTCAAAAATATAAGTAATAAGCATTCGTCCTTAGAGTATACATAAACTATGTATATGTACTCTAAGCATTAGTCACCCATGTAAGCATGTATATTTGTACGCATTTGTTTAATTTGAACATTTTGTATCTGTACTCTATAATATTATTTCATATTTGTCAAAGCTGACGCTTGACGTGACATTTGTATAAAAATTTGTGATGATTTCGGTATTTGGTTAGCCGTAAAAGAAATTCTAATATATAAGCTATTTTTATAGGTTTTAACATTGTATATTGTATAATTATTAGTTAAAATGTCAGATAATGACGACGATTATATGTGTGAAGAGGAAGAAGATTATGGATTGGTAAGTTACGTTTTAATTCAATGTTCATTTTATGCCTTTCATTGTTTTATTTATTATGAAATAGTTTTAATAAGTTTTCAAATAAGTGCTTTTACATATTTACTAAAAGTTTTCTTTTGCAATCATAACTTTTACGTTTGTACTAAATGCTTAATGTAAAATTATTTTCTTCAGGAATATTCAGAAGACAGCAATACGGAACCTGATGTTGATCTAGAGAACCAGTACTATAATAGCAAAGCTTTAAAAGAGGATGAACCTCAAGCAGCACTACTTAGCTTCCAAAAGGTCTTAGAACTAGAAGGTGGTGATAAAGGAGAATGGGGTTTCAAGGCACTTAAGCAAATGATAAAAATCAATTTCAAACTGGTATAATCATTTTCCATGTGTGTTGTCATAAAATCTAAATATACCTGAAAACACTTTATATTGTTTTATATTTTTAGGGAAATTTCACTGAAATGATGTCTAGGTACAAACAGCTGCTAACATACATTAAAAGTGCAGTCACAAGAAATCATTCGGAAAAGTCCATCAACTCTATACTGGATTATATATCAACATCAAGAAATGTATGTACATAATAAATAGTTCTATTATTGTTTTGAATATTTCAGTAAATCTAATATGTTTTTTTTTAAATGAAGTAGACTTGTGATATACAAGTAATATAATATTATCATTATTATTAATAATATAAATTAATATTATTTTGCTTTCAGATGGAATTACTGCAGGACTTTTATGAAACTACATTAGAGGCTTTAAAGGATGCCAAAAATGATAGATTGTGGTTTAAGACAAACACAAAACTAGGCAAATTATATTATGACAGAGGAGATTTCAACAAATTAGCCAAGATACTAAAACAGTTACATCAGAGCTGTCAAGTAATAATTTTCATTATAATTTAATTATATTGTTCATTATTTATAACAATTCAAATATGTACATAATGAAATTTTAAAATACTATCCATAAAAAGGTTATATGTTTATTTTTATGTTAAAAAAAACATATAAAGAAAAGTATGTAATAAAAATATAGACGCCAAATTTAGAAGTAAATTTTTAAGGTTCCAAAGGCAAAATACGAAAACAAACTGTAATTATTTTGGTATGTCCTGCTTTCCATGTATTAGAGCTCAGACAAATCTATAGGCAAATTTCAAAAATTAAAAAATTAGTGGATGGATAACATAAACAATTTAACTTTATTGATTAACCTCTTAACTTGTCTAATTTATTTTAAATTAATGATGTTAAACAAACATTTCAGACTGATGAAGGTGAAGATGACCTGAAGAAAGGCACCCAACTCCTCGAGATATATGCACTAGAGATACAAATGTACACTGCACAAAAAAACAATAAGAAACTTAAGGCACTATATGAACAATCCTTGCATATAAAGTCTGCAATCCCACATCCACTTATTATGGGTGTTATAAGAGGTAAAAGGATTTATATTTAGTATCAAAAAGGCACATTGTCCTTAAAATATATTATAACAGTCAATTAATACTTTCTTATATGCGAATATTTGATATTTTAAATAAAACAAATTCTTAGGTTTTACATATTAGTATACTTACATTGCAGTTTTTGTATTTTTTTTCAAAAATGAGATATTTTCTCTGCGGTAAAAAGTATCCTATATGGTGACCCAGATAACCAGCTATCACCATACCAAATTTCATCAAAATCCGTGGTTTTTCTGTGATGTGGTGACAGACAGACAAAAATTCTAAAAACTAAGATTCTGCCTCTGTATCGATAATAATGTTTATTCCAATAAGATTTTCCAAAAAAATCTAATGTACTGATTCGGCTTAGTTACAATTTTAATATATGTATAGATTTGAGACCTCTAAAACCTTAGTCTCTCATGTGATCATTTGAATCGTTGACTACCAAAAATCAAAGTAAATCTGCGAAAAAATCTAATTAGACAATAAATATTTCATAAAAACTTTGATGCTAGGATAATTGTAATACTAAATAATATAATTGTTTTCTTTATAATATTTATACATATAATATGTATATATTGCTCCAAATAAAAAAGATAAGTTGCAGAAGCATAGAATTTACATGCCCTGCCTTGCACAAGAGTGTTACACCACTAAGTTTCCAATTCCTTCCTGCTACTGAGAGTTTACTATATATGGCGCCATCCAAAAATCGAACCCAGAACCTTAAAATAAGATAAATAAGAAGCAATTTGCATTTAATTTCGACTTAAAAGATAGAGTTTAAATGACTCCTAATTTATTAATTGAAACCAAATTAGAGGTATATCACTGTTAATGATAAAATTGAATTATAATTCCAAATAAGAAATATTCTATACTTAAGCTGCTTAATTAATAGTGATTTAAAATATGCAGTTATATGGAAAAAAATATATTTCAGAATGTGGGGGTAAAATGCACTTACGCGAAGGCGAGTTCGAGAAGGCCCATACGGATTTCTTCGAGGCTTTTAAGAACTACGACGAGTCAGGCAGCCCGCGCCGCACCACCTGTCTCAAGTACCTGGTATTGGCAAATATGTGAGTACATTTTTATTATTTCCAAATATGCATGTTTTATATGCATGAGGCCCATATGATGTAATGATTTGGTTAATTTATAAAAGTTTTAGGTGCATTCATGTTTTCCAATTAGATTAATAAACATTCATTAGTCAAACACGTTAATTTATAGTTTAGGATAATTTATCTCATATTGATTATAAGATAATTAAAGATTAAAGATTCTATGGTCAAGGGAGAGACTCACCCGTGACCATGGATGCTGTTAAGTATTCGAAACGTCGGGAACCAAAAATCAAATTAAATCCGCGAAATGATCCGAAAAGATAGTTTTATTTAAAATACTAAATACAAATCAGAGCATAAGTGAGTGTTCCTCATATATATAATTATTAATTCATTGATTTTCTAGTATTTAATTATTTATTTCCTACTGGCGACTTAGCGAGTTTTAATTTTTGCACGGAACCCTGATTCTTTTTCTAATATAAAAGTAGCCTAAGTTACTCCTTATAACATCGGCTGTCTGCCAGTGAAAGTCACGTTAAAATCGGTCCAGCCGTTTCAGAGATTAGCCAGAACAAACAGACACATAATTTTAAAAATTGTTTTATACTTACTAGTACCGTATACTTTAATATGCATTTAGTAAAAACCTGTTATTTTGTCATTACAAACACACTTATATTTTATTTATCTGTATAGATGCATAAAAATATAGTCATATTTGCATATAAACAAACGGCAACACTAATTTTCAGGTTAATGAAATCCGGGATTAATCCGTTCGACTCGCAAGAGGCAAAGCCCTATAAGAACGATCCAGAAATACTAGCAATGACAAACCTAGTGATGGCATATCAGAACAACGACATCAACGACTTCGAAGCCATACTCAAGCACAACCGAAATAACATTATGGATGATCCCTTCATACGGGAACATATAGAAGACCTGCTGAGGAACATCCGCACCCAGGTCCTCATTAAGCTCATCGGCCCCTACACCCGTATACACATACCATTTATCTCCAAGGAACTCAATATTGACGAAAAGGATGTGGAAAATCTTCTCGTCACCTGCATTCTTGATAAGTAAGTAATATTGTTTAATAATTGTTAGGGTATATTTTAAGTAAAATATTGCTGTTTTACCAAAACGTTTCTTTTAATATTAGTTCTCTATATTTTTTTCTCATTGATTATTGTGAAGTAATTAGTTTAAATAAGTTATTAAAACAATAGGGAATATGCATGTGATTTAATTTTTTTATTGCTTCTGAATTATGCCTGTATTACATTTTTTAATGTAATTTATTTTTGATTAAGAAAATAATTATTAAAAAGTGCAAATATAGGTGGAAAATTCAAAGTAGTTGAAACGCAACGCCATTGGTCACACCGAATGTGACGTCAATGTCTTTAACAACAGAGCCAGTGTTACCATTTACCAATTTGTTTAAGCAAAAGTCGGCATTTTTATCGACAAAATCGCTAAATAGGCAAAACTGGCTTTGTTATTATAGACTATATGTCACGCCAAGCGTGCCAAAATGGCTGGCGTTTAAACATCCGTATCGGTTTGATATTTAAAAAAAAAAACACTTTTTTAAGTTTTCGTTATTTCGGCACTCTTAAAAGCGCCATAGGCACGGGTATAATCGAGTCCTCGTGGAGAAGTCATAAAAAAAATATTAAAGAGTGCGTGTATCAATGTGTAAGACGCGCAAAAAAGTGAAAAAGAACTTCTGTGGGATATCAGTACTTTTTATGAAGTTCAATTTATGTATTATTTAGGATAGGAGAGATACTAAAAAAGTTTTTTTATCGATACTTTCGTAATACTTTCTTAGATTTACGCGAATGTTTGACATTATTAAATAAAACTATCTTTTCGGATTATTTCGCGGATAATATTTCGCGAATACAGATTGTGGGTAGGCTGTCTGTAACAACTATACCTTCAAGACATGTAACACCTCAGTCTCTCCCGTGACCATGGATGCTGTAAAGCATTCGAAACGTCGGGAACCAAAAATCAAAATAAATCCGCGAAATAATCCGAAAAGATAGTTTTATTTAATAATGTTTTTTTATCGATTTAAAAAGGAAAACAATATTTTATTATTTACATAGTATACAGATGATGTTCAGGTAAAATTTAATTTCTTATCAAATGTTGTAATGATTTAATAAATTATATACTCCAATAAAATAAATAATAATACAAGTAAGACTAAACAAGTTTCACTTCCGTAACGTAACGTCGCGTAACGCCCAGCATAACCGCGTTTCCGTTACAAAAATCATGACGCCAAATACCAATCCTTTTTCGCTTTCATGGCGCATCTAAAAAAATTTTACTTCAAAAACATTAATAACGCGTTGTACAACATAGTGAGTATGAATTCTTAAAGATTTCTAACCGGTGTCCCCGCAGCACGATCAGCGGGCGCATCGACCAGGTGAACTCCGTGCTGGAGCTGGCGAGCGGCGCGCGCGGCGCCGCGCGCTACCTCGCGCTCGACAAGTGGACCGCGCAGCTCGCCTCGCTGCACCTCGCGCTCGCCAACAAGATGGCGTAGTCCCACACCACACACCACACGCCACGCACCACCCAATCATATCTCTACAACATTCTTTTGATACTACCGTAGTATAAAAAAAAAGATTCCGACGAATTGATAACCTCCTCCTTTTTGGAAATCGGTTAAAAATCCATACAGTAGGCTATCGCTAACGTTAAATACCAATTTTCATGGTGAACGGTTTTGATGTTAAAACGCTGTAGTGCCGTTAGTCAATCCTTAATCTTTTTCCTAGCTGTCATATAGAACTCTCATTAATTTTAACGGAATTGCTGTTTAATGCAAGACTTGTCAAAAATTCTAATTTTCACGGCAAAAAATCTCAAGTTAAAGCATACAGTGCTTTGGCACTACATGAAACCTTGCGTTTAGCCATCGTCAACCCTAAAGTCATTTCCCGCATGTCGTATAAAAGTAAATATGACAGTCGGGAGCGCCTGTAGTGACGCCTTCGTTAGACCACTGTATGGATTAGTAGATTGTGATGCTACATGCTCTCTGTGGGGTAACGTATTTCTAACTAGCTGCCAAGTTGGAAGATGCTTTCATATCGGCTAGCTTTAGTGATTCTTTTAAATACCATTATAAGCATTAAGTAATGGTTATATAGACATTGTTATAATTTCCGTTCATTGTCTTAGTGTGCAATTTCCTGTTGGTAATGATTTCAGTTTAGAAGTAAGCTTTGTTAGTCACCAAAGTGAGCCGATATCCCCGCAGGTACAATCAATATTGATATACCATCAAAAAAACAAATAACTTGTGTAATTCTCATTTTTCTCTTCTAATAAAGCAGAAACAAATCATTGCTGCATTACTTACTGTTTCTAATTCTGGGTCAAATAAGATAAGTAAAAATATGTTCCAGCACTAAGTTTCTTCCAGTATAACAGTGAATTGACCACTAACTGTCAATAAAAGTTTACATTGCATATCTTGTTTTCTTTTGAATCCTAATTAAATACTATATCCTTATGAATATTCGACATTTTAAGTAAAACTATCTTTTTGGATTTTCTTTGAGATGTCTAAAACTATGGTTAATGTATTGTATGTATTCAGCCCTTTTTAACGTCCCACAGCTGGGCCCGGGCTTCCCTTCACTACGGGGGGAATAAGGCCGTAGTCCACCACGCTGACCAAGTGCGGGTTAGATGTTTGCTGTAAAGCATTCAAATTGGTCGGGAACAAAAATTAAAATAAATCTGCGAAAAAATCGGAAGAGACAGTTTTATTTTAAGTTGTTGATGAAATTTGATTCAGTTATAAATTACTAGCAACTCCACCTTGCTTCGCTCGGGTTTCGTCCCTAGCTTGCTTCCCAATACAATCTTTCATCCACATTTTCACCCCCTTAAGGGATGATTTTAGGGATAAAAAGTATCCTATGTCCTTCCCAGGGTCTCAAACTATCTTCTTACCAAATTTCATCCAAAACGGTTCAGTAGATCCAGAGATTACCCTCTACAATGTCACAAACTTTACCTCTTATCAGTATTAGATTTAGGAAAAAGGTAAGTAGGAGTAAAAACAAAATTCGATATATTTGAGTAAAATGTTTAATTTGTATACGTCGATTATATGTAAAGTCCTTAACATAATCTTATTACATCGTATAATAATACTACTAAATGGACGGTCTGGTATCACAGGTTAGTTATGTATATTCTCATATTTTTATTCAATATACAAAATTAATTCATTATAGAAAAATATAAAAAAAAAGAATATAAATTTTCTTAGTTTTAAAAGTACAATAAAAAAATATTTTAAGTACTGTAGTACTTCATATACTTATATGTAATTGGGTAATAATTACAATTAAAAAATGTCTTTATTATTAAAAATAATGCAATCATATAAAAAATGTATAAATATATTAAAAATTGTATGGATTGTATAAATGTGTATAGACTTGATAAATAAAAAAAAATATGAAAATCTTTAAAAATTCATCCAAAGATATTATGGAATGTATGAAACAGAGATATAGAAGTAGTGTCTACACTCACAACATACAAGATCTTTTAGCTATATTGAGATATTTAAAGTTTAGACTACACAATATTAACCCATCTTATAAAATAAAGTACACAGTGTATAATGGCACTAGTTAATTAGTATAAAATGCAGTATAAGAGAATTTTAAATCGCTTGATATGTCACATCCTGAACACTTTCAAAGGCTGCCGTAAACTACGTTTACCTACTTCATATAAACCGTCATCAAAATTAACATTTCAAATGAATAAAATAAATATATATAATATTAGATCTACAAGTGGTATCCTGTCATCCGTCATACAAAAGTAAAAATGCCGAAAGGAGCTGCTAGTCTTTTGGCATTTATATAGAATAGAAGAGTAGGTATTCCATGCGTTCTAGTTTAATTACATATATTTATATGAATATAATCTAGTCAACAAGTAAATAAATGTACATAAAATAAAGCAATTTCCGCGATATTGCCATTCGATAAAGGGGCACTTTCGAAGCCTAAATCCAAGTTTGAGGGGTCGCTTGAGAGGTGCTGGTGCCACTATCACGAATAACGCGTTTTATTCAATGTCCAAAACCGCTTATCCTACGTAAAAAAAAGTAAAAATGAAATGTTTTCTCTTTCAAAATTAATTTTTTTAACTTTTTTTTTCTAAATCTGATATTTTTCGAGATATCGCGGTCGAAACGCACAAATTTCGCACCTTCGTCGGTTTTTCGCAATTATCTAACCTAACCGTTCATTTACATGCAATTTAATCGCGCGATATCAAGCACTCTCGAGCGATTCCCCAAACTTAGGCTTAGAAAGTGCCCCTTTATTGAATGGCATTATCGTAGAAATTGCTTAATTTTGTGTAGATTACGCCTTTTTTTCTATATTGTTCGGACTAAAAGAGCACCATATTAAAACAAACTATTCTGGTAGAATATCGTTAACATTATACAGCTCTGATAATACAAAAAAAAAATTAGGTTTATTTTTATAAAAAAAAAACATTATAATTGTTCCACTTTGCGGCTTTGTAAATAGCATCGCTTTTGATAGCCCTAATATCATAATGGCTTGTTCCTAGCGATATAACTACTGTAATAATTTACGTCTTTATTCAAACTTATAATGAAAAAAAAAAAGTTTAATTACGTTGAAACTAGTGATGTAACGAAAATTTGTATTAGCAAATATTCGCATATGTATTCGCAAGAAACGATGCGAATGTTTGGCAAAAATATTTGACAAACAAAAAGTTACATACATGGAATGGACGGATATGGAATGACAATACAACGGTGTGCTTAATTAATGTTTTTATATCACTTTGTCACACCTTATGTTAGTACCAGTAATGTTAATTTTTAACAGGTATTAGTTAAATTTGATAAATACAATAATACTAAAGTAACCTCAAAACATAACAAATATTTTAGAATGAACATTATGTTACTAACTTCGTTCATTTTAACCTGTATCGGTTCGGCTACAATCGGTTTAAACATGGCCGACACGAATTTGCGTGCGCTTTATTTGAAAGTCAACATTCGCATTCGTATTTACGAATGTGAAAAATCGAATATTCGTTACATCACTAGTTGAAAGCAATATAAGAGAAGCTCTCTAGATTAACCCAAAATGGCGTTATTGTTACACCATCTTTTATGCTCTAATCTTTTGTTGAATTGACGGTAGGAAAATCCTCATAAAAGTCTATTTTAATTAAGTATATTTTTAGGTTCAAGTTAATCTACACATATATGTATGTATTTAGGTATTGTTTAGAACACATCCTAAAATTGTGTATAGCACTGAACTTTAGGTTGGTGTCAGACATGTCAGTAAAGATTTATTGCAAATTAATTTAATCTAGTCTGAATTAAATAATATTTAAAAAGAAACATATTAATAATAATTATTATTTTCAGTAAATACCATGTAATTTTAAAGCTGCATATAAAAGCTTACGATACAAACAATCTTATAAAGGTAAGGTGTGGACTTTATATTTGCACATGCCTGACAGCATTGGTAGAAGAAGGGAGATTCTGTAATTTAGTATATTTACCCACCATTCACGCATTCGTATCACTGCTTATCGTGCAGCCATGGGCGGAACACGGGCAGCGTGGTGGGGTAGTGGGTGGGCGGGTGCGGCTCCTCATCGTCGCGGAACGGGTACGTGCCGAGGAGGATCGGCAGCTGGAGTTTCACTTCCTTCTCTAGACTCTTCGGTTCGATTATGAACTGGAAATTTTGTAAGGGATTTAGCGATTGTACATGTTTTGATAACATTTGCATAATTCTCATAAATGGTAATTTACAACGTATGCATTTTCCAAGAAACATTATTATTATTATTATTATTGAGGGAATTCGGAAGGAATTTTTGTAATAAAGTAGGGTAGGCAATTACAAAACATTAAGCTGGACGAACTATAATCGCCAATATGTGGTAAAAAACCGGACGATGTATTAGTGCTAACTGCTATTATATGAATATAGTGTGTAGTATAGTAGTATACTCACAAAAACATCGTACTGCACGGAGATGAGGTGGCAGCCGCGCAGGTTGGTGGGCGGCAGCGGCGGCACGTACAGCAGCTCGGCGCGCCACGTCTGCTCGCCGCCCGCGCGCAGCTTGCCGCGCGCCAGCCGCGCCAGCTCGCGCGACTCGCGCGCCGCCACCTTGCCGTGCGCGCTGTACTGGATCGTCTGCCGACACACCGCACCCTCACACATCGACCAAGAGAGTACTAGATACACAGTCCGATGCAAAACTTCTCTTAAAACTGTCAACGATTGTGTTTAGGTGATTATTCTAAGTGAAATAAACATACAACAATGTAAATTGAACTTTAAACGCAATGCAATGCAACGCAATTTAAGTTGTTTTTACAAAAAAAAAAGCGACCTCAAATGTTCAAATGATCCCTCATTCGGTGAGGACTTTTTTGTCGCTGATTATGTATCTAGTACTTTTTTGATCGATGCCGCCACACTGCCGCACCATTTTACTTCACATTTACATATACTAGACTAGTCTATACTATCCTTTCCTTCGGGTGTACCCCTAGGTGTCTATCCACCATTTTCTAGCTTCATTTTAAACCGTTTTAAGCAACTTAACTTTGTTAAATTCAATTGAAATTGTTATATTTTTTTTGAAAATAAATTATGGCCCATGTTACTCGCTGATAATGTAGCTTTTATAGGTGAAAGAATTTTTATAATTGGTACAGTAGTTTTTTAGTTTGTCCATTACAAACAAATATGCAAAAAAATAAATTGTTTCTTTTTATAATATTAACACCTCCAGGTAAATTTCTAAGAATTTAATTAAATTTCTTAAAAAAATTATTGTTAAGTGTAACGCCAGCGTGTCAGCGGTCGTGGAGGGATTAATAAAGCGTACCTCAGTGAGGGCGGCGCGCGTGGCGCGTATGGCGGTGCGCGAGCGGTTGTCGACGTGCGCGGAGAGCGCGATGCTCTGGCCGGGCACGTACGCGCCGCGGTCCAGCGCCACGCGGCAGCTCACCGCGCCGCCGCCCACGCAGCCCACGCCCAGCTTGTGCTCCACGCTCAGCTCGAACTCTTGCTGTTGCGTTCAACGAGATAGTATTCATAAATAAATATCACACAAATGAATGCTCCCAGCGGGACTCGAACCCGTGACCGCTGGCACAGCAAGTAGGGTCACTACAAACTGAGCCAAACGTATCGTCAAAGTCGTATGCATATTACAAATGTCGCTAATTTTTATTACTTTTTGATGTGAAACATCTAACGAGCGGCGATCCCTATCTCACAGCGCTGAGCTCGTATTTTAATTTTGTTATTAAATTAATATGTATCTTTTCTTTAAAAGAAATCTCAATATTTTGTTTTTGATTATGTCATATTTAATTTCCTTTAATATGCACTTTTTATGCAAAATTTCAATTTTTTAATTTTATTTTATGTAATTTATAAACAAAAGAAAAGATGTACGGAGATCATTACGATTATTAAAAATGAGTTCGTGTCTTGATAAAAAGAAGCATACCAATGTCACTTTCGAGAACCCCCATTATCTCCTTACTTCACACAGAATACCATATCATCCGAAATTCTATGCATAAGAGTTTTATTATAACGTTTTTTCCCATGGTAAAAAATTTCTAAATTGTAACTATTTTTACACAAAAAATTGTAACTCATTTCAGTGTGAAAGTACAAACAAACACATTTTTACATATAATATATTGGTATGGATAAGTCTAGGTAGTGAAAAACACATAAGATAGTTTTCTCATACATATTGATAGTGAGATGCTCCACCGCCCAATAGATTTAATGAGGTGATTAAAATCATTAGCATGAAATGTTATAATTGCTTGCATTGAAGCATTTCTCCTGTTATTATCATAATTCTCTAACCTAAAAAGTTACTTATCATATGATATTTTTTTTGTTGCTATTCATTACTAGTGACACCCTAGCTCCGCTCGGGTGCGTCCCCACATATGTCTTAATTTTTTTGAGCGGAACACTAATTCTTTTTGTAAATAAAAGTAGCCTTTTGTAATTTGCTTTTTATAACATCAGCTATCTGTCTGTACAAATCCCGACAAAATCGGTTCAGCCGTTTCGGAGACTAGCCAGAACAAACAGACCAACAAAAATTTTAACAATTGTTTTTTTAATAAGTACCTTATACAATTTCACATGCATTTAGTAAAAAGCTGTTATTTTGATATTACCAACAGACACTACAATTTTACTTAACTGTATAGATAAATTAATTTCAATACATAGATAATAAAATACTTTTATGTGTTAAAGTGTTACTATTAATTTGTTTTTTTATTAAATTTTATACTCACAGCAAGAACTGGAGGTTCCAAATTCAAGTCAATGGGATTCATCACTATAAATACTTGTTGGTTTTTGTGAGTCAAGCCATTAGGTTCCCGCAGGGCTGCTTTACAATAATACTGCACCCATCCATGTGTGCCGAGGAATGTGGACGGCAGCCCCATAGGCAAACCCAGTTTAAATGGAAAACTATGAATCCCAGGAGACAACACTGAAGTGCTATGACCTATTAACAGTTACATATACCTAAATATATACAAAATATTAGATATATATATATGTACTTTAATTTATGCAGAAAGAACTATGTATTTTTTTTAAATATTATAAAAATATTAATCTTACACTACTATAAATATGTAAAGTTTGTTTGCTTGGAGATTATTTCTGGATTCTATTGAACTGATTTTAATTGATGTTAATAAGAGAAAGCTGTGGTTTCTAAATTGTTAAATTAAATTTTCATATGTGGGTGACAAACAATAAGTCTTTAATATAATGCTGGGTATATAAATATGCAAAAAATCATGATTACCTGGTTCTCCTAAGAGACGCATTCGAAAATCAATATAATTCTCCTTATCAAAAAGCCTCTCATGTCTACCAGAACCTACTCTAACCACACCTTCACCTACTACATGGAAATGAAGGCCTAAAAACAAAATAATCTGTTATATCTATTATTAAAAATAATAACACATATTATATTATTCAATGTGAGCTGTGAGAAATCATAAATAAAAAAAGCACTCAAAATAGTATAAAAATACATGAACTTCTAACATAATCTGTATATACATCTTCAAAGACAAGCTCTTTTCTTTCTAGATTAATAAGTAAAAAAAATTTTAAGTCATTCTTTATGACTGTGTGTTACTTAGCTATAATTTCATTAACATTAAGATTCTTAAATAATATATTTTAAATGGTTCATGGTAAAAGAATGGCTGACCTTTCATCCCACATGTTAATTGAAACATTACCCAGACAAAAATAGGTAGGAGGAGATTAAGTAGAAATTAATAGTAGTTACAAATACATAATTCAAACTCACCAAGTACTGGAGTATCATCTTGAAGTTCCATTAAGACTTTTCCCGATAAAAATTGACCAGGAAAATAAAGTAGAGATGTGTTGTCAAATACTATTAAAAACTTTAGTAGTTTTCTGGGCATTTTGGCTTCTTAAAAATTACCTATAAAAAATATTATAAATAAGAATTATTCTTTTAATTAAAAAGTAATGATAATTTCTTTCAAGTTCTTGTAATTTACTTAAAAAATAAAATGAAATGCACACATTATAAATATTATTTACAAAAATTTGAAAGAAACCTTAGTAGATTACATAGTGAGGAATGTTTAAAAATAAAAATTATTGCGAAGACGACATTATTCTAATATATTCTCATGTTGTCGTAGGTTGTTAAGTAATAACTTTTGCGAAGGCCACCAAGTTAAGTAAACTTTTTTACCTCAAGATGAATCAACTGTGTTATAATTAATAAACCACAATTTCAACAAATTTTAATTCACAAAGACAATACCGATTTGTATTGGAAGAACTATTTTAAAATACTTTTGTTTTATACAATTTCTAGGAATATAAAAGTTGAGTACAACTACTTATTTTGACATTATGTCATAGACTAGTTGACACTTGACAGTTTACTTACTCCAAATTCCAATGAACAATTGATATTGCATTGCCTAATAAGGTTCTGAAATGTGACCACACTGGAATTTTATTGATGTTTCCGAATTCTCAAATATGATTTTCCTTTAAGATTATCCAAAATTAATATAATTATTATTTTCAAATCCATAAATAAATATTTTTTATTAAATAAAAGAATATATCACAAATAACTTTTATATTAAATTGAAGTTTTTAACAGTCAACATTCATAAATTATATTTGCATTTTGCTAATAAAAAAAATAAAACTACTAAAAGTGTCAGTTAAAATTAAAAAGAACCTTTTAAGTTTTAAAATAAGTTTGCGTATTTTCTTAATTTTAAATTGTGCAGAATTAAACAGAAATTTAATATTCTCATTATTTTCTCACTTTTAAATAAAAAAATCGTTGTGAACCTGAAATTACTTAAACGTTATTTAAAGTTTGTCGTAACAACGAAGATTCTGGTTATGTTTATGTTTTCTAAAAATATTTAGTGAAGGATTCTGTAGCAAGTATAAGAAAATATATTAAAAATGCCAAGTGAAATGATAACTTTGCAGCTCGGCCAATGTGGCAATCAAAGTAATAAATTAACTTTACTGTTTTGTTTTTATACGTAATGTAAGGCAATGTTCTTTATCTTATTATTTTAAATTACAGTTGGCTTTGAGTTTTGGAAGCAATTATGCATAGAGCATGGTATATCCCCTGAAGGCATTTTAGAAGAGTTCGCCACTGCTGGGACTGATAGGAAAGATGTGTTTTTTTATCAAGCAGATGATGATCATTATATTCCTAGGGCAGTGCTCTTAGATCTTGAACCTCGAGTGATACATACTATTATGAACTCTCCTTACGCTAAGGTAACTATAGTTTTTTTTTAATTTATGATAAATAATAATAATATGTTGGGTCATTAACACACAGTATCATCTAGTTCCATGGTAAGCTACAAGGCTTGTGATATGGATACCAGATAGTCGATACACTAAACATATTATATAAATACTTCCATATTTACTTTTTAAGTATAGTTTAAACAATTGCTAAATATTTTTTGTATTCATATTTTAGAGTCCTAATTAATAGTCATAATTCTCAAAATTTTTGAACTTTGTTTCGGCAAGCATATATGTTTTTGTAATTTACTAACTTTTAATTTTTCAATTTTTGAAAATATCATTTTTTCTTTTTCTAAATTATGCATATTTAACTATCTTAAATATTTTCACAGTTATATAATCCAGAAAATGTATACCTGTCTAAGCATGGTGGTGGTGCAGGTAACAACTGGGCATCTGGTTTTGCCCAGGGTGAGAAACTAAATGAGGAAGTATTTGATATTATCAACAGAGAAGCTGATGGCAGTGATAATTTGGAGGTAAAACATGTTTTAAACAATGTTTTTCTCATATAATAATTATTATATTTAAGGAAAAAAAATGTTTTCATCTATGCATGTAATTTTTGGCAGGGATTTGTACTATGCCATTCTATAGCGGGTGGAACAGGTTCTGGAATGGGCTCTTATATCTTGGAGCACCTTTCAGACAGATTTCCAAAGAAACTTGTGCAAACATACAGCGTCTTTCCTAATTTGGATGAGATAAGGTAAAAATAAATTGTATAATTTATAAACATATATTGTATTTGTATTTTTTTATATAACTGAATTTTCGACTCTCTTTCTCCCTCGCTTTGCTCGGGTTCAGCTCAAGAAAATCAAAAACAAATCTATCCCATGAGAACCATACATTTTTCCGACTATAATCTATCTGCCTTTCACCCAGATCCATTCTGCCCTTCTGGCGTGATTGAGTAACCAATATCCAAACATCAAAACTTTATTCTTTACTCTTAGTAAGATTATATGTGAACAAATTGCATAAATGCGTGCTAAAGCACGGTTTTTAAACTTGCACAAGTCACAAGTATTCTATTGTATATAATATATTATAAAACGTTCAATTCCTGGACACAGTTGATTTGTTTCAACTACATAATATCATCAACATATTGCTTGGCCAAAAGTTTTTTATACACATTTTTGTACATCTAACATTCTTATTTATACACAGTGATGTAGTGGTTCAGCCATACAACTCGCTGCTGACCCTGAAGCGGCTGACGGAGAGCGCAGACTGTGTGATGGTGCTGGACAACACGGCGCTCAACCGCATCGCCAGCGACCGCCTGCATATACAGAACCCTTCCTTCGCACAGATTAACACACTTGTCTCCACTATTATGAGTGCAAGCACTGCTACCCTCAGGTACTTCATAGCTATCATATCAAAACGAATCGAAATATAACTTTATTCAAATAGACTTTCAAGCACTTTTAAACTGTCTCTTTTTACATTATTAAATTTAAATTAAATGTCAGTGCCGAAGTCCGTGAGGAATCAACCACCGGCTCGGAAGGCAGTTCTGCTGAGAAACTCACAGTTGCTCTTTTTAAATATATTTAATTATAATTTAATATATATACAATAATTATCTTCTTATCATATATGGCAGTATTCTAAAAAACATAACAGGCCCTTTTAATGAGCCACTGCTGAGCATAGATCCATTTTAATTGTGCGGGAGGAGCATAGCCCACCACACTAGCCTAGTATGGGTTGGTGGAATTCACATATCCTATGAAAACAAATTAGGTTCTTTTAGGCATGCAAATTTCATGTTGAAAATGTAAAGTGGATTTGAAACATGCATCATAATGTTTTCAAAGCAAGGGTTTTCTGAATAAACTATCACTGCTACACTAGACAAAGCACTATAACAAGATGTATGGAGTTCATAACCAAAATGTTAGTCAGTGTGGTAGACTGTGAGTTTTCTCCCTCTTATAAGTAAGAGAGAGTTAATTTAATAGGTTTACATTTTCATTAGTTTGTTAAAATAATAAAATTGATAGTCTATCCATACTGATATTATAAATGTGAAAGTGTGTTTGTTTGTTTGTCCTTCTTCTACGTCGAAACGGAGTGACGGATTGGCGTGACTTTTTGTATGAAGATAGTTGGAGGGCTGGAGAGTAACAGGCATTTTATCGCGGGGCATTATCTCACTCCCACGAGAAAACGTGTTATAATATAACCCAAAAAAAAAGTATTATCAGAATTACTTAAAAGTTGGTATTAATGCTCTTTAATAAAATTAAATAAATTTGCATTTCAACATTTTTCGAATTATGAGATGAAAGTTTGTATAAAACCTACCTTTTTAGTTTTTTTTTGTACTTTTAGCGCGAGCAAAGGCGTAGATTCTGCTAGTATATTATATATAATAATGTATGCGTGTCTAGGTACCCCTCGTACATGAACAACGACCTGATCAGCCTGGTGGCACCGCTCATCCCCACACCGCGCCTGCACTTCCTCATGACGGGCTACACGCCTCTCAGCGCCGACCACGAACTTAATGCTGTTAGTATTTAGTGCTTTATTTTTTGCGGAATAAAGATCCTTATTGCATGTTACTTAGCACACTTGGCGAATGAGAGTTAGACGGAAAAATTGTAATATCGAAATATCGAAATACCGTCACGACACTTTTTATTATTTACTAAGAGCACCCCGTGTACCAAGAGGTTATATGTGTTAAGCAGTTTTTTAGAATTTTTGTCTGTCTGTCTGTCTTTTACCGCATCACAGAAAAACCACTGGAGGGATTTTAATGAAATTTAGTTTGTTGATAGCTGGTTATCCGGGGCATCATATAGGATGCTTTTTAACGCGGGAAAATGTCTTATTTCTGAGAAAAAATACAAAAACTGCAGTATAAGAGTATGCTAATATGTAAAACCTAAGAATTTGGTTTTTGGTCATCGGTCATCTGAACGCGGGCGGAATAAAATTGGGATTTTGCAATAATAAAAAATGGGATTTTGTTTGTATAATGAGAACACATATGTTTTCACACACACCTATGTTTTCTGATCACTTTGTGTCTGGTAATATTTGGCAGGCACCAAAGATCAGGAAGACGACGGTACTGGACGTGATGCAGCGCCTGCTGCAGCCTAAGAACATGATGGTCTCGCTGAGCCCCGACCGCGCCAACCAACACTGTTATATATCCATCCTCAACATTATACAAGTATGATTCATATCAAACATAATACTTACTTTATCTTTACGCGAATATTTGACATTTATCTATACATATAATAAAATTGTAACTAAGCCGTATCTGTACATGAAATATTTAAAAAAAAACTTTTGTAATAGACATTATTATCGATACAGAGGCTGAATCTATAGTTTTTAAATTTTTTGTCTGTCTGTGACTGCGTCACGGAAAAGTGATAAGTGTGCTACACTCTAGGGACAAACCTGAGCGGAGCGACGGTGAGTCGCTAGTATGCATATTGTATGTTATATATACTCGTATATCCATACTAATACATATTATAAATGAGAAAGTGTGTTTGTCTTTCTTTCACGTCGAAATGGAGTGACGGATTGACGTGTTTTTTTATGTGAAGATATTTTAATGGCTGGAGAGTGGCATAAGCTACTTTTTACCACGGAAGAATAATACAATGCAAAAAAACATATATGATCAGAATTACTTGGAACTTGATATTAATGCTCTTCAATACATTAAATTAAATATGTGTTAATATGTAAGGGGGTAATAGGAGATGAAAGTTTGTATGAAACCTACCTATCTAGAGCGTTTTTCGTAGTTTTAGCGCGAGCCAACCCGCGGGTTCTGTAGTATGTATATATACATTATACATATATGGTCGGTGATTGTGATGTCGTGTGTGTGCGCAGGGCGAGGTGGACCCGTCGCAGGTGCACAAGGCGCTGCAGCGCATCCGAGAGCGCCGCCTCGCCTCGTTCATCCCGTGGGGGCCGGCCTCCATACAGGTGGCGCTGTCGCGGCGCTCGCCGCTCGTGCACGCCTCGCACAAGGTCTCCGGCCTGCTGCTCGCCAACCACACCAACATATCCTCCGTGAGTTGGCCTTACTCTCATCCTCTTCACCCTTGCTTACGGCCCACGGGCCCCACTTCAATACGACGGGGATCAGGCTATAATCCATCACGCTGACCAAGTGCGGGTTGGCGGACTTGCTAGGTTTTCTCAGACATGCAGGTTTCCACGCGATGTTTTCCTTTACTGTGAGATAAGTGGTAATGGTTTCCAAGAAAGCGTTAACTGCCTCTTTGCATTCTATTTGTTTTTTGTTAATGGCTTAAAAACATGCCAGTTGAGTGCAGATTACTTCATATTATTACAATTTAGTACAGATTCTTTGTCCATCGCTCAGTAATAATTCGAGCTATTTTGTATTTCTTGCAAATGCGACAGATGGCACTGACGAAAAGTGTCGCCATCTATAAATGCGCAGTATAAATTAAACAAAATTAATGTTTGAATTTATTCCATTACCCTTTGCTGACAGATTTTTTAATTAGTTTAAATATATAAAAAAAAAACAAATTTAACAGAATTTGTTAACCGAAATTTTAATAATAAATACATATAACGTGTATTGTTTACCGTAACAGCTGTTCGACCGGTGCCTGCAGCAGTTCGACAAGCTGCGCAAGCGCGAGGCGTTCCTCGAGGTGTTCCGCAAGGAGCCCATGTTCCAGGAGTCGCTGGAGGAGTTCGACGCGTCGCGCGGCGTCGTCAGCGAGCTGGTGCGCGAGTATCAGGCCGCCGCCACGCCCGACTACGTGCACTGGAACCCAGGTCCGCATTCTTTATCTATATACTCTTCTTTTCATTCTCTCTCTCCCACACTACTATTTTTATATAAATAATAATATTACAATAAATCTATTCCACATGAACCGTACATTTTTCCGAGATGAAAAGTAGCCTGTGTTATTCCAGACTACACATAATCTATCTCTGTGCCAAATTTCATCCAGATCCGTTCAGCAGTTCTGGCGTAAAGGAGTAACAAACATCCATACATGCTCACAAACTTTCACATTTATAATATTAATATGGATATTTATATTCTATAGCGCGTAGTAATATACCCGCCGCACCTAACGTCCCTATTCGCCCTTGTCCCCCGCGACGCTCCCCGCGTTTCCGTGCGCCTGACGGCGCCCGCGCTTCCACCCCGGCAGTGAGCCAGTAACCGCGTTACGTTTTACACGCGCCCCGCCGACGTACGCCACTCACTCAACTCGTGACCATTGATTCCTCTAATAATTTGTTAATTATTATACTTAAACACTATTCATCCTGGAAGTCGAAATACATATGTGTGGATCCAGTACATGAGTTTTAATGATTGCGCCCTATAAATGGCAGCCCAACGTTCGGCCCGAATTTGAAAGTCGTACGTACCTATAGGATGATGCAATCGTTTTCAAATATTAACTCATGTTTTAGTGTTTGTGAATTGTGTCGCGATTCGAACTGAAATTAACATTATTAGTGTATATGGTTTAAATAACAATAAGTTACGTGTTATTTTCTACATAAGTTTGTTAGATATTATTATTTTGTCATATTGCATAATAATATATAGGTAGCGAAGTATTTTGTGTAAATCGTTATGTTAATACTTACGTACCTACTTATGTTAATACATATTACACTTGTAAAATTTTAATTTTAGTATAAAATTATATTGTCTAAAAGTTTTTAAGTAATAATAAGTGAAGTTTTGTTTGCTACGTAAAACTAATAATAATAAGTTGTCGTATTGCATAATACTTTCTGTTACTGTGTATTTTGTGTAAACCATTATATACGTTGTATAGATTTAATGTCAGTATTCTATACCTATGGTTTTATATAATAATAAGTTTTGTTTGTTACTTATGAATGATGATATTATTATTTGGTCGTATTGTTTAATACTTAATAATATCTATCGAAGTATTTTGTGTAAACTTTAAATTGCATAATATATAACTCTGTTGTATAGATTTTAATTTTGTTAATGTTTAATTATGGTGTTGAGTAATAATAATACTTACTACTAAGCGTTCTGAATAATTATAGTTGTGTTGTTTACTACTTATTCTGATAATATTATTCTGTTAGAATATTGTTGTATATTGAATAGTGAATATTATATTGTGTTATAAAAATATTTGTTTTGTGTAGTAATACAAGTTTCAACATGTATAGTTTAGTACCGACTATTGTATAGTTATAGTATTTTAGTTAAGGATAAAGTGCAAGGTATAAACGTTTTATTAAGTTGACTGTTGAACTGAAATAGTTTTATAGTGCGTGTTGATATTATATCATTATGGTGCTTACACGATCGCGAGCGAATAGTAACGAGACTCAGAAGGCACCACAGCAAAATGCTGGAGAGCCCAGGGCTCTCTCGCCAGTGGCGTCGGATTCGCCGCCGTCTCCGCTTACTGGCCTGGACGAGGCCTGCTCCACTGCGCCGTATGCGCAGTCACCGTCGTCGGCATCACACATGCAAGTACCCGGTAACCCAGTGGTAATGTCGGATCAGCAGCTGGCGCAGATATTAGGATTGCTGCGCGCGGCAACTTCTTCACCATTGGTAACCGCTATATCAGGTAACTTTGCTTCTTGTTCTTCACGCTTCGATGGCGGAAAAGGCAGTGATGTACTCGCTTTTATAGATGCAATAGAAACATATAAAGAATGTGTGAATATGGACGATAATATTGCTTTGCGAGGCCTTCCTATTCTGCTAACGGATCTTGCCGCAACGTGGTGGCAAGGTGTAAAACCCACCACGCAAAGTTGGCATGAGGCCAATAGAGCTCCTTAAACAAACATTTGGTCCTCAGTTACCACCATATAAAATTTATAGGAAAATTTTTAGTAAAGAGCAAACTCAGGAGCCTACTGACATATTTATTTGTAATATTAGAGCCTTATTTGCGCAGTTGCCTCCTTCGCATTTAACTGAAGAAGTTAAATTGGATATGGTATATGGTCTTCTTAGTAAACGGATTCGAGAGAAGGTACCACGAAGTTCTTTCACGTCTTTTTCCGAGTTATTGTCGCATTCTAGACGGATAGAAGAGTTAATGGATGAGAGTCGAGTAGAAGTCAATCGACCTAATCTGTCGCAAACTCAGAGATCAAATGTTGCGTACAGTCCGAGACAGGGTATTCCACCTGCCTCTTCTTCTTCCGAGTCTAATGAATCAGTTAAGGTACCGGTTATAAATAGAAATAAGTGTTCCTATTGTAAACGATTTGGACATAATAAAGACGCTTGTGAGAAGTTGTCATATAAAAATCAGCCAAGTAAAAAGGAGTCGATACCCAGTTGACTTGTTTGGATGTGGTTGCACCGGGAGTGATTCGGTCAAATTGCGCCACATGTAAAGGGAATAAACCAGTGGTGTCAACCAGTAGTGACTTTCATTCGGTTTCAGCAAGTGTAGACTGTATGGATTCGCGTTGCGCCCAGTGATTAGTATTGGAATTTATGGCGCTAGTGGTTAAAGTTTTAGTAGACACTGGTGCAAAACATTGTGTAGGAAGTGTTAGCCTTAGATCCCTGTTAATTAAGAATAGACATAAGTTAGATACTGTTTATACTGAACTTAAATATGCGGATGGTCGTGCATGTGCACAAAACGTTGAAGTGGCGCACGTCCGCGTAACCTTGAGAGGGATAACGTTAGGTGTGGATTTTATTATGCTTCCTAACGCGACGGAAAGTTTATTAGGTATGAATTTTATACAAGACATTGGCATGGTTTTTAGATTTTCAGCGCGGTATTTGGTTTTTGAGAGGCGATAAGACGCCCCAAACCCATTGAATATGAGTGTAAGTCTTTGCCGCCTATCAATTGCTCTTCTGTAAGTCTTCGCGATGACGAAGGTTCCCACCTTAGCTTAGGGCAACGGCAGCGGCTCTCCGATCTCCTGAATGTCCATGAAGACATTTTTACTCCAGGGGGAGGACCGACTTCATTTGCTATGCACCGTATAGATTACAGGGGATGCGGCGCCAGTAACGAGCCCTCCGTACCGTGTTTCACCGTCCAAAAGGGAAATAATACGTAAAGAAATAGAAACCATGCTTGAAGATGGCATTATCGAAGATGCGGAGTCCGAGTGGGCATCGCCCGTGGTGTTAATACCCAAGAAAAACGGTGAGGTGAGATTTTGCGTAGATTACCGTAAATTAAACAATGTAACACGTACTGATAAGTACCCTCTTCCCGTAATCGACGAATTATTGCAGAGTACTAAAGCGGACTGTATAATGTCTACTATAGATTTGAAGGCAGGGTATTGGCAGACTATGGTTGCTCCAGAGGATCGCCATAAGACGGCTTTCACAACTCCGTTTGGGACCTTTCAATTTCGCCGCATGCCTTTTGGCTTGAAGAATGCTCCGGCGACGTTCCAACGTCTAATAGACCGGATGCGGTCTGGCTTAAATAATATCTGTGTATTGGCCTATCTGGATGACATTTTGGTGATCTCGCCAACTTTGGATCAGCACCTACGTGATCTTCAACAGGTGTTGGATCGTCTTCGTCTGTTTAATCTAAAAGCCAACAGAACTAAGTGTGTTTTTGCTAGAGACAGGGTTAATTATCTGGGGCATGTTGTTTCTTCACATGGTATTGAGCCCGACCCGCAGAAGGTTGAAGCCGTGAACAGCATGAAACCTCCAAGTAACGTTAGAGAGTTAAAAACGTTTTTACAAACCTGCTCTTGGTTCCGCAAGTTTATTCCGCAGTTTTCGGATGTAGCGCGATGTCTCACAGATTTGACAAAGAAGACTAGACGCTGGCAATGGGGGGAGAGTGAGCAACGAGCTTTTGATGAGCTTAAGTTACGACTTACCACCAGTCCCATTCTTAGACAGCCAGACTTTGAAAAACCTTTCATCCTCCGAACTGACGCTAGTGCGTATGCCTTAGGGGCTGTTCTTATGCAAGGTGAAGACATAAAGGACGAGAGACCCATAGAATATGCGAGCAGATTGCTAACCTCTGCAGAACGCAATTATCATACGACAGAGCGCGAAGCTCTGGCGGTTGTATGGGCTTTGGAGAAGTTTAGAGGATACGTCGAGGGATCTCCAGTGAAAATAGCCACTGATCACCAGCCACTTAAGTGGTTGTTGACCCTAAAAACTCCAAGTGGAAGACTAGCCCGCTGGGCTATGAAAATCCAATCATATAATTTGGATATAGATTATGCACCCGGGAAAATCAATGTGGTGGCGGATACGTTAAGCCGTCCTGTTAGTTCTGAAGAGTTCCAGTCCGACTCTTGTGATATTTGCCCGGTAGCTGTTGATTTACCACGTCAGAAGCCTGAGGACATTCGTGAAGCTCAGATTAATGATCCTGACGTCAATAAAGTTATATTAGCTTTTGAGCAGCCTGATCACGCTGACGAAGCTTTACGCTGGTCTGATCGAGGTTATTATCTTTCTCAAGGTATTCTATATCGGTGTGATCCGGATGGCGAGTCCGAAGAACCCCAGCTGGTAATTCCAGAAGCATTGAAGGCCGAGCTCATGAGAGAGCTACATGATGCGCCTACTGCTGGACATTTGGGTTTAGAACGCACGCTACGTAAAATAAAAGAAAGATACTACTTCAAGAACATGAGGACATATGTTGCACAATATCTTAAGTCCTGTGATCTCTGCCAGAAATATAAATCTACTAATTTAAAGCCTGCAGGTTTGCTTCAAACCCCAGTTCCTCAGCAGCGTTTCGAAGTTCTTGCTATGGACCTGTTTGGCCCTTTGCCAGAGGGCGCTAATGGCGAGAAATGGATTATAGTCGTTGAAAGACACAGCCAGTCGGTTGGATTGAGTTATTCGCGTTGCAAGATGCCACCTCAGAAACATGTGCTAAGGTGCTCATCGAAGAAGTTTTCCTTAGATATGGTTTACCGCGTCGAGTAATATCCGATAATGGAACCCAGTTCGTATCAGCGGTGATGCAAAAGGTCATGTTGTACTAGGGATCCATCAATCCCTGATACCAGTTTACACCCGGAAGCCAACCCGGTTGAGCGGAAGAACCGCGAGCTGAAACAACAAATTAGCGATTCTGGTAGGACCAGAACATCGACGCTGGCCAGCTGTTTTACCATGGTTCGCTTTTCTCTTAATAGTTCTTACAATCAGGGCACCGGCCAGTCTGCTGCATATCTCACTTTTGCGCGAGAGATGCGCTCGCCTTTGTCTGTACACACTGATCTCAGAGGCATCGTCACTAAAGAAAATTTTGTGCCTCAGATTACACCATATCTAAAGGAGTTTGCACGAACCTTGAAGGACGTGAAGCAACGAATAGAAGATCAGCAGGATGCTAGGAAAGTAGACAATGATAAGCATCGCAGGAGTTCTCCATCTTATAAATTGGGTGATCTTGTGCTGGTGGAGGCACATCTAGCTAGCAACGCTTCAAAGGGGTTTAGTAGTAAGTTCGCGCCAAGACGGGAGCGGACCTTATCGCATATCTCAAATAGCCAGTCCTTCGTCTTTTGTAGTGTCCGATAGCCAAGGACATGTTAAGGGCAAATACCATGCCAGTGCCTTAACGCCGTATGTAGGGTCTTCTAAAGCCATTGTACATCAGAGACGGCGTGGCCGACCAACCAAGTCACAGCCGGGTCGTCCTTGTGACTTGGAGGGGGAGGCTATAGCGCGTAGTAATATACCCGCCGCACCTAACGTCCCTATTCGCCCTTGTCCCCCGCGACGCTCCCCGCGTTTCCGTGCGCCTGACGGCGCCCGCGCTTCCACCCCGGCAGTGAGCCAGTAACCGCGTTACGTTTTACACGCGCCCCGCCGACGTACGCCACTCACTCAACTCGTGACCATTGATTCCTCTAATAATTTGTTAATTATTATACTTAAACACTATTCATCCTGGAAGTCGAAATACATATGTGTGGATCCAGTACATGAGTTTTAATGATTGCGCCCTATAATTCTCTATTCTTACTCCACTACTGTTCTCTTCATTCTGTCCCACCTGTCTCTCGTTTCCTAATTACTTTTTTCATTAATTTGTAAGGTTTAATAGTTTCCATGTTCACAACACTAAAGGTAAAAACGTTACATAAATAAATTAATTCTTTAGAAATTTTGCAATCAGCATTTTAGTGAACTTCATTAGTTTAATTAAGATTAAAATAAAATAAATATGTCGGGATATTAATTCAAAGCAACATCTAGTTCCATGGTAAGCTACGAACCTTGTGTTATGGATACCAGATAGTTGATACACTATACTTATATAACTTTAAATACATACATATTATAAATATAAACAACCATGACTGGAGTATAAATATTCATGCTCATTGTCATTACACAAATAAATGCCCCCAGTGGGACTTGAACCCACGACCGCTGGCACAGTGACTACAAACTGAGCCAAAGTCAATCGTATCTCTTTTACTCACACACTATCCATATCAAAACCGCCCTAAAACAAAATTATCAAAAAAAATCTATGGAACAACTTTGAATATAAGGAAATAAAATTCTATTTTTAAACTCAGTATTGTGTTACGATGTTGTTCTTAGCAGCTATCGTTATCTTTGTGACTCTCTTTTTATCCATCTACCTCCCTATCCCTAAAGCACCGTTTACCCCATCCATCTTGGTTTAGCACATAGGCTACTTTATATGATAAGTTATTCCTCTATTTCATATTCCATTCAAATCCTTTAACATCTTATGGTATAATTGATTTATCCTCAAAAGCTTTAGCATTTGTAATGTGTGATTAAAAATTCATTCACTTTAAAAACAGTCTCAGTACTAATTAGCCGACTTCCAAAAAGGAGGAGGTTCTCAATTTGTCGGAATCTTTTTCTTTTACTTTTTTTAGTAACACAATCTTTTTTATATTTTAATATTAATTTAAAAAAATGATGCTAACTTTATTTTTATTTTTGCAGAAAGTAATCAAATTTAAAGCGGCAAGGATTTAGCAGCTCCTGATTTATTATATTGAATACAAATATAAGCATTCCTTAAGACTGAAACGCTGAGTTTCGAATCTCACTCCCTTCAATTAAACTGTGTGCCATTAAACTATTTAGGTAATAACCCGTTATAAACATTATGTTGCAACATTACATGACAAAGACGGTATGGAGAGACAACATAAAATTCAAGATGTCACTCGATGCTTTGTAAATAACATTAGTGTTTAATTAAATGTGTATTAAATTAATGTAAGATTTAAAAATAAAAATACTAATAAAAATGAAACCATTTTATTTAATACCAAATAAACTTTTAGGATGCTCTTCTTTCTTATGAATTTTTAAAATTGTTTAGGATTCACATAGTAGCGGGCGTGAATCTAATTAGTTTGGAGGGATCAACTAGGATTTTGTCAAATTTAAACAAAAAATTAGTAAATAGTAATATATAAAACGGGACTTTTTGACAATATTAGGATGACCACAAAATAATATAGTGCGATAATTTTGAAGTACAGTAGACATATAGTTTTACATAAAGAAGTAATTATACATCTCTTATATTTTTACTTTGGGATAATCTATATATTAATACGTGAAGAAACAACTTGGAACCCCTTTTTAAGCATATTGCATGTACGGAGAAGTATGAGCTTGGGCATACTTATTTATATAGAGGACTGCAGATAGTAAATATTTTTTTTATCCGCGAATCCGCTCGCGTTTTTTATTTATGTATGTATGTAATTATTTCAGTGCTAAAAGATCTTAGATAGCTTTCATCAATATTGTGAAACTTAATATAAGGATAAAAAATTTGTTTGTACAGACAGTACATGCAAATCTCAGAATCTATAGGCCCGTTTCAAAATTCTTATGATTTTATAGACTATCTATATAACTTTAAAAAAAGAACCTCAATACCGATCAAACTTAATAAATTATGGTTGATTTACAACCACGGGGCGAGCACTAGTTATATAAATTAAGTTTAATGCAAAGTACTGGGTGAAGAACAAGTTTGTGCTTTGGATATTACAATACACAAGTTGTTCATTATTTTAAAGGGAAAAGTATTTAAACCTACATGATACAAATAAAAGCCATTCATCAATTTTATTACCAAGATTTATTATAATTAAATAATGTTTACTTTTAACATTCCCTTTCAGTTTTCACTCTCGTGTCTACAACTCGTGGTTTGTACGTAGAATATGAACGTGCATTTAACTCACACAGCTATAACGACATCTAAAACAATCTCTAATTTAATTATTTTATTTTCAACTTATAATTTGAATTATGTTTAAGAGTGTCTATGTATACAATTTGAAAACAAAAAAACTGAGAAGAGTAAAGCAACATTCGTATTAAATGATAATTCTTTAACATTTTTCTTTTAGAAACTTTGAACCCATTATATTGGTTCACTAATTGTTCTATAATATTGTTAGAGTGCTCAATAAGAAGTTACATAATATGAATTATTAATTTTATTCCTGTTATGACTAAAGAGGGTTCTATTTTAACGTTGATTATTTTCGATACATATTTTATACTTATGACCTAAAATACAATTACATTTTCTAAACTAAATGAATAATAATAAAGAAAAAAGGCTTCATCTGAAAATTGAACACCTTCGACTATCCCACAACCTAAACATTTATATTTATTCAATACAAATTGATAATGGAACTTATTAATTATTTGAATATAAAAATATTTATCCCATATATCATTAAAATAAAATTCAGTACTTTATTAAGAGGTAAGATTGCCGAAGGTGACATTAAGGAAATCCAGTTAAAAAATAAAAACTGACGACACTGAAGTAGCTGAAAGCGCCTGAATAACACGCAAATCCAATCTCTCATCCACGCCTATCATTATTTACCTAAATTTTATACATAATATAACAGATTTTTTAATTATAAGACTTCAGTACAATCAAAGTGCAATGTTCAACAATTTCACAGCATGGAATAAAGCTGGAGCTTGCAATATGTGATAGCTTAAAAGCTGGAATGCCTAGTGATGGGTGTGATGAGATGTTTGGGTTTGATATTTACATTTAACATTAAGTGATCAATTCCAATATATGTATGTAACATTCCATATATGAGTCTTGGGTAACTCAACGGTCCAGTGGGACGTGCGAGGTGATGCGGGCAATGGGTGCGGGAGGACGGCAGAGCAAGGCTAGGAAGTCTGGCCATGGCTGGGCGGCTGGTACTTGGGCTGTATTATTGACGTCTTCCTCAGTGGCACAGTGTCAGGTGTAGGGATGGCATCTCCAGTTTGCAGCTTGGGCGGCACAGCGGGTGCTTTAAATGGTGCTGAGAGATTTCCTGGCCGCTGCTTTGCCATTTGGTAATCACCAGAGTCAAAGAATTTTTGCTGAAAACAAGATATTGTATTATTTTACTTTTTTCCACTAATTTTAAACTTATTTAGGTCACCATGCAAGTATTATGGTCTACAGTCCTCAACGGATTTTTTATATGATTAATAAAAAGCTAAAGCTTTATGAGTAGCTTCATTTTGGCGAAATGACCAACTATTCTTTCTACGAGTATTTGATAGTGGTAATGTTGGGTCTCATCACGAACATAAATTAGTTCACAAAAATGTCAATAGACGACGAAACATATATCGATTTGTTATTAAAGTTGTGTTAAATCCAGAAAACATAAAAAATTAGATCCCAAAAAAGTATATTATTGTTTCAAAAAAAATTCTACATGAAGGGAAAAGAAATAATGCTCCTGTAAATCAAAGTCTAATTTTACTGATTAATGAAATATCAGCAATCAGATGATGGGTTTGTAGTGTATATTCACAAATGGCGCTTTTACTTTTTATGAATTGTGTTTATCACGATTAGAAATTGTTAGAATCACTGATATTTTTTTTATTAGAATGCAGAATGAATTTTATAGTATTTAGTATTTGTTAGTTTGCACACATTTGTAAAATCAAATAGTTTAACTATTTACGAATTAACAAAATTCACTAAACTATATTCAAAAAACTATTCAAGCAAACATAAATAGCCCAAAGAATAGCCCGAATTAACGCTGTCCAATTTCTTTGTATGGGATGAGGCACCTGTACTAGTATTATGTGATCTGTGGTGGTAGATACAATTGTCGCTTCATATAGAACATGTCAAAAAGATGATAGTCTAAAATTTATTACTAATTTGTAGGTTTTATGATATAATCTTGAGATAATCCAACATTAAACAAAAAAAAATGTGGTTATATAAAACAGATGGCTTGGATCAAATAGTCCCACTCTCCAAACTTGTTAAAATTACAACTTCATAAAATTTATTAATAACAGGCTGATTTTCATCGTATTTATTATTAAAAATTTGCATAATTGAATGAATCAAATCATCTTACTAATAAAATGGTAGGATTTCCCAGTCCTATGCTCGGATAGTTACCCCCACGGTGAACAGTTTTTCTATGATTACAGATACAGATTTTTACTATTTTACTGTTTTTATAACCAACTAGCGACTCACCCTCGCTTTGCTCGGATTCATCCTTAGCTTGATTCCTAATACAAACTTTCTGCCCATTTTCACCCCCTTAAGGATATTATTTCCGGGATAAAAAGTATCCTATGTCCTTCCCAGGGTCTCAAACTATCTTCTTACCAAATTTCATCTAAATCGGTTCAGTAGATCCAGAGATTACCCCCTACAACGTCATAAACTCACAAACTTTACCTCTTAATAATATTACTCGGAGTATAGATATTATTGATGATTTATAATAGTGTCAAGAATATACAGTTATAACGGATATTATTATATATATATTATTGCATTCAGTTCATTAAACATAATATAAAAATCGCCATGGCAACAAGTATACAAATGTCTTCATTAACTTATAAGAAAATCAGTTTAAAACTTCCAATAACAGAGTGAAAAAATGTGCTAAAAGATTTTTAAATAAAAATTATAATATATCGTGCGTTACTATTAAAAGGACAATATTATGTTATATTAATTAAAGAATAACTGGACTTATACATTATTATGTCAATATGTCAAAGCAATAAAATTTTCAAAATTTATTTATATAAAAAATATATATAAGGTAACCAGCATAAAACTTTCAACAAAAAAAAATTCAAAACTGTGAAAAGAAAAAAGTGCTAAATGGTCCTCCTCGTCTTCAAGAGATCAAAATGGCTGTGCTGTGTGTAAACATTATGGGAACATCCACATAAGTTCTAATACAAGAGCTGGATTTATAAGCTCTCTAAGGACTAAATAACACCTAACAGTAAGGAATTGTGCCAGTGAAAATGAGCGAAAAAACAAATAACACATATAGTATGGTTTAGTTGAATTGCGCTCAATAAGTGTACATTGTACACAAGCTCAAGCCCATCAATACTTCATAGTAAAATAAACAAAAGGATTTAAAGACTGGGCTGGGCATCACAGCTCGGGTCCTTTCCTTCATGGCGGGGGAACAAACGCATTCCCAAAGATGGTTGACGTCAGGCAGGCGGCCGGTCGGAAAACTTTTTCCAAAAGGAATAAGCAGTGACTTACTGCGCCGACCCCAAGTAACTTGGGAAATGGGCAGGAAGAAGAAGAAGAAACATAATATAAAAATGCAGTTTAATATAAAAAATACTTACACCTTTAGCCAATCTCTTTTGAAGAAAAGCTGAATGGCCACTGGGACCTCGGCCAAGCATTGCATTTGGAAACTTAGCTTTTAATTTAGCTTCCTCCAGTTTTTCCAATTCTTTAGGCTGTAATTGTAAAATATAATTGAGATGTTTGAATTACTAAATCAGAATACACAAAACCTATCATAATAAACGACTACTTACATCTTTTGGTGGCTCATTTTGATCTGATGAATCACTCATGGTAATATCCTGTAAAATATGTTAAATTAAAATATTTTAGATACATCTACATTGTTATGCAACGAAATGTAAGTAGGTAGACGTTTAAATTCTTTGTTTATGATAGTTAAATCACCATTTATAGTCAGAAAAATGAAAAGACATATTGTTTACCCTCAATAAAAAATCTAACGGACTATTTAGAAAATGGTTTAATTATATAAGCTCTTAATATTATGTTCTAATGATCAATTTAAATCATTTGAATATAACTACTAATAATTGCAAACATTGTAAACTAAACAAACACATGCTTTTTCATTACAAAATATACAAATATTTTAGATTATTCAAAAAAAAAAAATTAGTACTTAAGACAGCCTTGTCGCTATATACGTAAAATTTTTACTAAATAGAGTCGTAAAAATTACAAACAATAAAAGCAAAATAACAATAACACCACAATAGGCTCCAAATCCTTGATAAAATAAATATGGCGTTTATTTAAACATGCCAGTTACCACATTAGAGAGTTGCCAGAATAAAAAATACATAATGATAATGTTAACCATACACGGTCGGGATTCATGACATTTTATACGTCCTGCCAAGCTGCAGGCCAAATGTATATAATATGCGACGTTATATTTTACTGTTTATTATTTAATGCCTATTTAATATTTATTGACATACGGAAAAAAATCTTAAATCAACAGTTGTAGATTCTCTACAAAAAATTAACGTGATTTGTAAATAAAAAATAATTTATGCATCGAAGTTAATGTAAGTTTTTTCATTATTGAACACTCTCCTCAATGCGAAAAGGATCAGGACTCAGGCCATCGTCGACTATGACAGAACCAGTCCAATATAAAATAAACTGTAACAATTGAAATCGTATATTTGGGATAACAACGGCGTTATAAAGCTGCGGTGATATTCGCGATCAGCGAGTGTCAGAAAAAAAGGGACTTATTTCAAATATGGTGTTTCAGCACGTAATTATAGTGCTATGTGGCGTATATGTATATATGTATGTATGTGTATTCAGCCCTTTATAACGTCCCACTGCTGGGCACGGGCCTCTCTTCAATACGAGGGGATCAGGCCTTAGTCCACCACGCTGGCCAAGTGCGGGTTGGCGGACTTCACATGTCTTTCGAAAACTTGCTAGGTTTCTCAGATACGCATATTTCCTCACGATGTTTTCCTTCACCGTAAGACAAGTGGTAATCATGTTAGAAATGATTCGCACATGAAAATGTGAGAGATGGGAGACCCGGGATTTGAACCCGCTTCACTCGGTTTCTGAAACGAGCACGTTACCACTGGGCTACCACTGCCTTACATGTGGCGTACTTATACGGGCAAAATTTAGGTCAATCTCAAATCGTATGATGCGCAGCCGCCTCCATCATCGTTGTACATGCGACAGAACAAAGCCATAGAAAGTAGAAACATGATGGATTTAGAACGATCGAGAAAAAAATATAAAGGCTAAGATAGTGATGTTAGCCTCGGAAAGTTAGGGCGTGGATTTGATTAAAATGTTGACTTTTTAAAGGATTAATTGGTCCCTAACAATTATATACTAGCGCACACGTTGAACGTTTTCTTAGATATCATATAGTGATACAAACATATTATTGTTGAATAAACCATCGAGATTCAATATCTCGAAAAAGGAAGGTAATGCAGCATTGGCTAGATAAATCTTCCTACATATAGTACAGTTAAGTAACGCAAAAGAATTTTGCATCTTATTTCAAAAAAGACCTCTCAAGATACCCAAATTATAAAAAAAACCTCACAGATTACGATTACGTAATCTTGATACAAAGGACACAAAAACCAAGTTTCAGAAAAATCAAAGATTAACGGCCCGCCTGGGGTTGGGTTGGGTTTTAGTGGGTAGTACTGGCTTTTCTAGCCGGTGAGTCCCAAATAATCACCTCTATGTATATACAGGTGGTATGCGTAAATGAATTTCCCAACATGAAAAAAGGTGTTACTCCAGCTGTTTGAGAGTGAAAGAGTAACGAAACATAATTATACACATACTGTAATTAATCAACGATATTTTCGGGATAAGGATCTTTTTTATTAGCCCATGTATTGAAATTTTCCTTCTTAGGTAAATTCTCTAACAGTCAGTGAATCACGCGTTAAAATCGGTCAGCCATTTAGAGATTAGCGAGTTTTGGTGAGGTTGGTTTGACTATTGACGTTGTATCATACAATAACCATGTTATGATATTTGATTATAATTTGAGGTAGATAATATTTTAACAATAACAGACACCTCACTTTAATTTTTGTGAGAAGTGCTATACAATAATTAGCGTACCTAAAATGGACAGTATTTAATTTGATTCGAAGTTTGAAAAAGATTGTTTTTTCCCAAAAGCGTTAAATCCCAAAGGAGGGTTACTGGTTATGTATAATGCAATGGGGTAAATAAAACATATGATGATTATCAACACCATTTATTGAATGAATCCTAGTTGGCTGGCATTCCCCCGCGCGAGAGCTCATGAGATCACACACTTAACGAGATAAAGTCGACAAAATGTATTACATTCATATATAAACATGACTTAAGACTATCTACCCGCTAATATATTTTTTAATTATTCCTATTTAAAGTGACAAAATCTAAGTCTTATTTATAAGGCGAGTCGCCTTAGGAGATAAGCGTAATCATTCGACTTAATTCTAAAACCTTAAAAAATCATTCAACGCCGCTAAAGAAGTTTTCACTTCAATAGAGAACGAGTGGAAGTACCCCGCGAGCGATCTGCCACTAAGTTAGGAATACTCCCAACTAGCGCTCCAATTCGAAATATTATTTATTTTATTTGCTTACATTTCCCTTGTGGCTGTTTTCGGAACTAACGACAGCAGTTAACGGTACTTTTTAACAATAACAATTCTTTTATAGACTGACTTTTTGATCTATAGGTACTTTTATATGCAATAATACGTAGTTTAATATCAAAGTTAGTTCTGAAACTTGCCGGTACGGGATATGCTTAGCGCCAGTTTACAGTGTTTGTTTACATTTTTTTTAAAATTACCTATCGATTAAGCAATGATGTAGACATAAAAGTAATGAATTAATCGTAAGCGAATTTGCCACCAATTTGCGTGATCGTATCGCCATCTTTACGTTATGTCAGGCCAATTGACAAGCGCAAATAACTTGTTTTTTTAGTCTTTGGTTAATATTTAGTGTAAGAAATGAATTTAGCACGATCAGTCGTTATTATATTCGAAAGACGAATGTATTCAAATTTTAATATTTACATTGCTCATCAAATTCTAAAAATGGTTTTTTTTTATAATAATTAATTTTAATCGATACGAAAGTTCCATTCAAATAATTCAATAAACTCATAAACTTTGAAGACGAAATTATCTATACTTAGTCTACATATAGGTACAAATATATTAATTTAGATTTAACTTACAATTACAGTATAATATTTGGAAACCAAATATGAATATAATTTTTAAAGAAAAATTGTGAACTAATATTATGTTCTAAAAACAAATAAATAGCATATTTTTAATTTTGCTTCAAAGGTGGAGAAAGATGGATGGATATAAGAGTCATAACAATGATAATAAGTGATGAAGTCAAACCATCTAACAAGAAAAAAGGAAAATAAGAAAATATGGATTTGGCCATCGGTTAAACTTAAAACTTATTTTCTTTTAAACCCTCTACGACCGCGGACACGCCGGCGTGTCAGTTAACAATAGATTTCTTAGAATTTTAATTTCTTAGAAATTTACCTGGAGGTGTTAATAAATCTGCCAAAGTTATATAGATCTTTAAGTTTATACATATATCTATCTAATATACTGTCACTTTGTAATTTTGAGTCATAGCCATCTTTAAATTACGTAAATAAAACTGGAATGTAAAAATAGAGTACCCATAAGATTTCCACCTCTGCACATAGTAGCTACCTCCTACATATTTAATATGAAGGATAGAGGTAAGGAGAACTGTCCTATATGGAGGGGGTAGGGGAAGTTGAAAGTGTCCAGCTGTATGCCGAAAATAAATGGCGCTGGTGTACAAAAAACTACGATATGAATTTAGCTGTTGTAGATAGAATGAAATGTGTAGAGTTCAAAAATTTAGAATTTTTCATGACTATAAAGTAGTTAATGAAATACCAATATATTTAAAATTTCAACAATTTACGTAATCTAAACTAATTTAGTAAATATAACCATCCTTGTTTATTTCTCTATCTTACTCTAATTACTTTTGGCGCTTCCTTTAAAATGTATCCTACGCTACCGCACCATCTTATGGACGCGTTTTCACGCAAACTTTTTCATACACAGAGAAAGCTCCTTACACCTGCACCCTCCATGGTATTTACAGATAAATGAAAATTAATTTAAGGTACATGAAAAAAAAAAATATTTACACGAACTGTCAAACTGATCTCAAACTAAAGTTAATTACATGCAAAATCAAGGCGAGTTAGTTAAAATGTTAATAGCTGAAAAGGCATACCTTACATTTACTGATTAGTTTCTTTTTTAAGATCAATTTAATATTCTTTGCATACAAACACATACATACAGACGAACATAAAACCTCCTTTCTGGAAGTCGGTTAAAATGTTATGTAGATTAGAAATGTTTTTTTTTTTTATTATACAAAATGATGATTTCCTATAACATTTGGTTTAACTAATATTATGAAATTGATGGTTTACATTGAAATAAAAATAAATAAATTTATTAGTTTCGATTGCTATTTAAGTAATAGAATAGAAATAAAATTTATTTGAATTTAGCCTTGTTGATTTAAAAAGTATAAAAAAGATTTAATATAAGATATTGGAAAATGCAACATCTATACTGATAAATAAAATTAAAAGTGTCTCTTTGTAATGTCAAAAGTATTATGGTACTAATAATAAAAAAAAGAATGTTTGTCTGTCTGTTTGTTCCAGCTAATCTCCCAAACGGCTGAACTGATTTTAACGGGAGTTTCACTGACAGATAGCTGATGTTATAAGGAGTAACTTAGGCTACTTTTATTGTAGAAAAAGAATTAGGGTTCCGATCAAAGAAATTAAAAAGACACACTCGAGCGAAGCGAAGGTAAGTAGCTAGTTTGTAACAATTGGCATGACTCTGAAGTAAGTAATCATATTGATTGCGATTGGAGCTCATCTTTGTATTCAATTTTTGGTGCTAATAATCGTATGGCTATATCAGAGTGATGAAAGTTGGAAGAAGTAGTCCAACATCCAACACTACATATTTACCATTCATATTTAATTTCATTTGCTATACATATCTTCTAGACTTCTAGTCTTGAACAAATCCATTGTTTTGTTTTGCCCTTATGTTATCAGAATGAGACAATCATTCTATGTGGTGGGACATATATCTCTTGTGTATTGAACCTACAACCAAAATGCCGCAGGCAGACTAAGCACCGGGCAGTCACTGCTCTTAAATAAATACAATTTTCAAATAATAGATACAATTCGTAATACACTTGTTACTATCATCACTAGGAACATACAATAATAATAAAGTATATATAATAAAAATATTAGTACTCGTGAATTTTGCACTTGTGTCACGTAAAATTCCTTATATTCAGTAGCAAATATCTAAATTAGTTATTTAATTAAACGATAGTCCTAAACTGCTTACAAACGCACTCGTGAGAATAAGTGTCACTGCCAACCAAATTTACTACCAATTTATATTATAATACTTTCTTAGATTTACACGAACATATGACATTTTAAATAAAATAAAACTATCTTTTTGGATTTTTCGCGTATTTATTTTGACTTTTGGTTCCCTAAATTTCAATTTTCGTATACTTTAAAGAAATCACGGTCACAGGAGAGCCTAAGGTTTTAGACATGATGTCTGAGACTTCTCAAATGTCTTACAATATATACTTGTTGCAGACAATGCCTACCCACAATTTTACAAAATGGCTGTATCAACTATATATTGATCTTAGAGATGTCTAAAACCTTAGTCGCTCCCATGACCAGATTACTGCAAACAATCGATACAAAATCCGAAAAGATAGTTCATTTAAAATGTTACATCATATTGATATAATCCCAATCATTGCATTTACAATATGCCATCTTAACATAAATTAAATTATTTTAACTTTATCCTTGTATTGAAGTTTATAATGATGCTATTTAAATAATAAGACTTGTATTTAATTTGGAATTCACATAATACATTTTTTAAGATCTGTGTCCTACACTTCCCTCTACCCAATAAGCTGTAGTTCATAAAATAATACTAACTTACAGATATAACCACTGCCATCCACACAAAATATTGTCCAAAAATTTCTTTAGAAACTATAATAGATTTTCTAAAGTTGTTTTATTTTAAAAACTACTTTATAAATATAATTATAGGAAATCCAATATTTTTATTTTGTATTCATCAGTTCAATATCAAATTAGCTAAGTCACTTGACAACATGCATTATTATTATAAATAACAAAAAAAAAACTATTATTTCAAATAAAACATTCAGTTTAAACAGTAAAAACTTTGTGTCAAAAACAAATAACGCGACCATGTCAAAGACAAGTGAACTTTTAATATAATTATCAAGTTTTTATATTTCATGCAGTCTATATAGTAATATAAATAGTTCAACGTTAGTATTCAATTTAATAAGCCAATGTGGCTGAGTTTCTAATGTGTCACTTCACATGTGTTTGCTCTACACACTACACTACACTGTAGTCACTCTGCGCCGTTGCTACACTCTGACGCACACTGCGGTATCACTGTGCACTGCAGTGCGTGCAGGGTTGCGTACATGCGGGTCAATACACTATGTCGCTGTGTACTGTAGTGCGTGTAGGGTACCGAGCACGCGGTTCACTAAATGCACTGTGTTCACCCTACGGGATGACTGCACCGCAGTGTGTGTAGGGCAGCGTGCAGGCGGGTCACTGCACTGTGCACTGTCACTGCAGCGCGTCGCGCAGCACGTCGGGTGCTGAGCGCGCGCTGGGCGTGGTGGTGGCGGGCAGCGGGCTCTTGTGGACGGACTGCGGCGGCGTGGGCGGGAACACGTGCTCGGGGGCGAGCTCGTCGTCATCGTGCCGCGTGCCACCCTCCATTTCCAGGAGTTGTTGGTATACTTGATCCTGTTGACAGGTTTTAATTTTTTTTTCCATAATTGAAATTAATTTAAGTACTAGAAATATGGATAATCCATGGAAAAATATTAATGGCTCGTAACTATACGCACGCACGTTGTTTACGTACACACTTGCACACTGTAATATCTATTCTGCCGGCATAATAAAGAAGGATTTAACTAACAATTTGGTCCAAAAGGACTCAAATTTGGAATCAGCAAAAAAATGACTACTCGATAGTCTTACTCATAAAGCTCCAAGAATTATAAATCCGAAGATACCTTAACCATTTTCATCATAGTAAGACTAAACTTCAAATATCTCGAAATCAACTTTGAGGAAGTTGCGGCCTTCTTTTTTATGACGGCCCTAATGCGCACATGGCTAGTTTCAGTGTGTTTGATAGGCATAACCAAAGTCATTATATCCAGTAGGAGATACTCACAAACATATCGAGCGACACATCATGCGTCTGTATGCGGTGGCTCTCGTCCAGGTTGAGGTCTGGGCAGATGAGGCGCAGGCCGGCGGCGCGCTGCACGTGGTCGCCGTCGCCGCCGCGCACGGCCGCCACGCCGCCCGCGCGCCTCACCGCCGCCGCGCTCGGCGCCAGCCACGTGTAGCACGGCTCCAGCGCATCCCAGCTGTAACCTGCACAAGTACACAATAGATGAAGCATTAATAATAATAATGACCTCCCGACCGACTTCGGCCATGGCGGCCTGTCTCATTGAGACTAGCCATCTGCGCAGGAGGTATATATATATATATATATATACTCAATAACTGATCTTGGCCTGACCCAGGACCTCAATGAGGCAGTGATCAGAGATGAAGCTATTTTAATACTATTTTAATTTAATTTTAGCGGCTTTATCGTTTCACTGCCACCATTTCTTGTCTATTGTGATCGCCGCATTTTATACTAGAGTGAAAACCACTAAACCATGCAGATGTTAAAAACTGCAGGATTTTCTTAGGGTTATACTCTTTTAAGTATTAATACTAGCATAAGGAATATCTTATTATGTTAAGCGAGCAATTCTTGTATATATGTATATATAGGTACATAAATTGATTTTATATATCTCGGAAACGGCTAATGATTTGGATATGTTGTATTTAGAAAAAGTATGCATTTTATCTATACAGGTGTCTATTCTGAGAAAAAAAAAACATACCAACAAAATAAAACATACCAACAAAATAAAACACAACAACAAAAACAAAAAATAAACTGACATTCACTCACATTTTTCACATCGGACTATTATTATTATTATAAATACAAAAGTTTGTTTGATGCTCCTTCACGCAAAAATGGCTGGATGAATTTGGATGAAATTTACTTAACAAATAGGCTATGTATTGGATAATTCATAAGCTATTCGTAAGTACTTAGAGACGCATCCGAGAGAAGCATGTATATATCAGTAGTACAACATATAAGACATCCATTCTGAATTTGTGTCATATCCGATAAACTATTACAGTGCGAAGAAGTAACACATTTGCTCATTCACATATTTCGCATTTACATTTGCATTTTAAATAGTGTGACATTCGCAGAGAATAGATCCTATGAAGTATGAAGTTAATCAAATTATATGGCTTTTTTATAGCAATGGATTAATATTTTTTTGCGTGACATTTATTTATAATGTTAGACTGTAATTTAGATTTAAGAGTACTTTTTCGCAACCATTTGTACGAGATTCGCGGAAGATATACTTTAAATACATAATTTTTGTATTTTTTGAAATCATTTTGTAATTTTGTGGGTAGGCGCTGTTTGTAACAACTATATATTTAAGACGTCTAAAACCTTAGTCTTTTCCACGACCACGATTGCTGTAAAGCATTCGAAGAGTCGGCAACCAAAAATCAAAATAAATCCGCGAAAAAATCCGAAAAGACAGTTATATTTAAAATATCAAATATTCGCGTAAATCTAAGAAAGAATAACATAATTAAAACTTAGATAAATCAATAATTTAAGAAACTGAAAAAAAAAAACAAAGTAATTACATACCGGACACCCTGAGAGCCATTTCTTTGCTGAATATATGCGCGATAGCCGCAGCAGCCACGGCACTATAGGGAAAGCGGTTGACATCCACGTGCAGTACCGCCAAGTCCACCAACTGGCCACACACCACGAACTCTAACGAGGAGTACTGTGGGAATACAAACGTGTAACCACGTAGTGCGTTTACACCCGCTTCACTTTCACCTAATAGCCTTCTCTTGGCACTTCGAGCTTCACTGCCAAGCTGCATGTATACATTCAGCCAGCTGTTAATAGTGATGGGCGTGATACTCCACGATAGTATCTTCAGGATTAGGAGTTCTTCCAAAAGTATCTCCTCACTAGTGCACGCGCCGTCCGTTACGTACGCGAACTCGCCTATCTTAGGCGGATACACTTCTTCTACTTTTGCAGCGATGAACAAACATGTTATACCTGAAATTGGTTTTGTTTTATTATGTAAAATATTTGTTATGTTGACGACATGTTAGGCTCAGTTTGTAGTGCGTATCAACTACCTGGTGTCCATAAGACAGGCGTAGCATACCATGGAACTAGATGGTGCTGTGTGTTAATGTCCCAACATATATATATTTTTTTTTACATTTTTAGACCATATTCTTTTTATAACACCACTAGTATTGACCGCGACATTTTTATGTTATTAGCAGCAAAATCATAGGACTTTCATATAAACTTACGGTGGTCATTAGAACCCCTTTTTTCGCAAAATTCTTCTATCATAAATAGACTAGTACACTACTTAAGCTAAGTGAGTGACCATTCTTGCTTTTATATAGATAAATACAGTACTACCTATTTTAACTAAAGTTCATATTCATAGATTTAATATTGGCTGTATTTTTCGTAACCGCGGCTTGGGGTAGTAGTTGACAGGTACCCCCCCAACGTGCGTTCACCTTGTCGTGGTGGGGGGGCTCAGTAGTAGTAGCGAAGCTAAGAAACGCACAGGGAGGTTGCCCACTTCGGTGGGCGGTGGGAGGTGGCCCTCTTCGGGGGGCGGTGTACCTTGCGGGTTGCTCCTGGTACTTCTCTGATAGCAGAGTGGACCTTGGAGCAACCCCATGGTTGTGGTGGTCTGCTTTGGCAGACCTGCCGTCGGGGCGTCGTAGTTGAATGCGTAAGCGATCCTGCGACGCCCCATTAAGACGGGGGAAGGTTTTGTTGGATTTTAGTGGGTAGTACTGGCTGTATTACGCCGGTGAGTCCCACACGTCGTGCGTAAATGCATTTCCCAGCGTTAAAAAAAAAAAGTAGTTGACAGGTAGAAATCGTCACGTAACAAGGGTTCGTCCCTGTTTACTTTTTAACGTTTAGTACAGATTTCTCAGAGATGACAGATGAAGATTTTCCCGCAGTAGAAAGTACCCTATATTATGTTGACCCGATTTCCATTCCCCATCATACCAAATTTCATCAAAATCCCTCCAGTGGTTTTCCGTGAAGCGGTAACAGACAGACAGGCAGACACAAAGACACAAAAATTCTAAAAACTATAGATTCCGCCTCTGTATTGATAATAATGTCTATTTTAATAAGATTTTCAAAAAAATATATTTATATTATAGAATTTTATTAATTATGTATATAAAGGCATCCCATCACACGTCGTCACAAGTAGTTAAGGATGTCGTATACACTAATTGAAAGTGCCCTACATATACATAATTATAATGCACTTTTTGAGGTTCGTGGTCCTCTAGTACTCGTGACAAAAGTACTAGGCGATCATAAGTTTTGAGGTGTGTATGTTATAATAAATTCGTGTATACTATGTGCAGGCTTTTGTTTGATGAGCTTCTATGTGTACGTTGCTCGATGTTTTCTGCTACGCACAATTGAAAAAAAATGTTTTTATTTAGAATTTCATTGTTTATTTAATAAGCCACTTATTATAAACAATTAAATTTTTTCTATATATTTATTTTTTTATTCTACTTAATGAAGCAAAAACAATCATGTGTTATTTTTTGAGAAAGATAATTTATTTATATTTTTTATCGAATTTGTAAAACCTAAGTAAGTTTAATTTTTTTAACCTAAATAAATGGTTCATAACAAAGTGAAAAATATTTTTTTTATTTTTCCAGCGAGGATCTATTTCTAAAGCCTTTGAAGAATTGCTCTAAGGAAAAAAAAACTCAAATCTCTCAAATCTATAATTTAAAATTATCACACTTGCAATGTTCATATTCAAGCAGAAAATATTTATTAATTCACTATTGCATAACTAATTGACAAATTGTGATAAGCATTTTTTTCTGCCGGATTATTGTTAATTCATCTATCCAGTAAGCCCCTGAATTTTTCATTTCTTAAATTTTATATTTAATATGTAAAAATAATGTTTATTGATAAAGCATCTGAAGTAGGCGTGGCTTGCGCAAGCCAGAGCAACCGCTTTAGGCCGTATTTTCACCCCTCTGAGAAAATCCGTACATATAGTAAAATTGTAACAAAGCCGAATCTGTACATTAAATATTTTTTGGAAAATCTTATTGAAATATAAATTGTTACTGCATCACAGAAAGACCACTGGAGGGATTTTCATGAAATTTAGTATGGTGATAGCTGGTTATCCGGGTCGACATATAAGATACTTTTTACCGCAGGAAAATATCTCATTCCTGAGAAAAAATACAAAAACTGCAATGTAAGAGTATACTAATTAATATGTAAAACCTAAGGTTAAACCTTTGGTTTTTGGTTATCTGAACGCGGGCGGATTGCGGTTGCCCTAAAAGGCACTTGTTGACTGGACTATGGAAGCTACTTCTTAATATACCAATGATTGTAAATTAATGTTTGAGAAAGACATCATTAAATTTAACTTACCGTATGTAGCCGAAATAGCTCAGTTGGGAGAGCGTTAGACTGAAGATCTAAAGGTCCCTGGTTCGATCCCGGGTTTCGGCAGTTCATTTTTAAGTTTTTTGTTTAATTTTATATACATTAACAATTTAATATTTAAATTTTCAGTTACTTTATTGTAATAAATCGTAAATATGTATTTTAATTTTAAAATATTTATATAAAAGTATTACCTATGAGTTGCAAGCGTCCTTTTTGCACGTCGTCAGTTTTGGACAGATACCGGTCCACGTAGTCCACCGTCAGGTGGAACGTCTCTCTGTGCAGCTTGTACACTTCACAAACCTACGAAGACAATATAAGTTTTGTTATTAAAATTAATGGCAGTATGAAATAAAAAGTGGATTGTGCAGAAATAATTATATCGGACTACCATTATAAATGCGATCATTTGTATCTTTGTACATTGTGTGTGTTAGACACTGGTAGCTCAGTAACAACGAACTAGCTTGAGAAATCGAGTGAAGCGCATTCAAATCTCGAACCTCTGATATTCTCATATGCGAATCATTTCCAACATGATAACCACTTATCTTACGGGGAAGGAAAAACATCGTGAAAAACCTAGCAAGTTTTCGAAAGACATGTCTTGACAGGTCCGCCAACTCGCACTAGGCCTGCGTGATGGACTATGGGCCCCGTATAGGAGGCCCGTGCCCCGTAGTGCACGTTAAAAAGGGCTGAATACAATACATAAAATATTGTGTATTTTTATTACTCTTAAATGACTTGATATACATTAAATTGTCGATTTCTTAGGTAGTAAAACACCTGAAGATGGAGACATAGTTCTACACAACAACATATAAAAAAGACAATAAAAAAGTTAGAATTTAAAAGGCATCTGAGCCTAAACGCTTACAAGAAAGGCATACGGGCCTCAGGCATTATCGCGAATGTACCACTAAGAGCCTAATGCCTTGAATGATTATAATGCTCGTACATTATAATTATTTATACCGCGGCGTGACTTTGCCAGTCACAAAATAAATAAAAAACGTTGCAAGATATACATTAATATATTTTATTCTCTACATAGAGTTAGTCAAAACGTGTAGGTTGTGTTATTTTGCTTTCGTATGTTTGCATACTTAAAAGATTATTTTTATTCGATTTTATATAAATAATATGATGCAAAAAGCCTTTAAAAATATCGAGCTACGAAATGATACCCATATGACATAAAAAAGACAATAGTTTTAAAATCGTTAACATAACAAACAGTCTTCAAATTATGACTGTTTCACACAATTTCATAGTATTGTACTTCTAACATTTTTATCTGACGGATGTCATGCGGTTTTTCATATCTAGTTATTTGGGGCTTTTTATAATTTTATTAATACTAGTCCTGCTGACATTAAAAAATATATTTAAAGGAGCTTGAGTAATTTTTAGTAAGTACCTACTACAGCTTTAGATGTGTTTTTAATAGATTTTTCTTGTAAAAAATATTTTAATTACAATATAAAGTCCTTATATCTAGGTCATGAGTAGAAAATTTTTGCTACGTCGCGTAGCGGTGGCGTAGCATTCGACTGGTAAACTACAAACGACCACTGTATAACGCTACGATCACTCTGAATTTTCTAGTGTGGATTTCAGGGGTAATACTGTCATGAAATTGACCCCTCTCTAGAAAGAGAGAAAGCGAAGGTGCGGCCAATACCATGTCTTTTATTATAATTTGAATTTATAAATGTAATGTAAAAAATATATAATATTATTGAAAATTATATTATAATAGAATGTATAATGGTTATAAATATCTATCTTCATGAATTGTATTTCAATTAATACAGAAGACTTCTGGCCACAAATTCGTTTTGTCTCTGTCGCTTTTCCGCCATTTTCAGCTGACGGCTGACAATGAAAGACTCATGCCCGATTTCACCAACAACCTATAAGCTACCACCTACGTATGGGATCCATAGCTTAAAAGTCCCCTAAACTAGCCCCTAAATTAAATTTCGTTTTACGATCGTCTTTAAGCCCATATTTCGAGCACCTAAATTTAGGGGGCCTTTTAATATTTAGGTGACCCCTAACTGTCGGTGAAACAGAAACTGTCCCCTAACAGCCCCCTAACTATGTTTAGGGGATCCCTTAAACTTAGGTGACGTTGGTGAAATCGGGCATCAGTCCACTCTCTATGCACTGTGGAATCAGAAAAACCATTTCTATTAAATTTAGATAATATTTACGTTTCACATATGAAGTAATTATACAATCTGTGGTTTCGTTTTCGTAAATCAAATAGTAATAGACTCTATATTGTGTGAATTACGTTTGATACACACACACACACATGTGTGTGTGTGTGTGTAATTAATACTGCATAGTTCTATCTCAAGTACCAGAATTAAGATTTAATTGGTTCGGTATACACATAAACAAAACTTCCGTTCTTCTTTGTCAAAGTAACGGTTGACACGTGTTATAACATACTAGCGACTCAATTACACACAAGCGAATAGGCTTGGTTTCGTCTCTACTTACGCTTTAACATTTAGTATCGATTTATCAGAGATGAGATATTTTCCAGCAGTAAAAAGTATCCTATATGTGGACCCGGAACCAGCTATCATCATACCAAATTTCACAAAAATGTGTCCAGTGGTTTTCTCGTGATGCGATCACACAGACAGACAAAAATTCTATAAACTATAGCTTCGGCCTCTGTATCGATAATAATGACTATTTCAATAGGATTTTCAAAAAATATTTAATGTACAGATTCGACTCAGTTAGACTTTTATTATACACTAGCAGTACTCGCGGCTTCGCCTGCGTCCAAACTTCCGATCACTAAAAAAATACACAGGATCACCCGCTGGGCTAATCTGAAAATGTCATCAAAATCGCTCTGGATTCATAGGAAACATACATACACACATCGATTTTTGTTTTATTTAATCAACAATTATTTATTTATTGCTCGGAAAGTAGAGTCCGTTATGAAAATTTAGTGACACACCGTCTGCAGCGCCACCTACTGGATCAATTTGTAAATTCAAACCTTACAGGGACTCACTCGAACATACACAAAAAATATCATTAAAATCATCCTTGCCGTTTAGGAGATGATCAGTGGCACAATGACTGCAGCGCCACCTACTGGATCCATTTGTGTTTTCAAACCTTGCAAGGACCCACTCGAACATACACAAGAAATATCATTAAAATCGTCCAAGCTATTTAGATGATGAGTGGCACACCGACAGCAGCGCCATCTACTGGGTCCATTTGGATTTACAAACCATCCAGGAGGTCATTGAAATATACACACAAAATTTTATCCAAATCGGTCCAGTCTTTTAGGAGGAGTAGGTTAATAAACATACAGAAGAATTATATATATATATAATATATATATATATATTTATATATATGTGTGTGTGTGTGTAAATAAAGATTGTTATATTTAAGTACCTAATTAAATTAAAAAGAATAAGAAAAAAAATTACAACAATTAAGCCGGTAATCAAATTTTCCCTAATAGTCTAAGCAATTTGTAAATATGCTTTAATTTTCTATAATTAAATAAGTAGTAATTTTATTTAATTGATGTTCATGTCAGACGGTTAGATGTTTGCTAATTGGCGTTTTTAAAAGGTTTTTGATATATCACGTACCTACTGGCTGTTTGATTTTTATTGAAATTTTTTCGTTTTTTTTCTAAACTTAGATTTCTAAATGTTTAAACTCCATGTAGTGAGTGTCGCAGCATTGGACATGATCAAAATGGGTTTACTGAAATAACCACTAAATAACCGTAAACTTACCATTTACGTCATTCAAAGTCTTATTTGAGAGTTAAAAATAAACGCACGTACAAACATTTTATGGTTTTTATTAAGTTAGTTATTAGTATGTACATATGTAAGAGTATAAATAGATTGCACTTTTATAATAATACTAGCGGCTCACTCAGTATTAACAAATCTATCCCACAGGAACCGTACATTTTTCCGGGATAAAGTAGCCTATGCGTTATTCAGATGTATGAGCTATATTATTGTTAAGTTTCATTAAATTTCATTCAGTAGTTTTTGCGTGAAAGAGTAACAAACATCCATACATCCAAACATCCTCACAAACTTTTGCATTTATAATATTAGTAGGATATAATAGAATTACTATTAGCACTTGATACAAACGAAAATGAAACAATGTACCGTTCAGCAATTATTACAAACTGCACAAAAAGCCTGACGAAATCAGGTTTTTTGAATGATCTCTCCCTAAGAAGGCTGCTAGCGTTCCATTATCCGCGTAACCTTTTTGTGTAACGCATACTAGGTGCCGCTCCCCGATGTAGAGGTTTGTCTTAATATCTTGAATACTACAAATAATTTATGGCCTTTATATTTTAGACCGTAGACTGCCAGCTTTGATGTTAGAAGATTACTACGGTATATACATTGTCGTCAAATAAGTAGCAAACGTAAATATACATCTATACATATACATGATAAAATTGTAACCAAGCCGAATCTGTACATTAAATATTTTTTGGAAAATCTTATTGAAATAAACATTATTATCGATACAGAAGCCGAATCTATAGTTTTTAGAATTTTTGTCTGTCTGTCTATTACCGCATCACAAAAAAACCACCGGAGGGATTTTGACGAAATTTAGTATGGTGATAGCTGGTTATACGGGTCAAACATATAGGATACTTTTTACCGCGGGAAAATATATAATTTCTTAGAAAAAATACAAAAACAGCAATGTAAGAGTATACTAATATGTAAAACCTAAGAATTTGGTTTTTGGTCATCTGAACGCGGGCGGAGCCGCGGGCAATGCTAGTTTTATTATATGTATAGATAATAATTTGTAGTTCGAAGTAACCTAAATTAACAATACCTACTGGCCTAATTTTTTTTTTGCAACTTTGAAAATATCTTAGGTAATTTGTTTATGTAAAAAATACCGAGTCGTTAGATTTTCACATTTGTTGACGCTTTAAATAGTTTAGCTGACCGAAGGTGTATTAAAATATGTACAAGTTCGGAGGCCCGGCGCGGCGTGCAGGGAGCCGTGAATTACAAATGAACTGTTATAAACCGTCTGTCATTCCTACCGTACATTTCTACGACCCCTTCTTATCTTAGAATGAGATCTATTCATGCCTAGTCTGGCCTATGAGGGGTGCAATTTGCCTCATTTTAGTTAAAAATATAACAATGGCACGATGATCAAATATTTAGCTCTTTTTTGTTGTTATTTAAAAAATTGTTGATGATTTATGACTTTTGTTTTCAATGTACTTGACTTTTGTTTCTAGAATTGTAGAAATAAGCTTCTGAGTATTTATTAGTTTTGAACCGACTTCCAAAAAGGAGGAGGCTCAATTCGTCGGAATCTTTTTTTAATGTAACCACCAGTGGCATAGACTTTGAAAATATCTGATTAGGTATTTATTCTAAATGAAAACCCCCGTTTAGTTATTCTTTTCCGTTTTAGTGCCTCAGTGGAAGTCGGTTTTTTTTTAATTTTTTATATCTAAAATAATAAAATTCTACCAGAGTCGAATCTGTACATTAAATATTTTTTGGACAATCTTATTGAATAAGTCATTATATTGACACAGGCTGAATCTATAGTTTTTAGAATTTTTGTCTGTCTGTCTGGGATGTATCACGAGAAAACTACTGGACAGATTTTGATGAAATTTTGTATGATGATAGCTGGTTGTCCGATTCAACATATAGAATACTTTTTACTGCAGGAAAATATCTCATCTCTGAAAAATCTATACTAAAAGTTAAAACGTAACTAGTTACGATACCGAACGGAGCGAAAGTGAGTTGCTAGTAATAATGAAATATTAAATCCACCATAAGCAGTTGGAATAAATCAGACATAAAACGTGTGTAAATAACATAGAATTACGTACATATAATATAATACATACATATAGTAATACGTAATGGTAGTATCTATGTGAGACTATTGATTAAGATAGATTTATTCGCCAATCTAAATTTGTTTTCATAATTTTTCTTATATATTATATTTATTTTTTAGACAAATAATATACATATAGAAAAAAACTAAAATAGAATAAACACAATCGGTCTTAAAATTGCAAAATTTTAAATATATTTTATAGAGTTACAGTGAATTTAAAATTTAAATCGTTTGTGTTATATGCAATAATGTATTAGCATCAATTTTATAATCAAAACCTCATGTTCTTACTAGGATAATTTTTGTTATGCCTCGTCAAGTATAAATTATGAGATAATGACCTTTGAAACGTGTAAATTCTGAAACTAGAACAATACTAAATTTTTCGCAAGGAGATGATAGTTGATTTAGATTTTAGACAGAACAAACACGTGCTTTATTTTTTAAAGTATAGTTAGTGTGTTTGTTAGTTCTTCAAGCAGTAACAGATCAATCGATTTGTGTGAAATTCGGAATAGATAGCTCATATTTTGGCTTAAGATTATCGAAGTACTTTCCACGCGAGCATAGCCAGGGGCGAAAACTAAATCTCTAAACTTCGATGTTTTATAATTACATTCCGTCCATCTTCATTATTTACACATAGAGGTTCTATATAATTTAAAGTTTTTTATGAGATTTTAAACTATATGAACATGTCGTGCCTGTTAACACTTTTCTATGACACCTTAGATTGTTATGTAACACATTTCGTATCAGATTGAGTAAAATAAACGATCATTTGAGCCACTCCTGTATAAGGATAATATCATAATAATAAGCTACTGTAGGTACAAGTGACATTACGCTATTGGTCTTCCTAAATAAAGGGGGAATTGAGCATATCGTAAATCATTTTACCGATTTACATATTATGGGGTTTTGTGATGGTTTCTAAAACCTTCAAAATATCACTATGATCGTATCGTTATGGAATATAGTTGACCTCCATTTGAAAGTCTTACTTGATTCTTATATAAAAGTTTTAATTGCAGAATACAAAAATACTACAAAACTATAAGGTACTGAAAGGATCTGTTCATACTACTTGGAGAATTATTAATATAACGGATTTCTTTATACGCAAACTGGTTAACGGCCAAAATCAATAACCTTTAGATTGTTTGGACTACTAGATATTTAATAAAGTTCCTTCGGTAAATAGTGAACTAAAATAAAACGGTATCGGCATCATATATAATCGGATCTAGCAATTTTGAAGCCATTCGACAATCTATACTTAGAAATAAAATTGAAATGTGTTAAAATAGCTACCCCATATCGAGCTCACAATACGCATGCATGGTGTAAAGGCCCAAAAAAACTTTAAATACGTTTTATCTGCATGTTACAAACAACTGAATAGGCATTATCGGCAATCGTAGATTGATTTACATAATTATTTTTAATGAATATCTAAAAGGGTATTCCAATTAATGGTATGTATATATGTATGTATGAATGGTACTGTTTTAGAAAAAAAGTCTATCCCGAAGGATGGAATAAAACTTTAAAAATTATTTTGAAATTTTTATATCTTTTTAGTTAACAAATAGCTACTTTATCCCAAAAACGTAAGAGGTTTATTATCCCGGAAAAAAAGGTTCGCTATGTTCTGTTCGTTAGAGGATATAAATGAACCGCTTAATCGATTTTTTTAATAGCGAAACACTGTGTGGTAAATACGTAGGCGAATTTAAGATGAAGGTGTCAAAAATATTTCGCTATTTTTGGTATGTCGTGTACACAGAGGTCGCATTGGACACATCCGAAATAAAGAATAATTTTATTAATAAGCATAAATTTCATGAAATATTTCGTTTCATTACTTAAGATTCTTGACTTATAAGTGAAAGATCGAACCTTTCTAAATCTCGAGATACAGAAAACAGTTATTGATGAAGTACTAAACTTGAATGGAATGTCTTAAACAAATCTAGACAGTCATGAAATAGATTAAAAATACTAAATAAAAAGTAAGCAATAATGTGGTATTTAAGCACGTTGGACGGGTCAATGAACGACGAAAAAAAGGGGTCAATGCTCCCAAAACACAAGTACCCTATGAAAAAATTATTTCATATGAACATTGCATAAATTATTTTGTTCATAATTTTAACAAAAATCTAATTTTCATAACTTACCATCTCAACTCTGAAATGCAGCATGAAAGAACAATTCTATTATTACATATATTTCATCCATACATGTAAAATTATTTAAAACATCTGAAGGTGACATTTTATAATGTTTGCAGATATACTGACCTACATAGCTACAGGTCAAGTAAAAAAAATGCAGTTCAATGATTATGCTTCAAGACAATCATTTGAAATATCATATTTGTAAAATTGATAAAATTATAAGGTTAATGGCAAAACATCTCACCTCATTTAACCAATCTAGTAGGATAGCTCTCATTCTTGGTTGAAGATTTGGATGATTATCAAACATGTTAGGATTCTTTTTCATGCTAGATCTTGTATCACATTCACACATTGTCCTCCATACATCAGTGGGATCTGCCCAGGACAGGCCTGGTAAAGGACATTTTCTCTTAGGTGGTGTGGGGTAGTGTGGTTTACTTGTACTGCAAATTAATTGTTTCATAAAGAAAACACACAAAATAAATCTAATAATACTGACAATATATTAATATTAGCACTGTTAATAGTACCTGGGCCTCTTATTAGAATGAGGAGTGCATTCTCCTCTTGCTACATTTTCTAAAGGACTCAGTACACAATTTGGTAAGTCAGGTATACTCGGTGGGCTTAAGAAACTATCAGCATTGTAGTCTATATCTGTAAACACACTTCTTGGCTGTTCAATACCTTCATCATCACTTGAACATGATGATGACTCAACCACAACATTATGAGCAGATTGTTCATTCAAATCCTCATCAGTCCTTGCCGCTATTTTCACTGGTGGCATATTCTCAACCTAGGAAAGTTTGTGTATTAAACACTTACACTAGAATGAATGTTATGAATGTTATCATTGTTATCAAAAATGAAATACCTCATCATCGGTTGAATTTCTCTTTCTTTTCAAATTAGTATGTTTCTCATTAGTCTCACAGGAGGTACTGAAAGAAATTTTATTATGAATAAACACAATAGAGCAAGGTCAATACCTGATAGTGTATGATCAGCTGTACATACCCTGCTTGCGCCATATTGAGGGTAACAGATCAGCTGGCACAGCCTCTGCTGTCTAAAATACGATAAAGAACAAGTAGGTATAAATATATTGAAGATAATAAAGAGAAAAATTAGAAATAATCGTCTAAAATTACCGCATGTCATGTTCAAACCGCAAATAGGGTTATGTCAATTGACAACCGTGATAAAGGATGTAATTCCGAATTATAAAGGAATTAAATAATAGTGAAGATACTAATTAAAGCTTTAACTATCAATAAGGTAACAAATTTAACGTAAAAATGTGATATTTTGACCACTAAAAGCACAGCGTGCCCCCTGCTGCTTGGCGGGAGAATTTTTTTCAAGTGATATTTACGGGCAGTTATAATCGCAAAATAGCAGAAAAATAAATTTTTACTATCAGTATAATACGTGTTTTAACATTAAAACGAATAATAATGCAAGAAATAGTGAATCAGCTGGCGTAAAAAATGCCACGAATCCGTCACAATCGCGCGCGAAATCCTCCCGTCAGCGCCATTAGACACGTCGCTAGCTTGGGTTTCTCGGCCCTACCACTTTTGGAAATTGTTAAAAATAGCACATTATTGATAGAATACGACTATTTTTAATCGTACTACAATTAAATTATCCAGTAAAAAGTTTAAAAGCTAAATAAAAATCAAAACCGTTGAAAGCATAATTGGCTTAGCTTATCGCCTGCCTAACGTTTATAACCTAATTACAGCAAATAAATATGAAGAATGTAATTTTAACTTTGAATATCAATTAGATAAAATCTTAAAGAACCTAAGTACGGATTACAAACATACCTGATCATTCACAAATTAATCCAAATTATGAAGAACAAAATATCCTTAAACACCATGTAAGTTATTGAAATTTAGAACACAATTACACTATTTGGGAGTTTTATTTTAACACAAATACAAGTCTAACACTAAATAGTCACGAATTTATAACATTAAAAGTAATATGTTAATTTTACATTCTCTTTTTCGGCTTTCCACGGCTCAATAACGCCCGGCTTTCCGCGCGAAAATGTCGCGGTAAAACATCGGTTCCCCACAAGCCAATAAGCAGCTAACTTCACGTTTGTTTCTTCTGAAAATACATGTCAATTTAATGTCGTTTCGTTTTGCAAATAGATTTTATGCTACCTCGTAAATTAAGTTTATATTTTTATTTTTAAAACAAATTCATATTCAATCTCTATGATATCAATCGTTTGATCTTGTTAGTTTATCTAATGTATATTAAGAAAAATGCAAATTATATGCCAATCTACGTTTTTAATTCTTTGCCTTGTAGTAAAAAAATATTTAGTATAAATATAATTATCACTAATAAAAATACTACTTGAAACAATAAATTTAGTAATGAGAAATCATAACAAAATACTTTTTCATATTTAATTCATGATAAAATGTAAAACGGAACATTTGGAATGCTTTTATCTGATTGGTTAATTTACGTCGCCATTGCTATACCGCTTTTACTTATGTTGGTGTTATTGTTGTTACTAACTTCACACTACTATACAGCTGGGCGCCAGCTGATACGATTCGAGTGAGAAAAGTCAATATTCAATAATTAGTATTTATAAGTTGATAAATTGATAACGCTCTAGTAGTTTAGTGTATTTGTTATATGGAATAAATAAATTGTGAGATTTTATTTTTTTGATAAATTTGATTATGTCGGGGCAAAATATTGCAGTAAAACTATGTGGAATATTGCAATCTAATGGCGATGATGGTATGATTTGCTTATATTTATTTCTTATCTTATGTATTATATTTAAACCTAAGCTAATAATAATGTCTTTTTATCAGAAGTAACAGCACGAGAATGGCGTTTGGTCGGTCAAGAACAAGACGGGGCGCAATTATTGACATGGATATCTGGCAAAGGCGAAGACGTGATGAACATTGGAGTATACATGAATAAAGCAAAAACTTTGACTACATTGTATACGTTTGAGGATAAACTTAATATAATACAGGCATCAGTAAATTCAACTCATAGTTTACTAGCTTATGTGGTAAAAGTTTTACCTCCTGATGACACCAGCGAGGATTCTAAAACTAAAGATGCTTTTTATCATCCCTACCTGGTGTCATTGTTGCCTGACAAAGTAGGTGTTCCAGAAGCTGTAGAAGAAGCTTCCACAAAGCAGATAATGCTACAATTTGTGTATGGAAAGAGCAATAAATATAGTCCTGGTATAAGAAACGACAGATTTTTGCTCTTTAAACACCTGGAATGTAAGTTTCATAATGGTTGTCACTTTTTTCTGCCTTTATTTTTAGTTTTTCTTATAACTATAATACTACTTATGTATTATTTAGACATCTTTACTTGCTTATCTATAAAATAGTACAAATAAATAAATATGTCATTAGAACCTGCTGGTTGCTAGCCATGCATTGTTTATTTCCTTTACTTAATGATATAACAAACATAATACACATAAGGACAATCTTATAATGGTCTTTCAAAGCAATAGTCAAAGTAAATCATTATTTATATCCGAAACCATTACTCATGTCTTCAATATATTATATGCATCTCACCTGAACTTCTGGGTGCCAAACATGTTAAATGTATAAAAAGTATAAAGGAATGGTACCTCAGAGATAGTATAAGTAATATAAAGGAAGGCAACACAAAAGGTGGAAAGATGATCTTCCAAAAGGATGTAGAAGATTGGTAAGGAGCCCTAAAGGATTGGCTAAATTTGAGGAGGCCTACGTCCATGATATTCTGACATATTTTTTAGCTTTACATATACTATTTTTATATTTTATGAATTTAAATTGGCATAATTAAATAGTTTAAAAATATATCAGATTAAGATAAGCTTATCTTACAAATTAAAATATATGCATTTTGGTATCATCTAACTGTTATTATTTCTCAGTGAATTAAAGGCTATGTTTATTTAATTTATTATTAATAATATATAAAAGGAATCTAAAAACAACCTATATTATCTAGAATAGGCTACATTGCATGTTGAGAATATAAATATATGGATGTTTAGAATATTATTACACATTAGTAAATATATAACACACAAATTTCAGGTATCAAAATATACCGCTCACCATTGTTTTTAAATGAATGTGACGATGGTTCTGAGAAATGGGGATTTGATGGCATTTATCCAGAACCTGAAACCATTGTCAATGTTTTTTCTTGGGCGCAATGGGACTGTGTGAATCAAGTAAGTATGTGTAGTTAGTCTTACATAATGAACTTAAGATATTCATTTTTTATTTATATATTTGTAATATAAACACATTTTGTTGAGTTGTGAAGTAAAAATTTATTTCTCAGGTCCTATTCTACATTCACTATCGACCACCAACTCAGAGTTTTGCGGAAGGTGAAGAAGTAAAATCGCCATCAGAACTCACACCAACACTTTCTGCCCTACAATTCCATGCTGATTTGCCTCATGAAACAGTGGTATGTATACATCATCACTAAGTATGTTAAAAAAGTTTCTTAGAAATAATGTATGTTTTAACAGTTAGTATGGAACAGATAGACTATATATTATATACATTTATACTGTATGTATGAATAAGTTGTATTGTGGGTTGTATTATAATGTTTTTTCCCGTGGGAAGTGGGGATGAGATAATCGCGATAAAAAGTATACATCACACGCCTATATCACTCTTCAGCCCTCCAACTATCTCCACACAAAACATCACGCGAATCCGTCACTCTGTTTGACGTAAAAGAAGGACAAACAAACACACTTTCAGATTTATAATATTACTAGCAGAACCCGCGGCTTCGCTCGCGCTAAAACTACAAAAAATCTCTAAATAGTTCCATACAAACTTTCATCCTCTATTTTACACCCTTATGGAATGAATTTCGAAAAATGTTAAAACACGTATTTATTTATTTTTATTGAAGAGCACTAATACCAAGTTTCATAAATATTTTTTTTGGATTGTATTATAACGTGTTTTCCCGTGGAAATAAGTAACCTCCCGCGGTAAAAAGTAGCCTATGCCACTCTCTAGCCCTCCAACTATCTCCACCCATAAAAATCACGTCAATTCGTCACTTTGTTTTGACGTGAAAGAAGGACAATCAGACAAACACACTTTCACATTTATAATATTAGTATGGAAGTATGGATATGGATTTTAGCATCTGAAACGCTTAATATGGCATAGCTTGTTTGAAGTTCTTCTTAAGTGTAAATACATTATAATGAATCTTAGCAAAAGAGCTTTTAAAATTTGTCTTAACTTTTCGTAATACATACATTATCCTAGAGAAATATTTTATGTACCGACATAAAGAACAGTCACTGTCCAAATAATCATGCGACTAGTGACGTCCACCCATGCCTTTGTTACTGCTTAAACGACGTCAAGAACAAAAAAAAGTTATTACCTTGAATTAGTTATAGATTCAATTTTATTTATAAGTAGGTAGCTATTTATTTTCATAGAACTGTTTTTAAAATTCTTATGTGCCCCAGCCTTACAAGCTGGTATAGGATATTGTTTATTCGTATATGAGATTGAATATATTCGTATCTACGGTTTCACAAGTAACTCATGTCATTCACATGGCGAGTAGTACAAAGACAAATGGGAGGCAATTATTTAATATTCAACCGCGTGAAGTCTCGTTTGCAAGGTTTAGCAAAATACAAAAAATGTTTTTTGTTCGCAAATAACATCTTCATGTTTAAATAATGAAATATTTGGGATGACAACTTCGTTTTACTAACACTTTTATGTATGTAGGTATGAAGTACCTGTATAGATGTGTAGACAGTAATTTTAGTAACTAATAAAAAGCTTATTAATTGTAGGTACTTTGAATCTATTAAGCTAGACTTAGGTACTATTAGATACTATTATTTACGCATGCTACCTCTAGACATACAGGTGGGTGGTGTTATTTGGGACTCACTGGCTTGGAAAGCCAGTACTAACCTTGGGTTTTCCAACAAAACCTCCCTCGTCTTAATGGGGCGTCGCAGGATCGCTTACGCACTCAACCATGACGCCCCGACAGCAGGTCTGCTGAAGCAGACCACACAACCAAGAGGTTGCTCCCACAGTCAACTTTGCTGTCAGAAAAGTATCAGAAGTGACTCGCATGGTACTCCGTCCACCGAAGTGAGCCACCTCCCAGTGTGTCTCTTGTCTTCACGCCCGGCTGGATTGCCGAATGAGCCCCCACCCCATCATGGCAAGGTGAACACACATCATGGGGATTAAGCCATTAACCTAACAGACACCGTACACATTAAAAAAATATATTTGAGTGCCTATAATTTTATTTTAGAAGATCACTAAAGTAAGGAAATAAATAGGTAAATATTGAATGGAAACAGACAGTATATTGAAAATTAATATATTTTTATCGAATAAAAAAAAATTTTATAATTCGTTTTTTGCCACTGTCCAAAAATATTTTTCAATATATTTAATGCAAAGTATTACAGTTTAGTCCACTCAAATAAGGTCTGAAATCAAAATTTTGGCACTCAACTTTGCATTTTGGATATAATGTAGTTTTAATGATACAAAAACAATGTGTAAAGGTTTTCGTATCTGCAACCCCCGGCAAGGGTTGAAAGAAAATTGTCAAAAATGCTTTTTCGCAATTACTCGAAAATGATAAAAAAGACAAAAAAGTTTTAATAAAAATGTGTAGATTTTAAAGTTTTATATAAAAAGGTTTGACGACTTTTTTTCCTCAGGTCAAAATTAACCGAGTTGGGAGATTTTAAGTTTAAGCGTTGAACGTAAATTTTAAAAAATCGTAGGTAGTAGAAAATGAGCGATTTTTTTAAATTGCTTAAAAAATCTAATCTTTCATTTTAGAGATACAGATTTGTTTTTTATTGTTAAAATCATAATATTATAATTTGAAATTTTGAAATTGAAATTTCAATACAAAAAAAAATAATGAATAATTTATTTGCCATATTTAGATTCCTCGTAAAATTTCCTAAATTTTACGATTGAAAAAATATTTTTATCTGGTATATTTCGGCAGGTGTGAATTTATACAGGTATAATTTATTTTTAATCCTACGCCGTTGTATTGAGTTTCTAAAATTAAAGATTAGATTTTAAGCAATTAACAAAAAAAAATTTGCTTATTTTTCTACTACCTACTCGTTTTAAAAATTTACGTTCATCCCTTTAACTTAAAACCTCCCTAACTCGGTTAATTTTGACCGGAGGAAAAAAAGTCATGAAACCTTTTTTGTGTAAAATTTTAAGCTCTACACGTTTTTATTAAAACTTTTTTGTTTAATTTTTACCGTTTTCGAGTAATTGTGAAAATACATTCTTAACAAATTTTTTTCAACCCTTGCCGGGGTTTGCAGACACGAAAACCTTTACACATTAAACATTAAAAACTACCTACATTTTTGGGGTGCACGAAAGGAGCCTCCCCGAGCGACGTATACAACGTATACAACCTATACGTCCGGCGCACCCTGGGCAATCAGAATCTATTAACGCTGATTGGCTAATCCTTTCACCACGATGGCAATCCAAGGTCCACTCACAAAACCTACTTTGTGTGTAGTCTCAATTAACATCGAAGGGTTCTCAGAAAGCAAATCAGAAATTCTTTCTGATCTATACCGCAAAACACAATGCGATGTCCTTTGCGTCCAAGAGACCCATCGAGATGAAACCCAAAGTCGGCCACACATTCCTGGACTAACGCTTATCGCCGAGATCTGTCATCCGAAGCACGGTAACGCAGTGTTTGTTGCTCCCGGCGTAAGCACCCTATCCACCAAATGTTCAACCCAAAATGGCATTGAACTTATCACCATCGATATTGGCAATTGTACAATAACATCAATCTACAAACCTCCTGGGACCAGTTTTCAATTTGACCCTCCAGAAAATTTTAACGACCAAACCGTCAAAGTTGTAATCGGTGACTTCAACAGCTGCAGCCCTAACTGGGGCTATATTGACTCTGATGCCGATGGACAAGCAGTCGAAACATGGGCTGAGACAAACGATTTGGGTCTGTTACATAATCCCAAGCAACCGACTTCCTTTAATAGTGGTCGGTGGAAACGTGGATACAATCCTGACCTAATCTTCGTCAATTCCTGCATCAGTTCCCAATGCTCAAAAAGCGTATGTACTCCAATCCCCCGCACTCAACATAGACCTATTTTATGCAGCATCGAGTCCGTTGTCCGACCTATGATTGTGCCATTTAAACGCCGATTCAATTATACTAAGGCTGACTGGGAGTCTTTTGCAAGTTCCGTTGACGACGCCCTCTTAAATCTGCTGCCAACCCCAGTAAATTACGACCAATTTGTCGAGACTGTACATCCATATCCCGGAAATACATCCCAAGGGGCTGCAGGACGTCTTACATACCAGGATTGTCGACAGAGTCCATTGATCTGTTGAGCCGGTATGAATCACTTTACCAGACGGACCCATTTTCGGAGGCTACCACAGGGGCAGGAGAGCTGCTGCTATCTACAATTGGAGAAAATAGGCGAGAGAGATGGGTCAATACTGTCACTAGTATTGATATGACTCACAACAGTAAGAAGGCATGGAACACCTTGCGCAAGTTGACGAACGAGCCTTCTCGACCCTTTCCTCCAAGCCAAGTTACCGCCAATCAAGTAGCCCATCAGTTGCTTCTCAATGGCAAACCAGCAGTTCGCCCCGAAAGAGTTCCTAAACTAAAGACATGTGGCAATCCTTGTGACACTATCAGCAAGCCGCTCATCCTTGCTGATGTTGTGACAGCGATTAAAGGTCTTAAGTGCGGCAAAGCCTCTGGAGTGGATGAAATATCGGTTGAGCAGATCAAACATTTTGGCCCAGTTGCTGTGTCGTGGTTGCTGCAACTTTATAACAACTGTCTGAAATCCACTTCAATACCCCGGCTCTGGAGAAAATCTAGGGTCATAGCTATTCTAAAACCAGGCAAGGCAGCAGATGACCCTAAGAACTATCGACCAATATCTCTTCTATGTCACACATATAAGCTTTTCGAGAGAATGCTGCTGAACCGACTTACGACTGCTATTGACCCTAAACTAATCCCGGAGCAAGCCGGTTTCAGGCCTATTAAGTCTTGCTGCAACCAGACCCTCAAACTCGTGCAATATATTGAGGATGGTTTCGAGGCAGGAATGGTCACAGGCGCTGTATTCGTCGACCTATCTTCAGCTTACGATACAGTTAACCTAAAACGTCTGCTGTGGAAGGTGGAGACCATGACAAATGACATGAATTTTGTCAAAATACTCCGAGAACTTCTTCACAACCGGCGTTTCCAAGTCCATCTCCTCTCAGAGAAAAGTCGTTGGAGATCACTAAAGAACGGACTACCCCAAGGTAGCGTCCTGGCTCCGCTTCTTTTTAATATATACACCAACGACCAACCATCTAGTTTAAACACGTCCCGCTTCCTCTATGCAGATGATCTTGCACTCACCTCCCAGGCCACCACTTTCGAAGAGGTCGAGGCGAACCTATCAAATGCTCTCACTAACTTAGATCAGTATTACTCCGCAAACTCGCTGAAACCAAATCCGAGCAAAACTCAATCCTGCGCATTTCACCTTCGCAATAGAGAGGCAGGGCGAAAACTAAACATTGTCTGGGGTGAGGTGTCTATTGAACACAGTAACTTCCCCAAATACCTTGGCATTACTCTGGATAGGTCATTCACCTTTCGTAAAAACTGCGAGAACATCAAGCAGAAAGTCCATAGCCGGAATCAAATCCTGCGTCGCCTAGTCACTTCTAAGTGGGGTACCTCGCCTGATGTTCTGCGAACTACTGGGTTGGCCGTTTCCTTCGCTGCTGGTGAATATGCGTGCCCCGTGTGGTGCCGCTCTTCCCACGCAAAACTAGTGGATACAGCGCTAAACGAAACGTGTCGTATTATTACTGGCTGTTTGAAACCGACTCCGATACCAATGCTGTACCCACTGGCAGGAATTGCGCCTCCAAAAGTGCGCAGAGCAGTGGCGAGCTCCAGTGAAAGGACCAAAATGGAACAAGACACGCGACACCCCTTGCACGACAACATCCTGGTGCCACAAAGGCTAAAAAGCCGTGAGATCGTGGCTGAGTTTTGGGCTGACTCCATTTAAAACTTGCCATCGACACGAAAAGAAGAAGAAGACCTACATTTTATCAAAAATGCAAAGTTGAGTGTTAAATTTTGATTTAAGATCTTATTTGACTGGACTAAGTTAAAGCCGTAAGTATTGAAATTAGCAAAATTGAAAATAAAATCATCTTCGGAAATAATTTGACTGGCTAATGCATGGTTCGCGACGGTTCGGACAGCACATCAGTTATCCCATATGATTTACAAGAGCATAGTAATGCGATCACCTGCGATTCCCATTGACCTCACCATAATGTTTTATTTATTACCACATTCGACGTTGCTTTTCTGATTTTACCATCTTAAATATTTAAAATTTTAAATCAACTTACTCGCTGTTTGCAACAGGGATAGCAATTTTGATTACTTCTTACGACATCACGGTTGATGAAGATCTATGAAGTTTTTGCGCAAGTGTTTATAAAAAGATATAACATTATAAATTATATTATTTTAATGATGAATTAAATTTACTAAATTTTATTTGTGACTATAACATATGATAGACTTAAAAACCGAAAACACTAGTTTTGCGAGATAAGCGAAGACCAAGCTTGCGCTGAGGTCCTTATCACTTGTGGCCACAACGCGTTGCATTTAGTAAGAAATTTCATAGCATGTTCTAAACGTTAGCACGTGAACCGTATTTCCCGCCTTACATCGTTTGATTTGTGCCAATTTTACCTTATCATCGATATACCGTATGAAACGTAAATTCTCGCAACAATAATTATATATAAGAAATTAAGAGATTTTTAGGGAAAATTTCAACTTTCGAAGTGAACATTTAAAAACAATATTAACAAAACTCTTAACAACTTGCATATAAGTTTCAGTAAAATGTATTTTGAACATTCATTTGTATAAACTTCAACCTTCACCAATGAAAGGCTTCACAACCCCGGCATCGGTCGACAGTGTGCTCTTGAGTGATCTTTAAAGTACCTATTGGCCATTATCTTATTATTATGTTACTGTGCTTAAGTAAATCACTTGAATTAGTTAGACTTGTTGTATATACTTAATTCAAATTTTAATATTTATTTACTTACTAGCAGAACCCGCGGCTTCGCTCGCACTAAAACTACTAAAAATCTTTAACAAAGTAGTTTCATACAATCCTTCATCCCCTATTTAACTCCCATATAGGATGAATTTCAAAAAATGCTAAAACACTTATTTATTTAATTTTATGAAGAGAAGAGCATAAGTCCCAAGTTGCAAGTAATTCTGATCGTAAATATTTTTTTTGGATTGTATTATAACGTGTTTTCCCGTGGGGAAGACATAATCTCCTGCGGTAAAAAGTAGCCTATGTCACTCTCCAGCCCTCCAACTATCTTCACACAAAAAAACACGCCAATCCGTCGCTCCGTTTCGACGTGAAAGAAGGACAAATAAACACAAAGTATGGATTTATGTATGTGTATTGGTCCATAAAACAAATGATAATCAAACGCATATAAAATAACAATTGCTTACAAAAATAATACACAAGATTGCATTTATCTATTAACAATAACTAAAAAACTAAAAAAATATGAATTAATAACAACAGCTATTAAACTAAACAATTTGCTTTAATTTTTTACGTCACCAGCCATTGTCAAAAATTATGTGATTAATACCTAATATAATTTATACCTAGGAACTAATTTCCTGAACACTATGGCGTACATAAATGAATGTTATCAAACCGCAAGACATTTTATTACTTTATTTGCAAAGTAAAGGTTTGGTATTAACATGTATTAAAATTTTAAAATATGTTGTTTTATGGCCTCTCAAGTTGTGAGATCACAAGGTCCATTCCATGTAGTGAATATAGTATATAATATGATGAATTAAATTACCATACTAGTATATATGCCGTTAAATTATTATAATCACCCGGAGTTTTATCAATCGTCTCCTTTTCTTACAATATCACGGGACAATTTTTGGTAGGTATATTATAATTTCACTAAACATATTCAGTGAAATTGTGATATTGAGATTTTTACAATTTCACGAAATGATAAAAGCCGTTAAATTGTGAAGCGGTCACTGATTGGTCAGATTTAGACATCTTTATTGATGCGCAGCATGGACCACAGACTTAGTAAAATAAAGGAATAGAAATGTAATATTTTTAATTATTCATAGGTTTATTAGTAATTATAAGTAATGAACATACACGGGGCTGTTAAATAGAGAGGTTCTCGACTTCCCTGCGAGCTTTGATCCATCAGTCGTGTTCAGAATGTATAACTTAACTTTCGATTTTCCCCTAGATTCGCTCGGGTGCGTCTTTGAATGCCTAATAATAGCCTATGTATTATTTCAGGTCACAATCTACATATATGTGTACTGAATTTCATTCAAATTTATCTACCTATTTCAACGTCAGAAGTAATAAATAGTAAATCCATACTAATATTAAATGCGATATAGGCTATTTTTACTGCGGGAGATTAATCTCATTCCCACGCGAAAACACTTTATAATACAACCCAAAAAAATATTTATGATCAAAAACACTTGAAACTTTGTATTAATGCTCTTCAATACAATTAAATAAATACATGTTTTAGCAGTTTTCGAAATTCATTCCATAAGGGGGTAAAATAGGGGATGAGTTTTAGCGCGAGTGAAACCGCGGGTTCTGCGAGTAAGTAAAAAATACAAACTTGGACATTTATAATAGAAGATGAAGATATTTCTTAGTACAATTCATCCCTCCAGCTCAACATCCCTCTGAGTTTGCCTCACGTGCCGGGGGCGCACGGTGCGGCGGCAGCATGCGGCTCGTACGAAGATGACCCCATACCCCTGCGCGTGCACGACTGTAGCTTGGACCTCTACATCGTATGCGACCAGCGAGGCTTACTTTGTGTGTGCCATCATTATCTTTATAAGGTATTTGGTATATGTTTTACATATTTTTTTCTTTTTATTTTGCGTCCGGGTTCAGATGACCAAAAACCAAATTCTTAGGTTTTACATATTAGTATACTCTTACATTGCAGTTTTTTTATTTTTTCTCAGAAATGCGACATTTTCCCGCGATACTTTTTATCCTATATATTGACCCGGATAACCAGCTATCACCGTACCAAATTTCATCAAAGTCCCTCCAGTGTTTTTTCTGTGATGCGGTAACATACAGACAGAAAAAAAAAATCTAAAAACTATAGATTCGGCCTCTTCATCGATAATTAATGTACAGTTTCTGCTTATTTACAATTTTATTATGTGTATAGATTGTTTACTAGTAACATGTTTTATCACAAGTTTTTAATATACGTAATTTTTTGCGCTTCTTAGTGCACCCCATGTGATGTGAGTCCTATGCACCCTATGACTCGGATCTATATAAAATGGATACTCTTTGCAGGCTTTCTTTCCATGAGCTTCAACATGTACATACATTGTACAATGTACGTAGCTTGATGCTTACGATACATTAGTACTCGTGACAATTTTTATGGCCTAATTTATGAGTCAATGGCAAACAGCTAAAGGAACTTTGTTCTTACGGGTGTCCCAAGATACCTATCGTAAATAATAATATTTAAATTATTTTTTTTAAGTTAATTTAAAATTGCTTAAAACTTTCCTACTTAAGAAAAAATGCAAAATTAAATCTGGTTATGTTTTCAGCCATTAGATGACTCTACAAGTTCTCTGGTGCTCGATGATGTAGATTTAAAAGATTCGGGTGTTAATTTCGCATATTCTGTGACGTTGCTGCACCACGGCTGTGTTGTGCACAGTGTGGTGCCCGACCTGCCGTGGTCCCTCGCCAAGTCACTGCGTCCATCGTATATATTATATAACGGTAAGGATAAATAGCTATCTAATAATTTCATCTCTGTTGTACACACAATGACAAAACACATGGTCTATTCATACATGTCATACGTATTTTAATTTTTAATACTTATTATGTTTTAATTTTCCTGTTTTTGTGATTATTATAATATTAACTCTCTAAATAGCTTTGATATAATACGACTTTGATTTTCTCAAAAACCATTTTTTATTTAAAATTAAGTCCCAAATCCATCCCAAATTTTTAGGACTATTTTATATTCCACAATACAGTATCTGTTATTAAGTATGTAAAATAGCTTTTTCTTATCAGAAATACAGATCAAAATATCAACGAAACTCTAAAAAAGAAATGACTTTTCAGATAACCAACTTTTAGTAAACATACCGATGCTATTCACTCATCTAATAGACATAAGTCCCCATCACGAGCCATGCTGTCATATAGTGATACCCATGGAGCCGAGTGATAGTGGGCCCAGCCTTGCCCCACTGCTGGGATGGGGGCCTCACAGCATGGTGGATTTGAACACCCTAGATGTGGTCACTATGGCTATCACAGACAAGGATCTAGCTACAACGTTCAAAAGCTACACGGGAATAGAAAACAAATTGGCTATAATGCATTATTTGATACAACATGAGAACAACATGGATTTGGCAGAAGAGGTAAACATTTTTATTGCTTAATTCATTTAGTTTATTGAATGTTAAGATATTATGAGGTTTGTAGTCTTTAGAAAACCTCCATTTTGTTATAATAGAAAGATATTAAATTAAAATGTTTCGTTTTTGTTTTCATTGATTATATTAATTGATATTGTTTGTTTGCTTGAATGTGTTAATCCCAGGAACTACTAATCCGATTTGAAAAATTATTTTTATTTTATTATAAAATTTCTATATATCATCATGCTACTACCCAAGGGAGTGGAGCAGTAATCATATATATCAACAAATCGGGTAGACTTCCATACATTATTATAAAATTTATGTTTATATCGGAAGTTTGAACACGGACGAAGCCGCGGGTACTGCTAGTATATAAATAAATAAAAAATAAAGCTTTTTTTTAAATAAAGGAAAAAACGTTATTATAAAATACAACGAGTATTGGTGGTTTGAACATATAAGCACAATTGCCGTGCCACAGCTGATCTCGTGGCTGTGCGTGAACCAGCGCGACGGCGCGGGCGCGCTGCAGCGCGTCATGCAGGAGTACCTGGTGGGCGCCACGCACGCCGTCACTCGCCGCTCGCTGCCCGCCTCCGCCGCGCCGCTCATGGCCTGGCTGCCGTTCACTCTGCATCTCAAGTTTGCTGATATTAAGGTTTGTATATCTTTTGGGATGAAGTTGGCCCGGGCCTGCCTTGAATAAGAGGGTCATATTCAGGCAATAGTGTACGCTGGCCAAGTGCTGGCGGACTACACAGTGCACATGTCTTTCGAAAACTTGCTAGGTTCTTTCAGATGGAGGTTTTGCTACACCGTAAGACAAGTGGTAATGATTTGAACTCGATTCACTTGGTTTTCCAAGCGAGCGCATTACCACTGGACTATTAATGTCTTAGTAGTACTAATTATTATTAGAGTTATATGTGTCGTTTAACTCCAAACAAAGGTAAATTAATTGTATGTAATTGCGAGATATAAGACAAAAATGGATTCTCAACATAATTCACGCTTTCATATTAAAAGAAAATATTTATTAATAACGAAAATAAACAGTAAATAATCGAATACAACAATCAAAACAAATAATAATTAGTCCCATAAACTTAAAAAATGCATTATTTATTTGTATTTAACTAAGTTTGATTCAACATTGCGAGATTTATCCATTATTGAAAAAACGAAGTGTAGAATAATCTAAGTTTGATAAAATTTAATTGTATTTACCAAGATTTGAATTCATACTAATATTATAAACGGGCAAGATTTGATTTTTTGTTTGTTTGTTTGTACCGAATAGGCTCCGAAGATAGTTTGAGATCCTGGAAATGACATAGGATAGTTTTTATCCCGGAAATCATCCCTTAAAGTCGTGAAAATGGGGATGAAAGTTCGTATGAGGAATCAACCTAGGGACGAACCCACGCGAAGGGAGGGTGAGTCGCTAGTACCTATATTATATTGTGTGCGCAGGCGGGGCGCGCGTCGGTGTGCGTGTCGGCGTGCGCGCTGTGGCGCGGCGCGGGCGGCGCGGCCGTGGTGCTGGCGCCGCGGCAGCGCGTGGCGCAGTTCGCGGAGGACGTGTGGACGCGGCTGTGGGGCGCGCTGCACGCCGCCGCCGCGCCGCGCGCGCGCCTGCGCGTCTCCGCCGTCGCCGACCGCCTCGCCGTCACGCTCAAGTGCTACCAGGTGCGTCACGGTGCGACACCGTGATAGACGTTTTTCTGTGATGCTGTAACAGACAGACAGACAAATATTCTTAAAACTATAGGTTCGGCCTCTGTTAGCGATAATAATGTGTATTTCAATAAGATTTTCCAAAAAATATTTAAAGCACAGATACGGCTTCATTAAATTTTAATGTATCTATAGATGTAACTTTTTTATAAAGCCAAAAAGATTGTTTTTTGATAATTTGAACACGGGCGGGGCCGCGGGTAATTTAGTAGTAATTCTAATAAAATCATAGAAAGGTCTAATTTGTACATTCAATTTTTTGGAATTAAAACTACGTATTTTAAAGACATATGGCGACATCTATTGACAAATATCTAAATAATACAAAAATAAATATTCATTAAAATAACTTTTTTAATGAATAAAATATACTTTTTCAATATTAGCTATTTTTAATAGTTTTTGTCATATTTTGTACGTTAACTTGCTAAAATGTATATAGTATCATTGTTTTTTTTATTCTAACCAGTTTTTATATTTTTTTCTCAGAAATGAGATATTTTTCTGCGGTATAAAGTATCCTATATGTTGACCCGGATAATCAGCTATGACCATACCAAATTTGATCAAAACCCGTGCAGTAGTTTTTCTGTGATGCGGTAACACACAGACAGACAGACACAAAAATTCTAAGAACTATAGATTCGGCTCTGTATCGATAATAATGTCTATTTCAATAAGACTTTTTAAAAAATATTTAATGTACAGATTTGATTCAGAATTTTATTAGGTATAGATATGCCCCTAAAGCGGGCAGGGGAGAGTGTGGCTAGGGTGGACGGAACGCGTGCGAATTTAGGTATTTCCTTCGTATTATTAAAACAAATATACATTTTGAAAATGTACAGTGTATACGATATAGAAAACGTATAGCTTTGTTTTTATTAAAAAACTGATGAACTGCCTTGAATTATTTACGCCGCACTAAGGGTTTATTTTGTTTATTAGAGATCATTTTGAGTTTTTTTTTCTATCGAGGAAACTACAAGTAATCGTTTTTCTAAAGTATACGATTTATAGAATAAATCCGTAAATATTGTACATATTAATTGCATAATTGAAGTTTTAGTAATAACAATACAGCAAGGGATCAAACGAACGCAATTATTTCGTAATCACGTATCGCTGCCTCGGTACGCCCTTAATCCTTAGTTTAATATTATGAACACGTCAGCCGGAGGCGCTATCACGCTGCACCACGCCGATGTCGCCGAGCGCGCCGGCGCCGCGCCGCGCGTCCCTCGCGCCGCACGACGCGCTGCCCTTCGTCGAGCTGGACGTGTGCACCACCAGCCGGCAGGAACACGTTATTGCTGCGGTAATATATACTATATTTATTAACTAGCGTTGCCTGCGGCTCCGCCCGCGTTCAGATGACCAAAAACCAAATTCTTAGGTTTTACATATTATATACTCTTACATTGCAGTTTTTGTATTTTTTCTCAGAAATGAAATATTTTCCCGCGGTAAAAAGTATCCTATATGTTGACCCGGATAACCAGCTATCACCATACCAAATTTCATCAAAATCCCTCCAGTGGTTTTTCTGTGATGCGGTAACAGACAGACAGACAGACATTCTAGAAACCATAGATATGGCCTCTATATCGATAATAATATTTATTTCAATAAGATTTTCCAAAAAAATATCTAATGTACAGTTTCGGCTTAGTTACAATTTTATTATATGTATAGATAACTGCCTCGGTGGTCTAATGGCTAACATGTACGGCTGAAGATCGGGACGTCCTGGGTTCGAGTCCCTGGTTTGGGCCAGGTTTAGTTACAGATTAAAAACCTTCCAACCAAAGCGTGTATTTTCACTTCCCCTCCTCCGCACATCTTAATTTTGCCGTGGAAACCTATCATTGTCAAATTAAGCCTCTTAGTATCTTTATTCATATTGTAATATTGTGATGTATTATTGTGATTGTTGTAATATCAATTTCATTACTGCTGTGCACTAACAAAAGGTTTCTCTAATTTTTTTTTCTAATGAGATTTAAATAAGGAAAAATGTTTGTTAAGAAGTTAGAAATATAGAAACTGGTCTTTAAACTCTTTTTTAGTGATTTTCCATATTATTGTTGAAATTCAGTTACAACAATAATTTTTATGTTCATTCATTCGTTCATCCATACAGTATAAGTGATAGGTATAGGTAAGTAGGTAAAGGCGCCTATATATTTTAACAGAAATGCAATGGGTTGTCAAAGAATACTAATTTTCGTGGCGAACCATATTCAAGATAAATATAAAAATACTATAGTGATATCTCGCTGTTATATCCGACGTTCCTAAAGCCGTTTTCCAACGGTTAAGTATGTATGAGTGTCGGGTGCACTTTAACAGTGTCACCTCACATGTATGTCCCCACAATTGCTCTGTCTAGATGTCTTCGTCAGATTGTTTTTTTTATTGCTAGACAGGCATGCGCTTTATGACAAACGACGCCGGGAAGCGCTGATGAGGTCTAGACTCTAGGTTGGAGCGCGCTTGCTTAGAAGAAGCCGATTCACTCTTGTCTTGAAGTTACTTATATTATAGGTGTCAGGAAACACCTGCACATATATATGAATGGTAGTATAAGTAATACGGTGCACGGTGTAGAACCTGCGCGCGGTGAGCGTGCACCTAATGACGGAGGGCGGCGCGCTGGAGAGCGGCGTGCACGCGCTGGCCACGCGCTGGGCGGCGGCGCAGCTGGACGCGGCGCGCGCGCTGTGCCGCGCCGCCGTGCGCGCCGTCGCGCCGCCCGCCGCCGCCGGCGGCTACCACGTGCGGGGATTCCCCTTCGTGTATGCCTTACCGTTCTTATGCGTGTCTTGTCCACTTTTTTTGTGGTTGTTTTTGGAGTTATACTTCTTTTGGCACGTTTGGAAAAAATTATAAGAGTAAAATTTTTACACCGACAGGAAAAAAGTGACATGATGAATGAATTTTACAAACGGAGGGTTGCGACATACGGGATGTAATCTTTAGCTATTTTTGTTCTGTTACGTCAAAGAAGTATAACTTCTTACGTGCGTACATAAGTACAGACACACGTTTTTTTTTCGTTTATGCTTCCCTTACTGTTATCATACGTGCGTTGCCGACTTTTTTTGTGGTTGTTTTTTTTGGGGATGCTTCCTTTACTATTATCATACTTGTGTTGCGGATTTTTTTCTGGTTGTCTTATTTTGTTTATTTGGTTGTTGCGTGCCAAGAGACGCCTCTTACTCTTGTCATACGTGTTGAGGTTTTTTGTATTTGTTTTATTTGCTTTTTTCATTGTTGCACATTTGGTTTTGATTGTAGTATTTTTTTTCATGGTGGCACTATTCATTTACATATTTTAGTTTAATGTAACATTCATTTACATATTATTTTGTATGGATTGGTTTTTTCTGTTTAGTGTTATTGCTTCATGTGTTTTTGTTGTTCTATAGATTAAGTGTCGATTTCATGTGGGCTATTTTTGTTCTGTTATGCATCATTGTTTACATTTTTAAGCTTATATTGTTTTGTTTTTTGCTTTAGTTTTTCGTTTTAATTTATCTGTTTTTTTTTATAATCATTTATTTGTATGAAAAAGCAATAATTAAAAAAAGTATATTTTTTATTAGATACTTTGTAGCAGTTCTTGGTTTATTTAAACAAATTAAAACTTTAATTTAATAAATAAACATTACAGAGATGAACTGGATCCGACACACGCGTTATACCTGTTCAAGACGCTGGAGCAATACTACGTGGCGACGGACTCGATCGCCTTCCCGCTGCCGCAGGGCTTCAGCTCGTTCTTCACGTACCTCGGCTACAGGGCGCTGCCCTTCCACGCCTTCGCGCAGTACGTGCACCGCAACGTGCTCGAGCTGCAGATCGACGTGCTCAAAGCTATTATAGCTAGTGAGTTGTTTCTTATTTTCTAATGCCTTTGCGATTGTAATAAAAATTATGATTTATGAAATGATACTTTTTTAGAATCGTTGTGATTCGAAATTCGATGAAACGGAAATGCGATACTAAAAAGAGATAAACACATACATAAATGTATGTGTTTATCTCTTTTTAGTATCGCAGTTTTTTATGCGGGTACAGGTTAATCGCTTAAAAGTTTAGTTGAATGTGATTCATATAAAAATAATGCATTTGCATAACAGTTTGTTATTTAAAAAAATATTACATTTAAGTATAATTTATTTACATTTGATCATATGTATACATAATACATATTCTAAATTGAAGTATTTGTTCCAATATTTTTTGTTTGTTCGAACGCGTTTATCTCTAGAAGCATTAACGAGGTTCGAAGAAACATTTTTAGTTTATTTATTGGTAAAGGTATAGTCTATCATTACGCTAAGACTCTTACGAGCCAACAGACTAATATTATAGATACTGTATGTCTGTATGTTACTCATTGCTATGAAAATTACTCACTTTACGCTGAAACTGAAACGAATTTGGATGGAAATTAGTTTATAGATACACTATGACCTAGACTCTAGAGTAACACACATGTTACTGTTGGGCATTTTATTATAAATATATAAACTACTAGTGATTAATCCTCGTTTTACTCGGGTTCATCCCTAGCTTGCTTCCCAATACAAACTTTCATCCTCATTTTCATCGCCTTAAGGGACGATTTCTGGGATAAAAATCCTGTGTCCTTCCCAGGGTCTTACACTATCCTCTTACCAAATTTCATCTAAAGTTCAGTAGATCCAGAGATTACCCCCTACAACGTCACAAACTCACAAACTTTACCTCTTTATAATATTAGTATAGAATATAGGCGAAAGCTATTATAAATCTAATATATATATGTAACGATCGTATAGCAAAGGACATTGACGCGCGCACGGTGGACAACAAGCTGCGGCTGATCCAGGCGGTGGGCGAGGCGCGCGGGCGGCGCGCGCTGGCGGCGTGGCCGCACCGCGCCGCGCTGCTGCTGCGCGCGCGCGACCACGCCGCCGCGCTGCTCAGCGGCGGGCCCGCGCCGCGCCGCGACCGCGCGCCGCACCGCCCCGTGCACGACACGGGTCCGTCTCACCGACACATACACACTTACACATACATACATACACATTCGACGACATGGTGCTGGTCACCCTACTTGCTGTGCCAGCGGTCGTGTGTTCGAGTCCCGCTGGGGGCACTCATTGTGTGATGAGCACGAATGTTCGTACTCCAGTCATAGGTGTTCATATTTATAATATGTATTTAGTTGAAATTACATATGTGTAGTGTATCTACTGTCTGGTATCCATAACACAAGCCTCGTAGCCAGTACTTCCCACTAAAACCAAACAGAACGTCCCCCGACATAATGGGGCGTCACAGGATCGCTTACGCAAACGTCCAAACGACCAATTTTACGAAAGAATTTTTAATACTACAATTCTATTTACATACACAAGGTTTTTGTTGCACTGTTTGTGTTTTGATTAGTGTGTTAAAAATGTTATATATATTTAAATAAGCAATAAATAAATATATTAAATATACATTTTACTTTAAAAAAGTTGAAAATGCTTATCGGTAAATATTGCAAAAATCGTAGGAATAAATCTTTATTTTTGACATAGAGAAAAATACGTCTCCTTTGAAGTAAAACATGTATTGGTCATTTGAACAATTAGTACTAAGACGACGATAGTATAGTGACACGCTTATACTAATTAAACTTATTACTGACGTTTTTATTGACAGATCTTATGTCTTTCTTCATTCTACGTGATATGGACGAAGTAATCTGTGCTGAACTGTCACGTTTCGAAGTTATTAACAAACAAAAATGAATTGAATAAGGGCACTCGTATACCAGTTAATTCTTCTACTAATGACGCGCATATACTAACACTAATATTTTATTGGTATACAGTCATACTCTTATACTAAAGATCCTCCTATACAGGAGATACTCGTATATCAGTGTCAATGCTAATGATTAGAGAAGCCACGAATAGTGATTTGGCCGAATAACGAATATTCGGCGAGGCTCTTAGCCGAAGCGCCGAATATTCGGCAACACTTAGTACTTCCCGCGGGTGACAAGTCACAGCTAGGGATGTGCGAATAATTCGAACTCACGAATTATTCGTTCCGAATCCGAAACGTACGTTTACCGTTAGAAATCAAATCAATTAATAATTTTATTGATGTTCGAATAAACTGGTCGTTGAGTTGCTTTATTTACGCTGACTAAACGATGTGAAATAAAGTAATAATATCATAAATACAAAAGGCGCTTAAGGACGCACCCAAACGAAGCGAGGGTAAATCGCTAGTACCTTCTACAATGTAGATAATATGAAGTTAAACTATTTTTCATATATTATTATTTGTAAGGGCTTGGTAAGTTGGAAAGAGGCGGCAACAGGACGCCGGAAGACACCGCAGTGTTTGCCATAGTAGCTTGGCGCTAATGCAAATATTTATTCATAAAACGAACCAAAATCGCTAAGCAATGACACCAAAATAACTAGTTTTAAAACCGACACACCCCGCGCTATGATGTTTTTATGACACTATATACAGAAACTCGAATTTACAATAATTCGAATTATTCGATTCGAACGATATTCGCACACCCCTAGTTCCAACTCGTCACTTACGAGTTTAAAGTTGCATTGCTGAAGTAGTACGTAGGCGCTGGAAGTTTTGCTTCATTTGTTATTAGGTCTGTTTTCGGAAGCAGGTATAATTTATGAGGAAAAACGCAATCGTTTGCTATCAATAAATGCTGAAAAAAGTGCTGTCTGTTTGTCTCGCCGAGGTTTAAAAATGATAGGAATAGAGAGTGCACTTGTATGCATTATAATTTATATCTTGGCATAGTAAAAAATGCCGCCCTATTATCGAAATTTTTGAATAAAATCCGAATTTTGTAAACTCCGAATTTTGCCGCCCCTAAACATTTGCCGCCCTGGGAACTAGCCCCGCGTACCCCTAGTGTAAATACAGCGCTGGCAGTTGGCTAGTCTCAGTGAGATTGGCCACCGTGACTAAAATCAATTTGGTAATAATTTTGTAACCTTGAAATATTCCTTACATATAAATATAAATTTAAAATATAGTTAATTTAAACTATTTATTAAAGTTATTTTTTTTTCAGGTATAGCAGCGCTACCATCAGGTGAACGTTTGTCCCCTTTAGACACGTTCCTAGACCTCCTGACTGCGAAAGCGAGTCTCAATGAACTGGATTTCAATCTAATCATCGAGGCGACGTTGGCGTCCGTACAACAAGATACTATTGCATAGATATAACAATAACTCCAGTTTGAAATATACTGTAACTGCTAAGTAACATAACATCGTCTGTCCGTGATTCCAAAATAGCAACTCCAGCTTATTACTTGGTGTATAATGCTTATCAAAATGTTATCCTTTTGTATATGGAGCGTAGAAGTAATGCCGTCATAAGAAAGAAGGCCGTAACTAACAATTTGGTCAAAAATGACTTATATGAAGATTCGAACCAGCGAAAAAATGCTACTTGATAGTCTTACGAATAAACCTCTAAGTCTTATGAATCCGGAGATACTATAATAACCATTTTAATCGTAACTACGTCTAAATTAGTAGTATTTTTGGTTTAATAGTAAGACAAAACTTCAAGTATCTCGAAATCAACTTGACGAAGTTACGGCCTTCTTTGTTATGACGGCATAAAGGAGTACTATCTCTGTGTATGAAAGTTTCCGTGAAAACGCGTCCAACAAGGGTGGCGCTGCGGTAGCGTAGGATACATTTTAAAGGAAGCGCCAAAAGTAATTACAGTAAGATAGAGATATAAACAATGACCGGATTGGACACTACGTCTACAATAAACTAAAACTAAATAATTTATATCGTAGTTTTTCAACATACAGGTGGACACGTTTTCAAGTTATCTCCCATATAAGTGAATCCTCCTTACCTCCATACTTTTGTAAACTGCTAACTAAAGGAATGTATCTAATCAGTAGCCTAAAGTTATTGGCGTGATAAGATTTTCCAAGTGACAAGGAGGAACTAACTGATTTTATTATTATACAGCATTGATATATAAAAACATAGACCGCATTTCCTAACAGATATCTCTTTAAAAAGTGGCGTCGACATGTAACGTTAAGAATAAAATTCAAAAAAAGAATTCAAAAATCAAAAGCGCACACTTTTGAATTGTGCGGTTCTTTTTGAGGACACTTGAGATATGTATATTAATGATTATAAAGTAATTTTCAATGACCGATAGCAGTATGGTAGTTGTAGGGCAGTCGTCTCGATGCGGGTTCATCGGAAACCGTATTCAAACCATACAAATAGAATACCATTGTTTTCAAACTATATCTTATTATTGTAGTTTAAAAAATACCTAGGAAGTTGTAGATTATAATCCAAATATTAATAAACAGTCTTCCCAAGCATCACGGGGATGAGAAAAGTGAGTTTTGATAACCAAATATTATATTTAATGGGTAATATTAACTAGTAGTAATATACGGGAAAGTAAAAAGGGCTTACATGTATTTCGTGTAGATCTTAGATGCACAGTAATAATTTAATATATAGCACAAAATGTCATTTCATACAGCCTATTCCACTTTTAAATGTTGTCATTGGTTTAAAAGTATTCTTCTCTTTTTAATGTTCTACTGCTGGGCACGGGCCTGTCTTCAATACAAACTGGACTCAGAGTCCACCACTCTTTTTTTAAATTGGGAAATGCATTTACGTATACCACCTATAGAAATATAGGTGTTATGTGGGACTCATCGGCTAGAAAAGTCAGTACTACCCACTAAACCTCCGTCTTAATGGGGCGTCGCAGGATTCGACGCCCCTACGGTAGGTCTGCCGAAGCAGACCACAACAACCATGGGGCTACTCCACAGTCCACTCTGCTATCAGAGAAGTACCAGGAGAACCTGCATGGTACACCTACCACTAAAGTGGGCTACCTCCCTGTGCATTTCTTAGCTTCGCGCCCGGAAATTTTATTTTTTTAGTGTTTTTATAGAATGTATTTTTAATACTTGAATTTTTGTTTAAAAACATCTGATTGTCATTGTTACAAATAATACTAGTCGATAGTAATTTAAATATTAGTAGTTTATAAAAATAGCAAACATTAGCATCCAATAATATCATTCATGAGAAAAAACCAAAATCAAATTTTAGAATAAGCTTTTTTCATTATAAATTATTATGTAATTTAATGTGCAATATTTTTATTTGAGTGCAATATTTATTGTGTAATGTGAGATTTAATAAAACATTCCATTATATATAAGGCTTTTATTTAAAATGTACTGCACATGTGTACCATCTATACATATAATAAAACTGTAGAGTTCGAATATCTGTACATAGAAAAAAAATGCTAAAAATCGAGTCAGGGGAATGTGAAAAGTGAAATAGAACTAATCCAGATTTTTATCAATTTTTTTTCTGTTTGTTTGTACGGGATAATCTTTGAAACTGTCAGACCGATTTAAATGAAATTTTGCATGATGGTACCTTATATGCCCGGTCAACATTCTAGATACTTTTCATCTCGAAAATTAAAGAGTTCCCATGGGATAGTTAAAAAACTATAGTAACTTGTATAGCTTAGTACACAACTTATGAACCTCATTAAGTAAAATTTGGCATGCTGATACCTTATATTGCTTACTTTTTATCCCGGAAAAATGGATAGTTCCCGTGGGATAGATGTGTACTTTTCTAGAGACAAACCCGAGCAAAGCGAGTGTGAGCCCCTAGTTATATAATAATAATTTGAGGGGATGGGATAAAAAGTACTTCTGGACTATAACCTATTTTTGTGCCAAAATCTAAATCCATTCAGCCGTTCTGGTTTGATTGAGTAACATATCCATCCAAACATCTAAACTCACATTTATTAATATAGTAAGATTAGGCATGTAAACAAAAGTAGCCTCTAAATCCAAAATCTAATCCATATCACTTCATTCAGAATATTGCTATGTAGAAAGTTAGAAAGAAGTATTAAGTAACACATACAAGTATTCACTCACTCACAAACTTTTAAATTATTAAAAATCTAAAAAATTTTAAACTTTATTACATATTAAGCATATATTGCTCTAATTCTAGTTATAGAAGGGGTTGTATGTAACCCAATGTGCTCTCTTCTGTTCTTTATCGTTCTTATGTGATGTAAATAGTGATTTAAATACTTCACTTGTTTGCGGGTCTTTGGCTACACTGTAGTCTTTTTTGGTCTTTTTATATGAAGGGTCCTGTTCTAACTTTGTGGGGTATGCCCTTTTGCTCGATCCAAAATGACCCCTAGTTTGTTTATTAGGATTAAATTTAGGCAACGATAGAGGAATTGTGTCCATCTCCTTTTTTACACCACTACTACTACTCCCTTCCCCTGGGTCGACCTCAGCTTTAACTTCAGTAGATGTAGATGGGACTTCTGTAGATGTTGGTGGCTCACTTTTAATTTCTTTCTCTGTTTTATCGGCTTTTGGTTTTTTTGACTTTCTATTTGCAACTCGAACTGCCATTTTTTCTTTGAGTATCTCTATATCTTCATCAGTTCCATTGAGTACAATTACATCATTGTCAGTAAATGGTTGTTGGCACTGGAATAAATTTTTATAAAAATATATAACCAAATTGATATGGAAATATATATATTAAAAAAACAAATTTTCTAAATTGAGCACTTGTATACTCACCATATGGCAAAGATTTTGCTTTACTTCTTTGAGAGCTCTTTCAGCCAGGACGCATCCACAGCTCCATAAGAAAATAAAGCGAAACTTTCCAGTCATTTCCAACCCACTGATGGGGCAAATGTATGGTGCACTTCCATCTCCTACAGCACCATCTATGTGTTCCGTTTTAGTGTAGGCTGGATTTTTTGTAAGTTTGAGATCTTTAATGTCCTGTAACAGAAAATAAATATAGAACATACATATTTTTTAACCATTTTCTAGTCATTGATCTTTTAGTTAACTTAGAAGCTAGAGAAGCTGATTACCTTCATGTTTTTGATGTGGTTGATAGATTCTGGTTTCCTTTCTTTATCCAGTAAGGCCTCGAGCACAGAGCTCTTACTATAAAGACGTCCTAAACCGCATGCCACTACTGGTTCTTGTAAAGGTTGTTGTGATAAAGCGCAATTGCGCCATTTAAAAGAACGTTCAGCATCTTTATCTTTCTAAAAAATATAATTATTTTGTGTATAGTATTTATACTTAAATGAAAAAAAAACAATAAATCAACACATATTATAGTTAATTCTTACTTGTTCAGGTTTCTTCTTCAATCTAACAAGTTCATCTCGTCGTGGAATAGTGCCACCATCACAACCCATAATGAAACTTTAATTTAGATACCTACAATGTAAGAATATGATAACAAGTATCTGTAATAAAATACTTTCAGTTGTTGGCTTTTCTTAACACATTACTTTCATTTATATAAAATTCGAAAGGTAATACGTACATGCAAGTTTACAAATAAAATCATGGATGAATAAAATCATTTAATTAATCAATGACAAACTATCACTATGACAAATTGTACCATAGATTAAAAATTAAAAATATACGATGTCGACAATGAGACGTCATGATCACAGAATAAATAGAGATGTGAATTTTGGTATTACGCTAGGCATGATCTGTCCGACTGTATTGTCGAATTTTGTCCGTTCCGTTCCGTTCCGGTAAATCGTGCCGTTTGAACGTTCAGCCCGGATTTTATAACATAAATACAAAAAAATATCTTTCATGTGCCATCAATTGAGTAGTGCCAAAATGACATTCTTGATAAAGCAAGTTTATCAAGATAATTGACTCTTCGCCCCGGCTTCTCGTATTATTTAAATTAATTGATATATAGAACAAATATTTTTCGATTTTATAAAATTAATAGACTTTCGTGAGATTCTTTTACCGAAACACCATTATGTTTTAGAAGAGTAGAAATCAAAATATAATATATAAGAAATTGGTCGGGAGGACATTATAATTATGTTTCCGTGTGCAATGGCAAAGTTATTCTGTTTATTAAAGAAAAATATATATTTAATATCGATACTTTTTATATAAAATGTAGTTTTATAACTAGGAAACAAATTATGACAAAGTGATTGGATAGATGCTTCCATATATAGATACTAATAAATTAACTGACTTGATTTAACATTATATCTCAAAACTTGCGATAGAAGAACTGCGTTGCGAAACTTGCATTTTTACGTTATATTTTTCATGTGATTAATAATCTGTGGAACTATCAGCTGTAGCCTGTAAGCAATATTTTAATATCTTGACAGTTGTCTTTATAATCTATGACGCTGTTTACGAGCTTGGGGCTGCATGTGGAGTTGTCTCTATAATTTTATTTATTTTACTATTAAATTTTGTTATTGGTTCTAAGTTTATGTTAAAAAAAGTATGCCTACCATAGAAATGGACAGGGTTCCAGAAAATGGTTCTGTTTATGATTCCGATGGTGAAAACAGTAACAGCGAAAATGGCTCTAAGAAATTAATCATAAAAAAGAAAACTAGAAAAAGAGGAATTATTTATTTATCAACTATTCCTCCGTATATGAACGTAGCTAAGATAAGAGAAATTTTTAGTGAGTTCGGTGATGTTGGAAGGATATATTTACAATCAAGTAACAGTAAGTATTTTAAGGTTATGTTTTTGTATTTATTCATTATTTCAAAAGAGATTCTAATCATTTTAAAATTGTAGAACCAGGTGAAAAAAGGAAACGGGTACCGAATTTATTTACTGAAGGTTGGGTTGAATTTGAGAAAAAGAAAGTGGCAAAAGCAGTTGCTGCTAATTTAAATAATACTAAGATAGGCACCCGCAAAAAATCTCGTTATTATGACATGATATGGAATATTAAGTATATCCCTAGATTTAAATGGGTCCATCTGAGTGAGCGCTTGGCTTATGAGAGAGCTGCTATGAAACAGAGATTGAGAGCTGAAATATCTCAAGCAAAGAAGGAAGCCCAATATTTGCAGTCTAACATTGAAAAAAGTAAAAAGTTGAAGAAAAAGAAATTGACGACAAATACTAGTAATGATTAAGTAATTGTAATGCTAAGAAAAAAAGTATGAAGTAATGAACTTTTTAAAGTATAATAAATATATACCTCATAATTTTTTTATCATTTCAACGGATTCAACCTTATATATTTTTATGTTTAATTTTTTTTATTAAAACGTCAATGAATACTTATTAAATTATTAATTTTGTTTAGTATAATTTCAAATAAAGAAGGCACTAGGAAATAAATGGCATTGTTTAATACTTTCTACAACATCTGTTTCAACATTCACTACCTACATATTTTTGGTAATGTTTATTTTTGACTAAAATTGGCTCTTCCACTTATAATTTCCTCAACTCTCATCCTTTGATGAGAATTTAATGGATCAGGTGTCAGCTTTTGTATATATCTTCTTGGCGGTATTTTATGTGACAATATGCCCTGAGAGAATTCTCTGTGAACCCGAACACCATCTAAAGCATTCGCTTGCAACTTTTCAAAGCTATGGAGTTCTCTCATGAACTGACGGCGTTGCGCAACTTTTGCCCAATGGTAACGGTGGCGGCAAACGACGCGGCTGAAATTGTACTTAAATGTTACATATTAGAAATTCAAGATTTGTTTGAAATGAAATTTTTATCAATTTGTTTATATTATGTCCACATATTACTACTCGGTTGCCGGCAACTAGGACTAAAGCAGAGCTCCAAGACAGTAAATACTAGTTATGTTTTTGGTCAATTTGTAAATACTAATATTTGAGACCTGGAAAAATAACAAATAATAAAAAAAGCGCCTTTGATAAGAATCCTTTTATTTGTAAATTCGGCCTTGTTTATTGATATCTATCAGATTTTCAAATGTGGGTTTAAAACAAACATATGTTACATGACTAACTATATATCAATTACACTTTCACATTTATCATAAACATTTGTAAAAATATTGAACAAATGATTTTTTTATAAATCTATATTATACTAGCGGCTCAACCTCGCTTCGCTCGGGTTCGCCTTTAGGAAAATAAAAACAAACCAATCGCACGAGAAACGTAAATTTTTCCGGGATAAAACCCTATGTGTTATTCCAGACTATAATCTATCTCTGTGCTAATTTTCATCCAGATCCGTTCAGCCGTTCTTGCGTGAAAGAGTAATAAACAGCCATACTCACAAACTTTCACATTTATAATATTAATACGGATTTATAACATAATAATATCTTATTTAGGTTTCTATGGTAGGTACTCACTAAGCTAAGCCCAATTTTGTATATGAAGGATAAATGCTGACATCAGATCTTGCTAGTTCAGGAAATCCAGGGTACAAAGGTACTCTTCTTTTTTTCTCCTCGACCTTATCAGTTTCTTTTTCTTTTGTTATCATTTCTACGTTATAGATTTAAATCATTACATAATGTGTAAGTCAAAACTCGTAAATAACTTACATAATTGATACCGTTGCTATGGTATCCTTAATGTTAAGGAAATCATTTCGTAAACAAGGCCTAACTATGTTGTGATCTGTGGACGAATACTATCACATCTATAATTTAATTTACTTTTCGTTTGTCTTAACATAAGTATTTCTATATCAAATTTTTTAAACACATTCTGCCACTTAACTGAGCTAAGTGCTTATCCAATCATGGATTAGACTTCATGATCATGATTTGATAATTCGTATTTCTGCGAAAATCTTAGGGATATTGTGAAAAGACGGATAATTAGACAATGGTGAAAGCGTTTCTCAGTCTTACTAGAAAAAGATAGGGTTTTTGCAAAAACACGATTTGCTTTAGTTCTAATCGTTTATAAAGGCGTTCGCCGGCCGCTGCCGCGACACAGGCTTCGCTCGCTCAGCTCGTGCGTTGTGGTTACTGTTCTAACCTAACCGTTAAATTCTTCCGTGTAAGACGTAGCTGCCGCCTTAGCCTACTCAACCTACGTTATCCAAGTTATCGGACCTGTCGCATAATCAAAAAATAAAACTTACCTAACCATTGTCTAATAATCTGTGTTTTCGCACTAAGAAGGATTGTGAAAACTTGAATCATTAAAATGTTTATTAGTTTTTCAATTCTTTGCCAGATGGTTTAAAATTTTGATTTATACTTTTTATAAACATTATATACAAGGTTTTTTTTTAAATTCATCTTTAGAAGCATTTGTGTCACTTGCTAAAAATTAAAGTTAAAACTATCGCAAAATAAAATTTAATTCAATAATAAAAAATAAATTTGTAATGAAAAATAAATAACTAAATAAGTTTTAGATTAACAATTTATTCATACATCAATAATAATAAATCTACTCGGGGCCACCTGGCTTTGGAAATTCTTGCAAATTTATGGCTTTGTTTCTCAGAATAGTTTGTAGATATATACATGAACTGCTTAGGATGAAGCCGATACCGCTGCAATCCTACTCCTGCATACACAGTCATTAAATTGATTCACTAACACAGAACACAGTAGTGATTTATCAGGATTTGAGCTATAGCATTCCAATACCTGAAATTATAAAGTTTTTAATATTAAAATGGTGTTCAAAGTTCACAATATTTATAATAAGCTTTTAAAATTATTTTTGACATTATTAAAACTAAGCATAGACAACAAACTTAGTTCTAGTTTTAAATACTTGTTTATAATTGAAGTGTAATTAGATATTTAGCACACCTACAGCAATGGTAACAAGCTATGAAGTTGCCATACCCACCATTATTATTTTGCATAAAAATATTAGAATAATTTTTATTAACATCCAAAACTTGATTGGATTGAATATAAGCTATAATTAAAAGAAGTGCAATGTAGCAAAAATATAAGGCATAAGATGCTATTTCATTGATCCTTTGCTAGTAATTTTATTATCATTCATTGAACATGTATTCAGATTTCTAACAATAAAATATAATTTTATGAATTTTAAAATGTATAATTTATAATTTACATTACCTTAGCTTTTTCTTCCTGACAAGGTGGTAGTTTGTTTACTACTTTGTCAGCTTGTACAAAGGCAAATAAATCATTAGCTTCTTTAAGTGTCTTTTGATATTCTAAGTGCATACCACTGTTTATTTTTTCATGAGCTCGTTTTAAATTTTCTATGCGCCTTGCCCAGTATGCCTCTTCTGCCACATGCTCTTGTTGTTTTATAGAATCATAATAAGGAGGTGGTGCATATTGAGGTTTTGGTGGTGGCTGTTCAGCTTGCTGAAATTACGAGAAATAATATCATTTGAAAAAATACTCTATTAAGGATTTCAAAAGAAAAGAAGGACTAGATAGGAAAAATGTTTACTAATGAATAAATGTCAAAAGTTGGGAACATCTCATCATTGGTTTGTCTAACCTTAAATGTAAAATGAATGACATTGAATAATTATAATAGTAATTATAAGGGAATTTGAGAAAGGAGATAATTAGAAGTTTAGAATACAATAAAACTAATACACAATATTTTGTTTTATAAATATAAATATGACATTGATGTAAATTATGTAATGTTGTAATATATTTACTTTAGCATTAAGCTGAGCCTGTATTCGATCTAATGCCTCTTGCGATACTTGTATAGCATTCTCATTATCGACACTAAGTTTTCTAGTGCTTTGCGAACCACCCATGTTTATAAAAATATATAGTTCGAGTTATTTTATCGGCAATTCACGTCAGAAATACATTTTTGACAGTAAGGTCACAAGTAAAACTGTCAGGATTCTATGACCATGCCTACCAACATTGAACGTTGTCTTACTTTTAATTTTTTGTCTATGGGTTACCATTGGGGCCTATTAATTTTATTTTAGAATTTTAATATAAACGTATAATTTTATAAATTCAAACATATAGTATTTTAACTAAAAATTAATAAGATAAATATTTGTAATAAAATGAAAATAATGTTATTGTAATTTGTAGCTTCCTCTACTCCTCAAAAGATGGCATTTGAAACTTGAATAACAAAATTTAAAAAAAGTATTGTGCTGTATGTATATTGTTATGATTGATGTAATATAATGAAATAATTAATTTCTTCAAGGTTCCAAAAATAAATATTTTGGAATTATCAAAACAAAGGTGAAATCGAAAATCCCATTATATAGATATCATCTTATATTTTGTGTAATACCGAAAATAATATAGGAATCTGCGGTTAACTTTCGATTTTGTCTTTGTTTTGATAATTCATTGTATTATTCTAATTTCTGGGCCTTAACCCTAACAACTAATTTAATATTATATATTATACAAAAAATCTGCAAGTTAACCAAATCAAAACGAGACAAATTGCAAGTTTGAAATAAAACGATTTCATTTAGGTACATTAAACAAAAATTAAACACAAATAAAAGTATTTGGTTGACAGTTATTAGTTATCCATTCAAATATTATAAATGTGAAAGTGTGTTTGTTGGTCCTTCTTTCACGTCGGAACAAAGTGACGGATTGGTACTTTACCGCGAGTGATTATCTCATTCCCACGGGAAAACACCTTAAAATACAACACACAACAACTCATCATACCTATGTGTATATATATTATACGTATAAAGTCTATCTATTTCACACTAATGGTTAAAACGTATCTAGGCGAACCCGAGCGAAGCGAGGGTAACTTGCTAGTTATTAATAATTTAATACAGTTGCTACGCATACTTTTAAAAAATTATAATTAATTACTATTAATACATAGTATTACTAATTTCCTTTTTTAGTAATTTTATAAAGGAAATGATAGATACAACTTCTCTAAAAAAGATAATATTTCCGGCTTGAAACGTAATACCTATTAATCGAAAATTGTTTATAATATTTATATTTTTAAATTGAAATATCTTCGATAATTAATAATGCTTTGGCAATTAGGTGCGGTGCAGTTTAGGTAAGTAAAAATAAACTTAAACTTGTTTCCTTAGTGCTTACATCCGTTTATAAGAAATAACATTGAACATTGTATATAAAATGAACACTAATATTATTGATTTTAATATTTATCGTATTAAATTGATTTTAATTTAAAACAAAATTACTTGTTATCTAAGTAATGGGTATAAGAATCCCATTAGTGATTATCGAGCTAGAAGCGCTTGTACAGATCAACAAAAATGGAGAACTTAGCGTTTGTGTGGTGCAGTATTTACAATAGATACTTTTTTACCACTAAGTGTGTTCGAATGTGTCACAGACAGTCTCGCAGAGGGCAAATATTGAACGTGCTGTTTGTATTGACTGGAACATATAAATAATTGTTTTGTAATTTTCAGAACGATAATTTTCTTAAATAAATGATGAAAAAAAATTGTGGTTGTATAAATCTTAACCCTTGACAGGATTTATTATTTACATATTTTTTTAAATAAAATTATTATCGATGTTTTTGATCAAAAACTACTCGTATTATCCTTAATATTACATCATAGTAATTTATCAAATTTGTTATGATAATTCTGACTTTCTGCTTTGTTCTTTTAAATTGTTTTGTCTTAATCGTTGAAAAGATGGATAGAGTACAATTTCCAAACAAGTAGCTTTAAGTAAAATTGAAATTATGTATAATATTGCTTTATTACCCAGTTCTTTAATTAGATTCAAAATATTATACAATATGAATATGTTAACGGGTTTGTTCAAGATATAATAGCGGTTACACTAACTAATATTATCGTAAAAAAGTAACAAATTTTATGGCATAAAGTTATATTTTAATCGAATTGAAAATGGATCGAGAAACGGCAAAAACAATCTCTGATTTTGGGTGGAATTTTTTGCCAATGAAACCCTCGGTCGCTGGGGGCAGGGGCGAGGGGGCGGTACTGACCACAATGGGGTTTAGCATAACCGGTCCAGCCGGTCGCAGCCTCCGACGCTATCATCCAGCCATACTTTCTTCTGTCTGATCGATGCGCGATCCGGCTTTTTGAATGTTATTTATTGAAACAGATTTTATATATAAATAAAAGTTGTTGTAAAATAATATTTGTAATTCTTATAAAATAATATTAATAATTTCACTTGGGTGCCAAGTAGTGCCCTATGTTTTACTCCAGGTCACAGACTAGGTATATGTGTGCTAAACTTCATCCACATCCATCCAGCCATTTTAACGTGAAGGCGTAACAAGTTTATACACAAATAAAAACTTTCGTAGTATTTCGATATAATTTGTTAATATGTAATAACATTAATCAAGAATTGATTAAAATCAGCGCTCGTACTGATGTGGCATTATTACAATCTTAACGTTATTAAAAACATTAATTCTATTTATTAATAGCTATATTTACATGTATTCTTAATATATTAATCTATAATTTTTAACATAAACAAAAGTTATATTTACCGATTTATAAACGTTTTAAAGATCGAATGTTTTAAATTGATCCTTAAACCCTCCTCCTACACGGTGCCTACCGATCATGTAGTCTATTTTAAAAATATTTGATTACCAAATTAGTTAGTAAGAATTGAAGTTAATAAACGCGTGAAAAAGGTAATTCATTTTGAATGTATTTAATAATCCACATCATTTTATTATTGGGCATTTTAAAATAAGATTATAGTAGGACAGTATGAGATTTTCTAAATTATATTACTGAATTTGAGAATATGTCTGTTTTAATATTTTTATAGTTTCAGACACCGGTAGGAAATGTTAAGCATCTTGATTTCAGATTGTTTATTTTACAAATATGCTGTAATTATTTATTAATTTTAATAAAGTCACCAATCATATTTATTGTAATTTTTTTATTACGTAATAATAAAAAATTATCGCCATCAGCATAATAGAAGAATTATAATTCCAATATATAGTGTCGCCATAATATATATTTAGATTAAAGTAGGTTTAATATCAATATTGTATTGATTTGTAACAAGTTTGAAATTTAACAGTAAACATATGTTTACTGTTATATAAATTTTTATTCATTCAGGAGCCGGATCGCGCCGTTCACCCATAGGACGAGCCCATTGGTCTTCATACCAACGCTCCACGACTCGATACTGTCAATTGCGTGTACTACAAATACAAAATACGCCACTATAGAACCTTTATAGTTGAAAATAAGGCTTAAAATAGTTTGACGATATCGTAGACGAGGAAAACTTTTAATCAAACCACAAATAACAGACGAGACAAAGTAATCGTTTAGTAAATAATTATTTCTTGGGTTATCATTTGTACTATTAACTATTGAAGTAGTCCCATCACTAATAACCTACTTATTTGGACAGATTTTAACGCGTTAAATTTTACTCTTTATTTGTTTTCATTAAAAAAATATTGTATTAATAAAAAAAAAAACAATTTTGTCTGTATAATAGAATAATATTGTTTAAATCGGAAAAAATATCTTAGTTTTATTTATGTACTTTTGCATGTTTTAATATTGCAAGTTTAAAAATAAGAACAAGTGCTTTTAAAACTATAAATAAAAGTGTACAATGAAGCTGTAGTCTAACTCTAAGATAATAGCTTTTGTGTAGTACAAAATATCAAACATACTACGTCTCTGTCGCTATTGAAACAACTGAACATTTTAAACATCCTATATTTTTTACTACTGCCAGCCCTTTTCACTCTTTTAGAACTTTATAAAATCTTTTCTTAATATACCTATAATAAAATATTTATAGGAATAAGCTGTCAAAATATGTATCAGAGGGTTTAGACTTACGAATAGAAATCTAAAAAATGTTTGGAAATGACATCATATTATTTAATTTAAATACAATTTTTAACGTAAACGATTGTAGAATAGCGTTTTGTCTGAGCCTGCAGCTTCTGGTCCGGTGTGGTCTGGTCTGGACCTTTTATAAATTAGTCAGGCTAACTTAAAATACATATAAATTTAAAAAAATGCCCTTTTAATGAAAATACAGTTAAACTGTAATTTATAAACTACTTCAAGCGGTTAATTTATCTTAAGTAATTCAGGTCCAAAAGTTTTTAATTATCCCGTAAACGTATTTATTAAATTATTTCTTTCGGTTTTTAGTAAATCATGTTAATTAAAAAATTTATCATTCTTTTGACACTTTTTTTGGTATTTAGATATAAAAAAAAAAAATTATATGTCGACGTATTAATGTCGTAATTTTTCAGTAAAAAGTTCATTGAATTATTTTTTACATTCTACATTCAAAATATATCAGTAAAATAATACTGTTAGCCTATTAGAACATATGGATAATACTTTTTTTTTAATAAAAAATATAATAATAATAAATAAAAATATAAAGATATCCAAGATAGAACTAATCAACTATAACAACATTACGCATCAATAAAAAAGTTTTTAGTCACAAAAGCAAAAAACAGGTGCTATCAAAGCCATACTTATGAATTTATTGCCACAGGATTCGATATGGCGTTGATAATACTAATAATGGCTGGCTTTAGAAATGTGCGGATTCGACAAACCTGAGATTTTACAAGTGAGTATCAAACACAATCGGGCTCAGGTAGACTCATCTTCTCACCCTCTATCTAAAACGAAGATATTAAAAATCTTATTAATACCACTTCAAAATGCACTAAATTCAATTCTATGCTTATATATTTACGATTTATTTCCCAACAACAGTTATTTTTTAGTTTTATTTAGCTTAAAGTAACAAG